TGTGGATCGTTGGTGCCGGAAACCGTACTGCCTGTCGCTAATCAAGCTGTGACGTTCGAGGTAGTCCAGAAGCTCGCGATTTATGCACCTCTCCATCACTTTACTTATAACAGAAAGCAGAGCTATAGGCCTGTAGTTGTAAGGGTCGGTTTTAGATCCTTTTTTTGGGATGGGCTGTACATGAGCAAATTTCCAGTTTTCTGGGAAGGTGCCGGATTCATAAGATATCTGGAAGAGACGCGAAAGAACTGGAGCAAGCTCAGCTGCACATCTCTTCAGTACAATGGCAGGAATCAAGTCCGGACCAGAAGCTTTGTTGATGTCGAGCGACAAGAGCACTCGTCTTACGGTCTTATGCCTGAATGTTACCTCCCGCATAGTGTGGGGAACCCTTTGAATTGACGGCACTTGGGCGTTGGTGGGGACGTCCATGGTGGAGTTGGCAGCAAAGATCTTGGCTAGCACTTCCGCCTTGGCCTTTGAGTCGAATACAATAGTTCCATCCTGACCTAGGAACTTTCACTGTGTGAGGGATGTATTCCTCCATTCCGACGTGGATAATTTCGGTTATTGAAGAACAGACAGTCGACGCATCCGCGTCAGTGAAACAGACATCTCTCCAAGGAAAGCTAGAGAAGAAGTCTCTGAGCCCCTCCCAGTCGGTATGTCCGTAATGCCAAGTTTTGCGGCCTGTGCGAGTTTCTGCGGCCACAGCGGCTTCTGACCGAAACCTAACCTCCACAACACCGTGATCTGAGTTACCCAGGGGGGACAGGACAGCAGTGCTGTAAGGGGCAGGATGCGTGGTCAGAAAGAGATCCAGCAGGCTACTGGCGTGTGACGAGACGCGGGGGAAAAAAGTAGGGCTCGTCACCAGCTGGGTCAGCCCTTGAGTAAGAGCGAACGCTTCGACTGCACGACCTGCTGCATCGGTCTTATTTGAGCCCAACCAAAGCTCATTATGGGCATTGAAATCACCGAGAAGAACTACCTCTGAAGCGGGGTGATTGATGTTCAGGAAGTCGATCTGGACAGCGAGGTATTCGAGTAGGTCATCCCAGTTATGGTTCGAGGGAGAGCGATAAAGGCAGCAAATAAATTTGGGTGATGTTTTGGAGTTGAGGCGAAGCCACAGAATGTCCTTCCGGTCTGTTTCCAAAGAAAGATCCCTGGAGCAGGAAAGACTGCTGCGGACAAAAGCCACAACTCTTCCGTTCTTTCTCAGATTGGAGTGCATCTCGTAGTTGGGGAAGTTGAGATGGTTAATCGGTGCAGCCTCTGAGATTTTTGTCTCCGCCAAGAAAAGCACGGCGGGACGATTGGATTGCAGGTAGTGATGAACAGCATCAATGTTGCTGTTGATCCCGCAGATGTTCGAAAAACAAATTTTATCTTCGATGTTGTTCCCTCGAGCCCACCCTCCACCCGGACATTCCGAGAGTGGAGTGAGTTTACGTCCGGAGTTTTTAGTGCTCGAGGGATCCATCATCATTAGTTTCTTTGTTTTGGTAGATAACCGACTGCTTAGCTTAGGTGTGGAAACATGCGGACATTTATAAGACACCCTGGGAAAAGCTAGCGGGTGGTACTGCCTCGGTCGACTGGTCCTTGTCTACCACCTTCTTTTTACGTATTAGTGATGTTAAATAGACCTAAAGTGGCCCCTTGGCGGACTTGTACCGCCACCCGGCAATCGGTACTGAGGTATTCCTTAACGCGTGTACAATCACTTGGACGGGAAGAAGTTGTATACTGGATACAACGACTTCCGGAACAAGCATTTGCCACGGCCCTCGCTCAGTAGGGGATAGGGTATATTCTATAGTATCACTCGATATCTTCTAACATCAAAAAAAAATTTCCGAACTGATGAAAAATTCTTGTCAACCGCAGATTCACCTGTTGCGCACTTGTAAACTCCTTTCCTCGTAAATGTCGATTTAATTTTGGCGATATTTAGAAAGAGAAAGAAAGGCAGACAGAATGAACGTGTAACTGATGGAATCGCAATTGATAGAGCTCTCTCTACGCTATGTTAGCACGTAGGAGACTTCTGAATGGCATGTCTCTTCATGTCTCTTTAGTGAATGAAAAAACGGGTAATAATATTTCTCGCAATGTAATGAAAAATAGCTTAAATTTGTAAATCAGGTTGTTGACAGCGGTTTTTTACTAACTTTTCAGGCAAGTCTTTGGATCCTGCCATCATGTGCAAACTATCAAGCATAGTTTTTTATGATGGTATTATACGTTTTGCGATACTTGAGCCCACGGTGTCTAATGGCTATCTATAGGCGGAGCCTCGAAAAAAGTGAGCTAAACAAGTATTTTGTGAGGAAAAATGAGTAATAAATGTGTAGTTTTAATTTGTTTTTTCTAAAAATTGGAGAGCTACTTGAGAGGGGGTGCTCAACATAAGCAGCGCTTCTGAAAGCAAATGGCGAGTTACTGAATACATTAAAGGTGGAGGAGGGGTATATGCTTATCACAAATGGAGAGAGAGAGAGGGCGTGTGACGATACACCAAATACCGATAATTCGAGTTATTGGAACCTTTGAGCGTGTAAACATCCGAAAATAGTGATAAAAATGGACGTTCCAGAAAAAAATTAGCAAAAATGAGTAGGCAAAAAATACATGAGTGAAAATAAGTAGATGAAAAGTAAAAATGAGTAAAATGACTCCTGAGTGCGTTTCATCAATGGTTTGCAAAGAGTAAAAAACCGAATGTCATTATCGGAATTCGTTACGCCATCGCTACCGTAATAAACATGCAAAAAACGCAACGGCCGTCTCGGAAGATTTCACAAGTTTCGTCGATACGTACGCACACGTTTTCGATCACCTCGTTAATCGATATAATCGATCCGTAGCCATATAGGTCTTAATGACACTGTAAACATTCGCGAAGTGCATTAGCAAGTTCATTGCCTAAAACTTTCACTTCGGTGAAACAAATTGTTGTTTGTATGTGTCGATGCCTCGGTGCTCCGTCTCCGGCGGGCACGTGAGAATGTTCCTATAAATAGTTTCTAGAAGAGTTTCTTTATTTTTCCGCTCGGTCGCTTATGTCATTTCTAATAGCCGGAAAACGGTGTGCGTTATGTAAGCGGCGGTGTCTGATCGAGGACAATACGTTTTAGAGTAGTACTCTTGAACTTGCGGCTTGAACTTGTAATAATTTTTGAATTATAGGGGAAAACACCGCTTTCTTACACCTATTCTGTATTTAACAATATTTCATAGCCCAAACTTTACCAATAAAAGTCATATAAAGTGGGGGTAACATGGAAGACCACTGCATCAAGCAAATAGTTACTACTTATTTTCTGGATAAATGAAACTAACTAATAAATAAGCAACACTTTGTTTAATTATGTAACTTTTTTATTAATTCAGAGTTAATCATTACTTTTTGAATTTGACCAAACTCTTCCGAACAGCCTTGGAAGGGGCAAGGCTCGATACAAGGCCGATATGATAAATCAGTCATATAACTTAATACTAACGCAGCTATCAAATATCTGATTATAGTAAGTACTTAAGCTACATAAAAGGTTTTTCATTAAAACGGCACATTGAATACTTAGAATAATAAATTCCAATAAAAAGACTCAACGAACGCAATCGTAAAACAAGAATGTGTTCGTAAAATTCTTTAAAAATAATTTTAATGAGTGTTACATCGATATCAAATGAAACATGCAAATAACCATAATGGCGTTCTACAATTTAAAAACCGGTACAATATACCTGACGACCCCTAGAACTAAAAACAAAGTCTTGTCATGTCCGTTTTTGGATTTTGATAAGTGTCACAGAAAAAGTTGTAATCGTATGGCAATAACTACCACTTTCTAATAATCGGCCTTACAAGGTTCACCCACCTTAGTACTTGGATGATAGACAGTTTTAGCAATTGCAAATACTGCATACGTAAACGATGACATTTAAGACACAAAAAGATAATGGATTTTAGTGTAAGGAAAACTCCGTTTCTGTTGCCCAAAGTCTGATTTATTACTAATTTACAGCAATATTTGTAACTAATTTATTACAAATTCATAACCTATCGCACTGTTACTGATTCATCGCCGGTTATCAGGCTGACTAGCTCGACTGTGACTGTAGCTTCCGTGTCGTTGACTGTCTCGACTGGGACTGACTGCTTCTGCCATCTGGTCAGTATTTACCTTCAAAGATTTCCAGAAGCGCCTTTTCGAAAGAAATCGATCTTCGTGGAAGCCGTCAAGATGGCGGTAAACTCATCTCCAAACGTAGCGAACGTTCGCGATGGCGTCACGAACGCTCCAGATTGCAACCACGCTGCATACATGGTCGCGTAATCCTGGTTGCCTAAGCGTCGATACTGCACAGGCGTCCCATTGCCACTTAAGCTGCTAATTACAAGGACGTTACAATGGGTTATCGTTAACGTTAGCGTATGCGGTGTATGTGATTGCCGAAACTTTCTATTGATACTACATACTTTTTTCCAATGATCTAATAATTTTTAAATAAAACAGCACGCACAATTCTTTGGAAACATTTTGCGATCTAATTGATTTTTGTAGATTACACTATGGCGTGATCTCAAACTGTTTGTAATAAAAAGCTACACAACCTTAGTGTAAAACATTTTTTTAAATTTACTTTGGAAAATTAAGAAACAACTTTCACCACCATTTTCAGATGCAAGCAATTAGCGTTTGTATTGTAGTTCATTTGAATCTTCGTACTTCTATCTTATTCTTCCACATTGTCGCTTCGGACTTTAAACTTTTGAAAAATGAAGCATTTGGTGTAATTTACTTTTAATGAAATGTAAGCCCCTTTCTCTAGAACTTGTTTCTTCCTTCTTCAGATATTGAACTTTCTTTTGTGCAAGCTTTGCATCGATAATTCTTTTAATTTATTGCTAAACAGTCGTACGGGTATATTTTTTTAGCAGAACAAAAATAATGCATAATAACAGACACTAAAACGTAATTTATTTCCAGATTACCCTAGGGGTAATTCTACTCACCAAGTGGACGGACTCAAAAGCAGTTGGACCTACCAATGGAACTAACGCAGAAGCAAAGCAGTAAGTTTGATTTAAATACTATTTTTCGTATTTCATCATGTTTTTGAACTTCTTGAGTGGGCTTTAAATGATAAGAAACATGAGAAGAATTTCAAAACGAAGCCTGATTTTTCGACTGCTCTGACAAATTTTCGACTACTACAAAAGATGGTGTATACGAAAAAGGTTAAAGCTGAGTTTGAGAGTGTTTTACGTTTTTTCTATTACCTGCCTCCTGCCTATTTCTAAATGTGTACATTTACTTCTTGATTTTCGCAACGGTAAATTGTTCATGCGCAATTATGTTTTCAAATCCCTTTTTTCTCTAAGTTCAGCTTGTTTGTTTCATGCGCCGAATTGCCGTCATTTCAATGTACCTATTGAAATCTTTCAAACCAATACTATGAAAATTACATAATTTTAAAGTCGCATATTGATCAATATTTTATTTTGCTTCCAGTGCATTTTTGATGGCTGTACATTAACTAATGGTTTTCCTCGTTTTTTTTAATTGCTCGTCCTGAAAGAAGTCTTCACTTTAAACATTTTTGAAATCTTAAATTAGATAGATTAGATAGATACTTCGTTTCCTATCAACTGCACTGCTAGTGCACCAACTGTCAAAAATACAACACCTTCAGGAGCATATACGTTCATATAGATACAACCGACAGATAGAAGAAACTTGTTTGTTACGATAAGCTCTCAAATATTTCCCCTAAATGGCATGACAAGTAAAGTTGGGAAAACCTATAGAATAAAGCTTTCCAAAATAACACTTTGAGGCTTATTCATTTTACGTGGGAGCTTTTGAGGCCTATGGTTCCCGCCTTTTTTTCCTTTTGTGGAAAATAAAATAGTTATTCTTGTATTGTTTTCAGTAATATTCAAAAAAGAGTAGGCTACGACTACTCGGTCGCAATTCCTCCAACAGACGTGCACCACACGTACGAGAACTCCGGAGATACCCAGTACCACCACGAGAACCACCATGAGTACCACAATCAGCACGAAGACGAGCACCATTACGAGCACCATGAAGAACACAAAGATCACCATGACCACCATGACCACCATGACCCAGGCTACTGGAAGAAGAAGATGATCTGGAAGAAGGGCTGGAAGAAGATCTGGAAGCCGGCCAAGAAGCAGATCTGGAAGCCCAGTTGGAAGAAGTACTGGAAGCCTATATGGGTGCCTACGCAGAAGCCTGCGTGGAAGGAGATCAAGGTGCCGGATTGGAAGAAAATATGGAAGCCAGTGTGGAAAACGATACAGGTAATATTGCTCACTTTCAATGACGAATTACAACAAACACTATCCTAGAATAAGCTTACAATTTCTTACAATATTGCAAAAAATTTATCGCATTTAGAGGTTCCATAATAGTAGCATGAAAACAACTATGAAAAATGTGTGTAATAGGTGCCAGCGTGGAAGGAGATCCAAGTTCCCGATTGGAAGAAGATCTGGAAACCAGTATGGAAGCCCATACAGGTGCCAGCATGGAAAGAGATCCAAGTTCCTGATTGGAAACGGATTTGGAAACCTGTTTGGAAGGAAATACAAGTGCCCGCTTGGAAGGAAATTCAAGTGCCAGCATGGAAAAAGCTTTATGTAAGTAACCTGTTTTTTATCAGACTTCACTGAAAAAAAATCTTCTGTCCATTTTTCTTCGCTTAAACGTATCCCAGAATAAAATATAGATACAGGCCCCTAAACTTCTAAATAATTTTGTGCTATTTACAGAGATTTAAAGATCATGATAGGCAGTTGGGGCCTCATATGAAGGAAACAATAGCGATAGACTACCCCTAATTCAACATTGCTAATGCTTGTTTCACAAAAGCTTTCAGATCGATTAATTACCCAACCGAGTAATTTAATACTCAGCAAAACCTGGCACTCGGTAAAACGGGCCGAGTATGCCACGCACCAGATACAAACCGAGTACTCGGTGCAACCCTAGTTTCGAAGACTAATCTAAATTCAATGCTTCTGAATTTCACAGATACCAGTTTGGGTAAAAGAAGGCATTCCAGGCAAGCATTATCTAGGCAAAGATGATCACGGTGCCGAATACGTCGCTCACGACATCTGGAAGAAAAAGTTGATCTGGAAACCGATCTGGAAGAAGTATTGGAAACCTGCTAAGAAACAGATATGGGTGGCTGATAAAAAACTGGAATGGATAGAAGCATGGAAGCAGATTTGGAGGACGGAGAAGAAACAAATATGGGTATGTCAAATAAAATATGTCATTAATGAAAATTATCCGTGGAAACTGAATAGTGTGTGGGTAACTGTTTAGCTGTGTTATGTCACTGGACAGCTCGCAAAACAAGACCGTTCTTTTGAGAAAATAGAAACAGGGATTTGTGGCTATTATCGTTTCTTTACTTTTTTTTATATTAATCAGCACAAAGGCTTGAACTTAGCCTCTGCAACGAATTGAACATTTTAATCCCCTGCTACTCTTCTGAAGACCACGTACTTCATCTTAAGAATGATTTTTCTTCTTTACTTCGCATATTTTTTCTTCACGCTCAAAAATATAATGCGATGGTGGAAAAGGTCGTGCTGCAAACTGAAAAATTCAGTCCGTCAACAAAATTTTAACGAAACAAGGCAGCGCTAGCGCCAACTATTACCAGAATCGTCTGGATTTGTAAAGATCTCAGTTCGCGTTTGATAGCCCAGTGCCACTATGACCGCTAGAGGCTGACGATGTGGTCGAGTACGATAGCAGCTGTCCATGGTTTAACAAAATTTTACTTTCCCTCTCACTCTTATATCAGATTCACTTTCCACAATTTATGATAAAATATGTGAAAATGTTAAAGATCTAAAAGTAGTATAAAATAGCGCTTAACAAAAATCCAAGTGATGTAATTCGACTGCAAATTTGCTGGTTAGACATTTAGTATTTAATTTTTTATTATTATCGTGTACCTATAACGTATTTACCTTTATATGGTGTTTCAGAATATTGAACATGAAAATTTAAGGACAGATTTAGCAAGTAGAAATATGAAAGTAGTTAACACAAATATTCATCCGGAAATTCCATGTTTTCATTTAACTTTTTGTGTAGCGACAAATTCTAAGCCATTGGTTTTTGAAAATACAAATATTGCGTTCTCATAGCCATATTGATCTGTGTGTAAAGTGTCTCCTTTACCTTTTCGATACTGATACTATTTTTTGAAAAAACCAGTGGAGTACTGTTTCACCGCGATAGCATAGACTTGCCGGTACAAACGTCACTGAAAACAATTTTGTTCATGAGCTTTCATAATACACTTTAAGAACCAAGAATCTTCACTGTGAACAATCAAAGACGAACCCTTTTAACTATCCCATACTTAACGTGCTGAATCTGCCCTTCACTTTCGCTGACAACATTCGGTAACACCCTGTGTTATAATAAAATATTGCATGACCTGCAAGATACTTGAGATTAGCGATTAAACGTGCTTTTCGCATTTTCAAATATAAATCATTCTGAAACACACTCTAATTGTTTTCTCAGGTCGCTGACAAGAAACTCGTTTGGAAAGAAGCCTGGAAGCAAATCTGGCGGACGGAAAAGAAACAAATATGGGTCACTGACAAAAAACTGGAATGGAAAGAAGCATGGAAACAGATCTGGAGGATAGAAAAGAAGCAAATCTGGATCCCAGACAAGAAATTGGAATGGAAGGAAGCGTGGAAGCAAATTTGGATACCTGACTGGAAGACGATATGGGTGCCAGCCTGGAAGCAGATCTGGAGGCCGGTCATAATCCAGGAATGGTTCCCTAGTCCAGATCATCACGACGTCCACCACCATGGAGGTAAATATGTGTAAAATGACCTTCAGTGTTTGATTTCTAGTAGGAGGAGCGTGACAGTATCAGATAAAATTTCCCATACACCATACACAACACACTTAGCAATACGCTTTCTTGCAAAATATTCAATTTTAATGCTGCTCACTTTTTATACCACCAGTTTTTATCACAATTTTTTTTCTTTTGTAAAATTAAACAATTTTCGACGACACGTGTGTAGATGCTTTTTACCAAACTTTGATAAAATTGGCAAAGGAATATTACGATTTTTTTTTTTTTTGATAAAACGAATTTTCAACAAAGCATCTTGAAAACGGAGCAACTTTCACTTAAACTTTTCTTCTTAAAATCACTCATTAACATCCTAAAAACGTCATAGTCATAAGGCAAAAAATGGTAATTTAGTAGTAATTTAAACAATTCGAATCTGAAATAATGGATTTTTTGATCTCCACATTGAAAAATCATCATTTTCGAAAAGTTAAAAAGGAACTAAACTGTTTAAAAATCAACTTAGAGGTGTACAAATATGCCTAGGTGAATAATTTAAAAACGTACCTTGCTAAATTCATTATCTCACTTTGAGAAATGAGTATTTAAAAATATACTAAGTGACATATAAATCCGAACACCCAGTTTAAATGGTTTTATTTTAATAAAAATTGGTGAATGTATTTATCTTACTGTAAATAACAAGTGAAAAAATTTTCAGCCTTATCAGTTGGACATTCCGGTTTTTATACTGCTTTTTTTTTTAATTCACTAACGCTCTAAAAATGAATATTTCAGCCGCAGTAAAGAATCAACGTTGGCGGATTTTGGTTCTTGACATCCTTTACGATCGGTTACGATGCCTAGAGTACGGAGACCTGTACGATTTCGTCAACTTAGTGAGTTTGATAGGGGCCGTATAGTGGGACTTCGGGAAGCTGGACTTTCTTTTTGGGCAATTGCAGTTAGAGTGCAAAGAAGTGTAGACACTGTGGTTAGGTGATGTCAGGCGTGGCTTCGAGAAGGCCGTACGCAAAGAGCAAGGGGCACTGGACGCCGCCGTAGAACAACAGACCATGAAGATCGCCGCCTAAGATTATTAGCCTTAAGGGAACTTTTCTCCACTACCAGGCCCATTGCAAATGAATGGTTTGCAGAACACGGAAGTTTTGGCTTGTTTTTATACCGGACACACTGGGTTCCTCCCTTTAACTCGAGAACACCGATGTACTCGCCTTGAGTGGTGCAGACAACGGTCACTCTGGGATCAGGAATGGAACAGTATTGTCTTTAGTGACGAGTCTCGATTTTGTTTAGGCATGCACGATGGTCGTGCCAGGGTTAGAAGGCGACGTGGTGAAAGGAGGAATCCACAGTTTTTTGTTGAAAGACATGTTCATCACACTGTTGGAGTTATGGTTTGGGGTGCTATAGCTTATGGTTCCAGGTCACCTTTAATCTTCATCAGAGGTAACATGAACGCGCAGCGTTATATCCACGAAGTTCTAGAACCCCATCTTTTACCCTATCTTGACACCCTGGCAGATCCAACTTTCCAACAAGATAATGCCCGACCACATGTTGCAAGAGTCACAATAGACTTCTTTCAACATAATGATGTCACATTGTTACCATGGCCACCAAGATCTCCCGACTTATCCCCAATTGAGCACGTGTGGGATATGATGGGTAGGAGATTGCTCAATTTGCAACGTCCTCCTCAGACTCTAGAAGCACTTCGAGAGGAGTTGGTGGTTGCCTGGAATGAGATACCACAGGAGGACATTGACCACCTGATCAGAAGCAGGCCTAGGCGCGTTGGAGAATCCGTACAACATCAGGGTGCATCCACACATTATTAAAGGTCAAAGGGCTTTAAAGCAGTGCAATCATTTTGAAATTTTTATCATTTACTTATTATGCTTCATTAAGTACTTATACAAAATTTTATTAAAATAAAACCATTTAAACTGGGTGTTCGGATTTATATGTCACTTAGTATATTTGAATATCAGTAAGAAATTGCTGATGTTAGGAGTAACTACTTATGTAGCTGTCCTTCATGAATACCTCTACAATCGGAATAATATTGGAAAACTGCTTTTAAAGCTAGCAGAGGGATAACTCATTCAAAAAATGGCGTCAAGTAGGTTGACTCTCATCCGTTCATAAAGGATTCATTTCAGCGCAATTTAAATCCTCTGGATCGGCTTTCAGAAACTACAGTGTTTTTTCGTCCTTGGCATAGTATCAACTTTGTTTGAAAATTTCATCAGAATCCAATTAATGATTTTTTGTGATGTACATGTCATGGAACATCCAAAAAACACAATACCTCATTGTCGAAATGTTTGGTGATCAAAATACTTCCTCGTCTAATGGTAGGAGGATAGGAAGTAAAAGGTTATCACATTACTTTCCTTAAAAATGGTAAACAATCTGGTCCATCCTACCTTATCTGATTATTTGAGCTAGTCAATGCAACAACAGGCTACTAGATATTTTAAAGCATTTGTGAAATGTGTCGTAACCGCTGATTTAAGTTAAGTTAAGTTTGGTGTTGGGGTAAATCCAGGGTGGCCAATATATAATTGACTGATTTAAATTGCGCGCCATTTTTGATACAGGCATTTCACTTAAATAATGAGTCGATTGTTGCAACGATTCGGAAGCTACGACATCGTTCACAAGAACTGGGTATTCGTCACACGTCATTATGTTTAAGTTAGTGACCATGAAAGATTGTTACCGACAACTGATAATGAGCGATGAAGACCATGGACGTATTTTATTTTATTTCACAAATATTCAAGATGCAAACCAGTCAGTTACATATCGGCCACCCTGTATAAGGCTAATAAATGAAGATAACTGTCTAGACTCTAATTAAATCGAGTATAGTGATTTAAAATGTTTGAAATGAAGGCCATTATTAGTCTAGCACTTTTATGAGCGAGACCGATTCATTTCTCAACCCAGGTATGTAATGTACTATTTTGTTCCAGGTTGGGATAGGAAGGACGATGTACAGGACGTCCAGTATGTGACGTCAACGCCCAGCACAACAGTCACCAGAAAATCGTAGCAGCGCAGTGTGCTAAACGGCAATGTGTACCTTTGTAAATATTATTTATAAGCGTTATACGTGATAATTTGTTTATTTTGCTTTGAAATTGGGGGAAAAGGCAGTTGAATACCAGTTGCTTGCCAACCCATTCGCGGATGTTCTCTTATGTGGACGTTATTGTGATTCATCATGTGAGATGCATTAAGTTTTTGTCATTATAGAGATTCGATAGTTACCTTTTCAAAAATTATAATAACTACTTTGTGCAAATTAATAGTTGTGCGGTGGAAGAATCGGTGGTGGGGGCATGGAACTTTTTAAAAAAAATTGTCCACGATAGTACGAAGTGAATGGCCTACCGACACCAGATTTTTCTTCATTCAAATTAGATGCAAATGAATTTAAGTACACCACCGACACCAAATGTTTTTCTTTCATATTAGGTACACGAATATATTTCCATTATTGAGTCTCTTCCAAACGAAAGCTAAAATTGAAATTCAGTCTTTGAAAAATTTGTTTGCCATATATTTTCGAAAAAGTAGTCTTCATCGAAATTATTTCGTCTCATACTATCAAACGATGGTATATTATTCTATGGAGCGAGAAAGTTTTTGTTTTACAAAGTACGTACTTCCAATTTAAGAGTTCATTTGTTGTTAATTTCGTTGTTATTATGTCGACTGACTTATACGTAGTTACCGTTAAGTTGTTATTTTTGTTACCGCTTTTATTTTTTGTAAATATGAAATAAAATATTCTAATTTTATAATTCTTTGTTTCATATAGCCGTCCCTCTTTTCCTCTAAACCCAGATCCTTACCTGTTGTCTTGTCATAATCTGACCGATCCTAATCATTTGTGAAAAAATAATATGCAGCAGTAGGCTGAGCACAAGTTAATTGTTTTCGATCATTTTTTCTGGCCTTCAGAATGCTAAGACGTAAATTATTACTAAAGATGTAAATCTTTAGACAAAACTTAAAAGACATTTCTTGTTCTGAATGAATAAGAATCTGGAAAGTGTACCGAATCGAAAGAGTAGGTTTTTAGAGACTTACAGAGGTCATCTTTTTTGTAATAGTCTAACCACATTTCGGGTATAACATGACAAAGTTCGGCCAAATTTTCAATCATCAGCTAATAGAAGAAAGTTTGAACATTGATCGTAGACACTAGGCTACCTAAAATACCATATTTTTTATTCATAGTATAGCGCCTAGAAAACGGCGACTCTTGTGTTTTCAAATCTTGATCTTTGAAAAATGGGAAATTTATGAAAAAAGGAGAATTTTTGATCAATGAAAAAAATGACTGGTCCAGAAAAGCTGACGGTTACATTAAAGAAAAGAGTCCTCTTGTGTCAAAAGCGGATTGGGGCAACAGTAACTGATACGATCTTCTGAACTAGGCTCTTTATTTTCAACTTAAGAAATAGGATTCTTGACAGAGATTATATTTCTCAGATCATACGAGGAGCATTCAGGGATACAGAATCTTGAATGAAACACCTAACTTATTTGGTTTCACACAGCATACTATGAAGAAATCGTTTTTTTAATTGACAACTATATATTTCTTTTGAATAATGGAATTGCGACATGCAAGTCTCAAATCAAGGATCAATTATTTACTAATTGTTTCGTTCAGATCCGGCTGTGGCAGCAGAAACTCGTACATACCGATTGGGAGGGGCTCAGAGACTTCTTCTCTAGCTTTCCTTGGAGAGATGTCTGTTTCACTGACGCGGATGCGTCGGCTGTCTGTTCTTCGATAAGCGAAATTATCCACGTCGGAATGGAGGAATACATCCCTCACACAGTGAAAGTTCCTACACCAGAGTCCAACGTTATAAGTAAGGTGATGGAGAGGTGCATAAATCGCGAACTTCTGGACTACCTCGAACGTCACAGCTTGATTAGCGACAGGCAGTCTGGTTTCCGGCACCAACGATCCACAGGGGACCTCCTGGCTTACGTCACGCAATTGTGGAGTAAACTCATCCAGTCTTATGTTGAGGCTCATGTCGTTGCTCTTGACATCACGAAAGCGTTCGATCAGCTGTGGCTCGCTGCCCTCTTAAGCAAACTTCCATCCTAGGGCCTCCCAGAAAAGCTTTGCAGATGGGTGGCTGACTGTATCTATGGCCGCAAGATGTCCGTCGTAATAGACGGGTTCTCCTCTTCATCTCACAACGTCAACGCGGGTGTTCCCCAGGGATCGGTCTTGGCTCCGACACTGTTTCTCTTAAGGCGGATTTCCACCAAACGGACTCGCTTGCAACTAGTTTCAGTTTCAAAAACAGAAACAATAATCTTGTTGTAGTTTCGAAAACAAACTCGAAACTCGAATTCCACCAAACTTACAAAAAAACTAGTCTTTCGCGTGTTTTGTTTTGAAGTGTTTTCTTTCGTTTCCACTACACGAACAGTTTTCATCATGCCTTCTCTAGACGATGTTTTTATAATGGCGTGTGGTTTTTTTATAATCGAATCTTTTGAGCAAAAGAAGCGGTGTTCCGGCATTTAGGCTTCTGCCTGCGCGGCTGCTTCGATATATATAAAAAAAAATTGTCCAGAATTGCGTGGGAAGTACAGAGTTTAACCTACTTGATGCCATTTTTTCTGTATAATTATAAGCCCCAATGCAAAAACTGCCAAACGGATGAATCGATTTCAGTGCGCTTTTTACGTCCCACGCTTGCTGGCGAGGAAGCATTGTAGACACAAAGAATTTCTTAAAAGAGACATTATGATTTTTAGATTTCATATGACATATAGGTACACCTCGAGAAACCTGGTCAGTCATTTCCATTGGTCTGTCTGTCACACATGGTTGCTGCTGTACCAGGGACGAAAAAGCTTTGTATATTTTGAAAATCGAAAAACACGAAAAAAAAAGAGATCGCTCAAACTTCTTTGGCGTTTCAGATGCCCCTGATCATTTTCAGAAATATTTTTCTCTGGTTTGGATGGCTAGGGATGACTGAGTCATCGTGAGTTTTTTCGTGTATAATTTAACCCCGTGCTGGATTGCGATGTTGCTGGATAGTAGGATTGTATGATCCATTGTTAAACATGTTGCAGGGCCAATGTTTCTCTGAAAGGGACTAACTTGTGCCGAGTATAATCCCTTATGAATTGATGACGACGCCGGCGTTGCGTATGAAGTGGTGGTCAACCGACTTGACGCCATTTCTTCTGTAGGATTTCCAATAACTTTCAAATGAATGAATTGTTGGGCTTTTTGATACTTTAGATAGGTAGAATTTACTTCTAACAAGTATGAACACAAGTTTTTTAAACAACTTGTAACTGATTTATCACATTGAGCTTTGATATACTACGGATGAATCAGATGGCATTGCCCCCAAGTGAAACCGAAATTTCCCGCATCCAAAGCAAGATTTGCTTTTCTAACCAATCGTCGAATCCGACATTAGCATTCCAGACAAGACCGTCGGCCGATGGAACATTGCAACAATGACCATGAAAGTTTTCATTGAAGCACCGTCTGAAATTCAGATGAGCCGCCGGTCTACATTTCAGATTTTCTCAAAATGCAAATACACGTTTTAAATAGTATATATAAAACGACGGCCTACGCAATGCTAAACATTTTGAATCAAATCGTGGCGGTTGTACGACCCATACGTCCGGTAGAAGAACGGTGATTTTGTTTTTTTTTTTATTCTTTCTTTAAGATAAACAGAATCTTGCAGGAAGAGGTTTGGTTGCATTTATGAAAATAAAAAAAAGAAGAAGGACGGTAGTGTTTTATTTGGTGTCTTTGAGGAAAATGAGAATATTGGTGAGTAAGACGGTGATCTTGATTTTATGGGTCGAGGAGTAATCAAAGTGTAACTTCGTGAAGTTTGTGTTGCAGAATTAACTCACACGACTGGAATAGCATAGAGTAGGATATATTTACCTTTAAGGTACTTCATACAATAATAGCAATTATTTACAAAAGGCGTGATAAATTTACAAACGTGGTCATCACAGTAAATCAAAATAATCTCTGTACTCCATCTCTGTGTAAAAATACGCTTAGAGGGATTTATAATACCTAACCTGTTTGAACTGTTCATAACTCTTACCGTGTTAAAAAAATGGCAGCATAGAAAATATCCGGTAAACATTTTCAATTCTTCTAGGTACTGATCCTATTGGCGTATTTAACAGTTTTTGAAAGCTGTAGAAGCAGAAGCGCTGCCAACGAAGTGAAAAAGATTGGGTAAATAAGCGTGACAGAGAGATTAAACATATCATGCAATATGTATTCATTACAATCATAAAATCATATATAGTTATAAATTGCTTTTGTTTTGTTTTAGTTTCATCAAGTTCACTGAAGCACACGGTGTCGGTGGTTTTTGGAAATCGAAAGTACAATGGAAAGCGCATTGGGTCAAAACGTGGCAAATGAAAAAAGTAAGTACTTCAAACGAATATTTCCGCTTTTAATTCTGACATCGCATGTGCTAAAATAAATGTGACTATCGCTTTAAAATTTGTGGACGAGTTATCTCTGTCCGTTTATTGGTTGTCCATCGGTCTGTGTCCGCACCTTTTTTGACACTGCATAATCTCCAGCAACCACTGAATGGCATTTTTGAAGTGTCACTCAAAAACACATTTTTCAATAAGGGTAAAATATTGGAATGATTCAAGCCTGGATATTTTTTGAGTCGCGATTCATATAGAGGGTGTTCCAGAATGCTGAAAGGATTTATACGTACAATGGTACAACTCTTCGGCATTGATAAAAAAGTCATTTTTGAGAGAAACTTTTATTTCACTAATTCTTAATCAAATGTGGTAGTGGACGGTATTATACTGGATCACATATTTTTTTAGAATCTTTTTCGACATATACGATTTTATATTGCATGTTCCAGATCTACGTGCCCATATGGAAAAAAGTTTGGGCTCCGGTGAATATAAAAGAATGGATTCCACTTCCAGATCACCACAAACCAGGGGCAATTTGAGCCCCAACAAGATCAACACACTTCTAGGTCAAATGACAGTGTATAACTGCACTTTATATGCGCTGCTTACGACTTTTGGTGAAAAGTAGACTGCACGAGAGCTACTTCAAAAATGGTTCATGTTCTATATGGATTACCGACTTTATAGATTTGTGTTAGCTTTTTTATCTAAATGTTTGGCATCTTTTTTTGGAGCACGTTATCCCAATATTAGGAAAAAATGGATCAAGTTACAACTATGCATAGCGGCGATGGTTCGTTTCTTATAAAGATGCTGAAGGACTGATAAACTCTTAGATAATTTGGTAAGATATTGTTTCAATTTTCCCTCTAACATGGGAAGAACGTTGAGCAATTATTTTTGTTTCCGATTGTGAATTAATCAAAAATCAGTTATTTTAAAAATTGAATAAGGATAGATTTTAAGAATTAAATTTTATACTTTAAAGTTCTATTATCATCCATCGCGTTAATTAATTAATCTATCCTGAAAAAGTACTTGCCGTGTCCTTAAAAAATGTTTCCTATAATAATTATGTTATAATGCATAAGTATTTATTTTAAAATTACTTATTTATTCTTGTTATTTCTTATTTTTTAATAAAGTTTATTATTTATTTATTTATATTTTTCCTGTTCTCCCCAGTCGCTCTCACGTGTGTCGTTTTCGCCACTAAGTTTTCGAGCTTTGCTATTAGGATCACAGAAGAGGCAGAAGGTGTGCGAGAGAAACGTGTTCTGCTCGCACTACAATAATGATGGCGGGAGATTCGAAAAACAAGACAAATATAAATACATCCTACCCCCTGTGTAGCTAGAAGTTTCTTAAAACAGCAAAAAAACAAAGTGGCGCGCTAAAAAAGTAAGATAGGTTTACTGACGAATTGACGGTTGGTTTGCAATTGAATGAATATAAAGGGAATCGGAAAAATGCTTGGGCTTCTAACATTCAACAAGGGAGAAATGATATTTAAACATATATGGTACAGCATACAGCATGGTACTTACAACTATAAGTACCTGTTTGCGTTTTTCGGATAGACGTGATGGGTTTAATATGTATTTTCCTCACTTTCTATTAGAAGAAGGGAAAATACAATAATTAAACATTCATGTGCCTTCCAATAAACTGCCTAATTTATGCAACCAGCATTACGCTTATGATAATCAATATATAAAGTAATTACAGGTTTCTCGTGTTGAAAATTAGTTAACTTGTTCCTCAGCTGATGGCGACAAAAATCAGATAAAGTGACATCTCTCATTGTTTCAAGGAAGCTATTATGTCAACAAAACATACAGAGTTCTATATCAGACACTATGTACAGATTTCTATACCGAAAAATAAGTCATCTTGAGGCGACATCTGCTGTCCAGATCGTAAAGCTTACGGCTTTCTTCCTGAGGTGACGAGCAAAGGACGAAAAGTTCAAGTTTTGGTATCAGAACCGCAGAGAGTAAAGGCGGTATACGATCAGAACTTGCTCTTGCTATTTTATAATTTATTATTATGGGAATTTCAATATTTAGAGTAAATTTGTACTGTTTCGGTGCATTGTATGAAAGCAAATAAAACTGCAAAAGGTCAAAAACAATGTTGAGATATTATATTTCTAAATAGGGATTTGTTTAGAATTATAATACGAACCTTTCAGCGTAAGTACTGCTTGAAATAAAAAATAATGTTTTTTGTGACTCACAACATGGTACACAGATATAACAGTGTATCTAGTTCAAAAAAGTTTTCTTTTGTATTTTCAGTCTATTATTGGTATAATTGCAAGCAAAAATATTGCAATAAATTCGATGAGAAAATATTTTACTGTGGTATATGCAACTAGTATGACGTTGACTGTAATCCACGCCATCTACAGAGATGTGATTTAAGTACACAATATTGCATAACAAAGTTTACAGGTTTCTAAGCAATTCAAAATCCAAATGAAATGCTTCTTTCGCTAGCCCTCCCTAGATGGAATATGACCAAGTTGAGACGGCATCTGTCGGCCAATATGTAAAAATAATGCTGTATGCTGTCAATTTCTGATTTATCATTTCAGCTCCTGTCACCAAGTCATAAACGAAATCAAAAAGTTTTTTCAAATATTTTGCTAAGTATATTTGAGTTTGTGATGTCAAAGTGTTGCTAAATGTGTGCAGTTTCTTCAAAGAAAATCATTTGCTCCCTGAAACCAATATTTTCTTATTGGTGAAGAATAACTGGCAGCCTACACTTTGAAACCATTTTGAAGGAGCAAGCCGGAAAGCTTTCTCACCATGGCAGGCAAGCGTGCTGCTTCGGTTTTTGAAGATTTATCCAACGTAGAGTTCGAAACTAGTGAAGATGTTGAAGTTATCGATAACTTCAAACAGATGCATCTCAAGGAGGAGCTCCTTAGGGGCATATTTGCATATGGTAACTATGATTAACCTTATTGAGGTTACTTCTTCTACAGCTGCTCTATTGACCCCATTTGCGTTTAATATGGTACAATTATTTAACATTTTATCAAATATTGGAAGTAATATAAACCTTATAATAATATAAATAAAATAGATAAATCAAACATGCTACTCACATTTACTCAAAACAGGGCAGTACCCAGAGCCTTAACCTTTTGAAAGCCTTATACACGTAGGCGGAATGGTGTCTCAGTGGTTACCTTAGGTGTAGGCATGTGTGCCCATTAGAGGGACATGATCCCTTCTTGGCTGTGACTTGAGGAGTAATACATTGTTAATATAGTGCAGTATGTGTTTGGGTTTTTTACTCATAAAGACAACCCTACATTGGAAATCATTTTTACTCCCACTGCTGCAAATAGTCAGCAAACCTGCTTCTAACTGGTTGACTGGGCTTATCAGTCTAACCTGCCCGCTCTGAATTTTGCTATATGAATATGCAAGCATAGGGGCCTTACAAAATGTTTGACCATAAGCTCCAGTAGGTCTAGCTATGCTACTAATATGCACACACAGTGTTATTTCAAATTTTCTAGCTTAATTCAAATTTTGTACCTATGTATTTGATAGCAATATGGTTGTAGGTTAGTACTTATTTGACATTAAAAAAGGGTTCACATGGTCTTGAAGTTAGGAAATTTTAAGCTGACACTTCTCTTTTGATGCTTAATTAAATTGTGGGATCTCACTTGAAGGGCCCTAAAAGCTAGTTAGCTAGGTGGTAATTTACAGGTTTTATGAGCATCTAATGTTTTCATAAAGTTGAAAAAGTCACCTGAAAAAAGTGTGAATATGATACAATATGATACAAATTAGCCTAGTATCTAAAGAGAATTGTCAGTTTGACATTTTCCCTTACCATAATACCCTGTGTATCCCACCTCTATAAATAAATATATTACTACAGGTGTTTTAATCTTACATCCTATAAATGTTTCTATTCTAAACACATATAGAAGGATAAAAAAATGTAGGAAAACTTTTTTGGTATCATATGAAGAATTCAAAACATTGCATTTTGTACATTAATTTATTAAACTTATAATAGTTCAGTTGAGTAAGAATAATTTTAGCCCTCTATTTAGTTCAATTTTTGGGAATATTTATATTTTTTTTCCTTTTTGTGCCATGTTAAGACCATAGTTAGTAACTGAGGGCCCTCATCTGAGTCATTCATGCTTGTTTGTGAGCATTTCTATATTTTTTAATTCCCAATTATTATCAACCACCTCTATCTCTCAGGTTTTGAGAAACCATCAGCCATCCAGCAGAGAGCAATCAAACCCATAATGAAAGGCAGAGATGTGATTGCTCAAGCGCAGTCTGGTACAGGTAAAACAGCAACATTTTCCATCTCAATTCTGCAGTCATTGGACCTGACAGTGAGAGAAACACAAGTGCTCTGTCTTTCGCCTACAAGAGAATTAGCAGTGCAGATACAAAAAGTCGTTTTGGCATTGGGGGATTTCATGAATGTCCAGTGCCATGCCTGCATTGGCGGTACAAATCTGGGTGAAGATATCAGAAAGTTGGATTATGGGCAGCATGTTGTCAGTGGAACACCTGGTAGAGTGTATGGTAAGAAGGGCTTCTAATAATTTTTTACTTATATCAGTAGCCAACACACTTATATGGAGATAATCTATAGCAGTCCATGATTGCTTGTCTGTCTAACCATTCTTTATCAAAGTATACCAGGACCACTATTCTCAATATTTAGCTTGAAATTGATATGCTTTCAGGGCCTTTAGTATATCATGATGATGGAAAAATTGGTTGCATTCCTTCCAAATTTCACTGTTTCTGAGTCTTACACAGTATAAAAATAAGCTCCAGGAATTCAAATTAATCATCAGGCTCGAATCTTTGCCTCTTCAAGTTTTCAATATTTCTCATTAAATTAACCTCAATAAACGGTACTGATTACTTGACTATCCAAAAGCTACAATAATATCATATGAATAACATGCAACACTGTAGATCTGAAGAAAAGCTCGGCATCATTAAGCGAAACACTTACCACTTGGAAGTCATGAAGCAATTTTGAAAAATGGTAATTGTGAAATCAACAGGGATATCATATTTTTGCAAACAACAAAAGCAAGTGCAAATGATGTCATATTCGCTGAAACTTGCAAATGCTTTGTGTTTTGAAGATCGAGAATACCGGCTCTGATCCTTTTTCTTATTATAGATATGATCAGGAGAAGAGCACTCAGGACCAGGTCTGTCAAGATGTTGGTATTGGATGAAGCAGATGAGATGCTGAACAAAGGATTCAAAGAGCAGATCTATGATGTATACAGATTCTTGCCACCATCAACTCAAGTGGTACTGATTTCTGCTACCTTACCTCATGAGATCTTGGAAATCACATCAAAATTCATGACAGATCCCATAAGAATACTGGTGAAACGGTTAGTAGTTTAATTGTATGTAAGATAGGAAATAACACAAGCAATAGAAAACAATGTGATTTTGAAATTGGCTTGGTGTATTTTCCCATAACCAAAATATTTGTTGATAACATGGCCTCTTCTATTTCAGTGATGAACTGACACTGGAAGGAATAAAGCAGTTCTTTGTGGCAGTAGAAAGGGAAGAATGGAAATTTGACACCCTCTGTGATCTCTATGACACCCTGACCATCACACAAGCTGTTATTTTCTGCAATACAAAACGTAAGGTTGACTGGTTAACTGAAAAGATGCGAGAAAATAACTTCACTGTCAGTGCTATGCACGGTGACATGCCGCAAAAGGAGAGAGATAACATCATGAAAGAATTCAGGTATGATATTAATGTGATATAAAAGTGATTTGTTTTTTGTATGTATGGATTATGTGATGATTCTTTGTGAATCTCTCACAAGTTCAAGTGGCATCCTGTGATGAATGGAGCAAGCAATAGTTCTTCATAAATAACAGTAACAATTTCCGAGTATTGACACCAAAGATTTACAAGAACTAAAAAAAAATTGAGTTAATTTACAATGAATCAAATTGTATCAGTTTCTTGGTGTTCATATGGCAGATCTCCATAGCACACGGTTGTCAGGTTGTTTGGACAGAATTTATCCAGAACAAGCACACAAATCTCTCAGAACTTTTTTATAAAAAAGACCTCAAAATCACAGTCAATTAATGGAATGGGTCAAATTTGGTTCAAAGAGCGAAGTGTGTCCTTTCTATGCGCGAAGTGTGTGATATCCCCGAGAATATTATCTCCCTACAAATTCCTCAAGTAAAAATCCTTCAACTTTGGGAGAAAATACCCTAACATGGCAACCCTGTCAAAGCACCACTGCTACTCCAGGCGTCAAGCTGTGAAAGAGTAGTGTATGATATGTGAAATATGAAAATAAACGGATATTGCCTGACATTTAATCGATTTGAGGTTTTTAATTTGAAACTGACAATTATCTTTTGATCTGACAAATAATGACAGTTAAATATCTGCACCATTGTCAGACCTCGGTTGACACCACTGATGTTTAATCAAAAATCATTGTTTTCAGATCTGGACAAAGCAGAGTTCTGATCACAACAGACGTCTGGGCTCGTGGTATTGACGTACAGCAAGTGAGTTTGGTCATCAACTATGATCTGCCGAACAATCGTGAACTGTATATCCATAGAATAGGCAGGTCGGGTCGATTTGGACGTAAAGGTGTGGCTATCAACTTCGTAAAGTCGGACGACATCCGTATTTTGAGGGATATTGAACAATATTATTCGACGCAGATTGATGAAATGCCCATGAATGTCGCTGATTTGATTTAAGGATCTGTGCTTACATAACATAATACATACTGGGTATTATGATTTGTCTCCGTTAAGATTGGAGAATTTTTTGTAATGTAATTTGACTCTTATGTTGTAAGACTATATTAAACTCTAAGGAAGATATCAGTTTTTTATGACCTCAGCAGTTGAGAAATATTAAAATTCGGCCCAGTGATCCATCCGATTTATCCTCAAAATTCGCATGTTTAGCATCGATTTGTGTACAACATTGGGATTAAGATTTGGCTCCTGAGAAAATTCAATTTCACGAAAAGTTGCCTGTTGATAGTCTCCTCGAGAAAAACTATCTGTGTGCACCCACCAAAAATCGCTCAAACTTGGAACGCAACTTTTGGAGGTAGTATATTTTTATAAACTTTTGAGCCCCGTAAATCTACACGTCTATTAGGCGTATTTCTCAATTATATTCTAGGAATAGTTTGCATTCGCGTAAAGCCTCAGCAATGCGAGTCCCCATACGATGCTTCCAACGTTGTTCACAACGTTCGACAGCCCACAATTGGCAAGTGTGTCTCTTACACGATGGGCCGAACTTTTTATTCTCTGACGTTCGACGCATGGTGGTGTCAAAGTCTATTATCGGTGTCAGAGTCGCTCTTGAACCTTTACAACTGAAGGAAAAATTATACAAAATGAACGGTGAAACAATTTTTTCGAGCGCCGACAAATATTTCAGATGTCTTCAGCGACCAAAACTGAAGTCAGTCAGAGGCTCAGAAATGTCGAAAAACGTTTGACCGTTTTTTGTTTGTTTTCCGACGATAACTTCGCCGCCACTGTACCGATTTTCAAAAACTGCAGAGCTTTTTCGTCATTTTCATTGCTCAACTTGCCGGTGGTTGAAAATTGAAGAGAGAGGCAGCACTCGGTTAAGTAAACAAAACAGATGGCGCGAACATCTTAAACGGAAAACTGTAGATTTGGAGGCACAAACTGAAAACTTGGAAGATCTTTGAAAAACTAAATCTGCAGTTAAAACTGTAGGGTCGGCAACCCTGCCCCCCACCAATGTTGGACGACAATAGCCGTACCGACGCCAGACGCTGCGAACTAACGCGCACTTTAGTTGCCGGTTGGCGTGATTGGAGGCTGCTGCGTCGAGACCTCCAAGTAACGCTCTGTTCTGTTAGACGACTCGTTCGAATTGTGGTGTCCAGAGAAGTCTTTGTCCGCGATTCCCCACAGTATCGTCGTGTCGCGATGGTGGTTTGAGTGGTTTTGTGAGAATTGTGTGTGTAAAAATGTGTTGTGGTTCATAAAAAGCGAGTGGTGAATGTGTATTTTCCCATTGGATATAGGTCTTCTTCCAGTCTTTCCAAGGAAATTGAATGTCTTTAAAGCAAACTAGGTATGTATACATGCTCATCTACTTTTGTGTTAGATATGAGCTTATAATGTCAAAATTGACTTCTAGTATTGTGGTCAAAGGTCATTAGTAATTTTTCTCTAAAGTTAAACGTTTTCATGTTAAAGTTACGCACCTTACCCTACAAGACTTCTATTAGTATTTTAGGATTAGTACATCTTAAAGTATCAATTGTTAACAACGTGAGCCGCTGATGCGTATTCCAATGCGCGTTATTAACAATTAAATAGCAGTGCTTCAAAATAAGTCCAAATTATCGCAAGTAGGAGTAGGTTTGAAGTTTGAGACTTTGAGTAACATGAGAGAACATTGGAAAATTTCGCCCACGAATTTCTTTTCGCTTCGTCTATAGCGAATGTAAATACATAATAACTAGCACAGTATCATGTAAAAAACAAGAAAGCTAGATTCGTACACGTAAATACCGATTGTGTTGTGTTTATATCTTATCTCTCGTATAAAAAGTTGTATACGTTTTTTACTAAGAAATAAATGCCTCCATACAATCGATATTTTTAAGAGGATGAATTTGGAACATTTGCCATTAATTAGACTATATAAACGTTGTATAGTTTATAAATGAGTGCATAAAAGTACTTTGCCAAAGGCCTGTAGGATACAATGTATTCGAAAAATAGACGGAGATGTTTTAGAGGGTGATTCCTTGTTAAAAGTTTTACTCTTACATATCATATGGAAGAAGCTGATGAGGAAACGCTTCTGCATACAGGCGCCTCGCTGCATAACAGTTACTATAAGGGCTTTTATACATTACATGTCTACCATTTCCTCAAAGTGTAATTTTATATCATAAAAACCGAGACAAAAACCTTTAAAGAAATTTTGCAAAGAAAATAACGTGACTAATTCTTCTCTAGAAGAACTGACGCGCCAATGTCAAACCTCCATGCAGAAATGATTTTCTGTTTTCCAAGGCACTTGTGATTTTTTTCGCAGAAGTTATAATAGACCAATTTTGTCCAGTGACATGCAATAAAACGGTTTTTATTTTTTTTTCTCGAAAAGTGAGATTCATTATTTCCATGTCACGTAAGGTCAAACAGAATTTGATTCAAAGTAGACTTTCTTAAGGGTAGATGAGAAACAAAGCCAGTCTTGCCAGATATAGTTCATTTGTTTTCGGTAAACTTGTGCGAACATTTTCGGTAATTTGTAAACTGTAGCTTTGAAGGCCCGAACTGAAAATTGGAAGATTTTTGAAAAAATCTACAGTCAAAACTGTAGGGTTGCCAACCTTAGTTTTGGTCACGATCAGTGGACGTTCGCTTTTTTTTTATATAGCGGCTGTGACATTCATCTTTTTTCCCTTCACGTTTTCAATTGGGTATAACTTCAGGGCGTCATTGTTTTTGCGGGTTTCCGATACCTCATGGGATTGTACTGCGTTCAGACTACAAGTTGCTGGTTCTAACTAAAAAATATCAAATTTGTGACATTCATCTTTTTTCCCTTCAATTGCTCCATCCGCCTTTTCTGTCCAAAATGTGAGAGTGATAGTTTTAATAACGCAGTACTTGTATACTCATGCTGTTTCTGCTTGTTCCAGGGACTCGAGCAGTTTGCTGAAATGTAAGCGCATTTAGGGTTTTCTTATTGGTGTAGGGTTCACAGGACTACTAGCTTGCCTTCGCCCAGCAGGGTGCCCTATTTAGATAGTTCGGGATCAACTAGGCAAAAGCGTCTGTTCAGTAGAAAACTCAGGAAAAACGTTTGCGTCAGATAACTCCAAATAAGTGGTCGTGAAAAGCGAGTAGCTAGGGAAATGTTAGGGAATTTTTTTTGGGCACTCTGTAGTGTGGGGCACATCGAGGGATACAGACGACTCATCATGACCTTCCTTAGAGCATACGTGGGTACCTCAGAGGTAAATGTTTGTGTTTTTATGAATAGGACTTCTATGTAATATATTTTGATAATTTATCGACACAGTTTGAATACCCTTACCTAAAAACAGAAATTATTGCCAGTGGCTCATCGTTGGTAACTACGACCTCCGCGAACTGCGAGGGGTATTTTCCATGTGCATGCGAACCAGTTTTTATAAAAGGTGTCATTATATTATAGCAAACTGTTTTATGTATATTTATTTAGCCAGATATTTGAAAACATGAGTACAATACAATGGAAACAAACTACGAAAATAGTTCCCGAGTAACTTTTTTCTTATATAAGAGAAAGCTTTTATAGCCGTTCGCATGCAGAAACGCTCGATAGAGTTTTCCCATCCGCTTTTCCTGCCCAAAGTATGAGAATGAGAGTTTTAATAACGAAGTACTGCTGTTTATACTTTTCACAGGGACTATGGCAGTTTGCTGGAATGTAAGTGCATTTATGGTTTTCTTCTTGGTGTTGACAACTGAACACGAGCAAGAGCATGGTTGACGAATGTGGTGGATGACCCCTCATACATGCCCACGCCCAGGCAGGAGGGTGCCCCATTTGGATAGTTGGGGTTCACTAGGAAAAAGCTTCGGTTTTGTAGAAAACTTAGAAAAAATAACAAAACGGTTGCAAACTTTAAAAGTAGAGAGAATCGGAGTATGTAAAACATATGCTTCAGGAAAAACGTTTGCGTCAGAGAACTTCATATATGTGGTCGGGCGTAGAGGTAAATTTGTTTTTATATATTAATAGAACTTCTATGTTATAGGTTTTCTCATAAAATTTTCTGAAGTATTATTGGGCCTGGTTATTGCCTTCAAGTGGCAAAACTGTGATAAACTTCAACGATTGCATTGTGCAAAGGTCCGTCAAGAAGAGGAAAAAGTGGGAAGGAATTTCCCTGGGTCCATAGCCGAGCTGTTAATCAGGGATCCAAAATTTAAAAAAACACTGCTAGGTATTAATATGGTGTTAATGTAAGTACACACAAGTATCATGATATGATACACTTGAACCGCTGTATTGAAAACGATTATTACTTTTTACAAGCAATGTGTGAAGAAATGTTTCGTGGGTAATCATTTTAGGAGACGTGTCTTGCAAAACACATGGCTGACGTAAAATCGCCCAGTGTTTGTGAGAAATGAGATATGTAAAAAGTTCAGGTTTGATAAGTGTGCTCCTAGATGCTAAGTAACCAGATAAGAAGGTAGTAGTAGCAGTAGCAGTAGTAGCAGTAGTTCTTGTAATACTTAGTGACAGTAGGGCTAGAAGTAGATCATTACAGGTATGAGGCAAGATGCCATGTTTGTAAAACTTTGGTACTCACTCCAGGCTGTGGCCCTACGATGGTATCCAAAACTATATTTATCATTACATGTTTTTATTTTTTTAAATTATATTCGGTATTCACTACTTCTATTTTACTATCGACGGCTGGATAAAACACCTCTATTTATTGAGAAAATATATTTACAAGCAAAATGGGTTACCACAATTCTTATTTTTACGTATTTTATAGGTCTGTTGTCTATGATTATTTATTCTTTCAAATCGTAGCGCAAGTGTTTTTTTAGTTCGTTTCAGCTTTTAGGTGAGAATGAGAACATTCCGTATTTCAGGAATGGTGATGAAAATGATAAATATTGATGATAATGATATATTTATTAGAATTTTGATTTTAGCTTACATTTCTACTACGTACTATATTTTACGAACATATCTATTTTTATCTAAATTATTACACATTTCTCATATTTACGTATTTTACAGAACTACTGATCAAACACTTTCAGGTTTTCTTTCAGAATCATAGCTCAAATATTTTTATCAAGCTTTGGCGGGGGAACACCCCCAATTTCAGGAATGGAATATGTTATAGACACTCCCGAGCGTGATAAACGTGAGATAATGAATTTTGATGATAATGATTTGTATAGGCAACCGTTTCAAAAAATGTTCTGCCTGGATAGCTGTATGAATGTTTTATTGGGCAGACACGAGTCGGGTAAAGATAGAGGTTGAATAGGAACAATAGAAACATGTCCCGATTTATGGTATGAAAACAGCAATCAAACGAACATCAAAATTTTTACAGAGTAAGCATTGGAGAGTATGGCATCAAGAAGGTTGATTTTGAACTTCACGAACCACTGAAGTATAGATAAAACTGTTAAGGATCTTGGCAACGTTCCCAAGAGATGTATTTTCTAAACTTACCCTAAGAAGACAAAAAGCTTTCCACTCAAACTATACTTAAATAAATACAGAGTCAACCTACTTGATGTTTCAAAATAAGCAGAGGTGTAATTGGAATACTTAAGTGAATTCTCTTTGTAGAAAAATCTGTGGATAATAGTAGTATGGTCTACTGTTGATATATTGATGAAGTTTTACGAAATACATCCAGGTTCCAAGCAAAGACTTTTAAAAATGTTCACGATTTTCATAAAACTTTTGAAGAAATTGAGAAGAAATTAAGGGACATATTTGTAAAACTAGCACAATGAGGCCAAAAGTTATATGAAGATCAACTGAATTGATAATCGAAGTAATGAACAGGTATTTTTTACATAATCTTGAACATATTTATCTTTATGTTTCACTGATGTCTTACCCTGTAAGTCAATCTTATCAGGAAATATAACTTCTGAAATCTATTGCAAAAAGCAGTGGCGTCTTAGAAGAAAGCTTTCACGAAATTGTATGGGTAAGACGTCAATGGTAGTAACACACTGTATAGGAATATAAAGGTGAAAAGAAAAAATACGAGTGTCACCTGGAAGACAGGTAAATAAAATATATCGTCAAAGTCATTGTACTCAAGGATGTCACAGTTGTCACGGAAACTTTTGCAATAAAGATTTTTTCAACTCGTGGTTTCGATTGGCGAGAGAAAAATGGGGGATTATCATAAGTAATACCATAAGTGCATCTATTTTTTCCGAAAAAAAAAAATCAAAAAACACATTGCCAAGTAATATTTTAACAAGAAGCATGAGTGCTGGTTCACCTACCCCTTTTTTATTTTGTAAAAAAAATTTTACCTTGCATTGTTTTTCCGATTTTTTTCGCAGGAAAAAATTAGATGCCCGAATGGTATTTGACAATAGTATTTCATGAGTAACAGATTATTCTGCATACACATAGCTTACAAAATTTATTGACAATAAAATCGGTAAAATTGTTTAGCGTCGTTTGCTGGTGTCTTACTTGTTATCAATCAATCATATTGCAATGTTCGGTGAAAAGTTGTGCTGCGGGTGAACTCGAAAAAATTGCTGACAGGTGCTGTCATACAATTTTTCCATCTATAAACCATTTGTAATTCAAAATTGCGCGTTTGTGATTGGTAGAAATTAAGACGAGGGAAATAGTAGACATGGAAACAGCAGGATAAAAGTTTCAGATGCTACATTAACCAAAAACTGATACCACGACTTGACTTGTGAATGTTTATGGTGACTGTGTTAAACAAATATTCATATTTTAGTTTGTGATACAATTTACATTCATAAATAAAATTTCTCTGACTCGAATACAAAACAGTTCTTACTTAAAAAATGACCCTCGTAGAAACCGTTACTACAGTGCCAATGTTTTTTTTTAGGTTAATAACTGTGGCATGGTGGTGGATTATAGACTTTCGATTGTACAAATGAATCTAGAATTGTGGAACGACTTGATTTTTCTTCACCTGATACAATTAACCTGAGCAGTGACGGTTGAGGTTTTCTAGGGGTTTCCCTCGCCCAAGTGCGAATGCAGTCACCAAAAAACCATATTCCCCTAATAAATAGAAGAGAAAATGGAAATCATAGTTCTCCTATTAATGATCATGTAATTTTAGATCACATAGATATTAAATATATTTATATAGTAAAACTTTGTTTTTTTTTTCATAAAAGAAATAGGCAAAAAATATTTTATCCTATCAAAGCCATGTTCGTACAGGTGTCGTCACTTGAATTTGTGTGACCGTGTCAACCCCAACCGAGAGAATAACTGGATATGAGCTTGAAAAAATCTAGATAACTGTAGAATATTATATAAAAAGCTATAAATATACAGCCTTCCATGTTCAGTATTTTTCAGGAGGACCAAGGTCAAAAAGTGACAGTTTTGCATTGCTTAAACAAATTGTTTTTGAGCAGTAATAGTTTTGGTTGGCCTTGAGTGACATAAAAATGACAGAATTTCCATTCTAATTTTTGCATATTTACTCTAGACCAAATAGAACCACAACCACTCCAAAAGAATTTGCATGCATGATCAGCTATCCTTTTTTGACATTGTTCCGCGATATATACTCTGATTTAACTTGAATCAAGTTTTTTTCGCAGCGGTTCTGATTCTTGTTGACTTTGGGTAACATAAAAATGACAAAATTTGAATTGAATTCTATCATTTTCATGTCACTTGACATGTATCTAATCCCGTTAAACATGTAGATCTAATTACTTAGCGAAAAATTGCAAAACTATGTTTTTTGCTACTTTAGGGTGCAAAAAATCCATTTTTATTATCGATGGCTACAAGTGATCGGACCTTTGTACAATAAAGTAATTTGGAGCGCTGAATATGAGATTCATAGAAAAGCAATTCTAAAAGGTCATCGGAACTTTATTTGGGGGTGAAATTGGTAAGAAACTTTTAACTCGGGGCTACCCGTGAATAATATCCTACTAAATTGCCATAAAATTCGGAATTGACGCACAAAATTTACCTAGAAAATGAACTTCCATCTAGATCAGGGCTGTCCAACTTAATGTGGCCCAAGGGCCTCTTCAAAAAAAAATGCAGTTTGGAGGGCCGCATTATAAAATCTTGTGTTGTTATTGTATTTTATCGTTAATGTAAGAATTGTGCATATTCGGTATCTGAGAGTAATTTATACATGACGTATATATGACCCGTGAAGCGGGCCGCAAGAAAGGAGTTCGCGGGCCGCATATTGGACAGCCCTGATCTAGATAATAGACTCGCAACAGTCCTTGGAGATTCTTATTAGTCGTTTTTTGACAAAGTGGAATTCTTGCCTTTATCTTGAAAACGAGGGACTTTTCGGACTGAATTGACGGATTCGGTTTTAGCGACCCAAAAAACGTATTATGGTTGGGTTCACAATCTCGTCTGACAAATGTTTGCCATTTTAGAACATAATACTACTAAAAATTAAAATGCTTAAACTGCGGTTCAAATGACCTCTATCGTACGTATTTTGGGTTGCCAAAGCATAATCTGATGTCATTTCACATGTATCTAATCCCGTTAAACATGTGCATAGATCTAATTATTTAGCGAAAAATTGTAAAAAAATGTGTTTTTGCAACTTTTGGGTGCTAAAAATCCGTTTTTCTTATCGATGACTATCGAAGCTTTGTATGACAAAATAATTTGGTGCGCTGAATACAGGGTCGTGACCAAAAACAAACAATGACTGACTGTAATAAATGATCATCCGGTTGTCAAAATACTCCTGATCTGCAGTAATTAAAACTTCAATTAATATGTCCTTTTACTTTGACATTAATTTAATAATATGTGTTCTTTCTTAATTGTAAGACAGATTATAAGGAATAATATATCACTTTATATATTTCAATACTTTTATTTTTGTCGTATTTGTTACACTTTTTCAAAAGACTTTTGAGCGCTACTGTACGTCACGACGTCAAAGAATAACAATCACGCACATGGTTGCTACATTAACATTACGGAGCGTATGTTTTGTAAACGTTAGAGCTAGTGACAGTGGCAGACCGCAACCAACGTTACAGCTTTTTGCCATTTAAATCCCATTTATCGTAAAGATTTCTACCCATAAATAAATGTCGATCTTTTACTTTACTTGCCAATGCGGAAAGTGTAACATGTCCTTCTGAAATTAAAACACAATATTTATAGCAAAAATTTTTGTCTTATGTGTAGTGAAAATTAAAAAACTCACATTAATCAAATTCAAGCGGATAACCAAATGGAAATGGTATTTACCATTTTGGGTTGGTATTTACCGATCCGTTCAAGCGAGTGTAGTTATCAGTTTGGTTATAAGATCCGTGACGTCACGAATCAGCTGTTATATGTCATAGTTATCACCGCAAAATTGTGGTATTTACCCAACTCAAAAGTAGTTTTATATTTCTGGTTATTATTTGAAATGTGACAAGTTAGAATTTTGCCGGGTATTGGATATTGTTATTGTACTTCAGCTTCATTTTTGAGAAAAATGATACAGGCTGACTTCAGTTTTACCATAAAGTGGAACACCTTATTAGTTATACTCATTACGGTTGTTGGGGACACTTTAAATATAGTTCCTATGCTTAACAAAGTATCCTGTGTAGCCATATACCACAAGAATATTAAAATATGGCCATATAAACTCACTAGATGATATCCACCTGTATACGGTTTTGCTAATTTCTTTTTTCATCATTTCTGCTGAATCAATAAATGTTTTCTTTAACATGCGGAAAAATTTAGAGAATTGAAAGTTAACATAGCTACAAAGCTATAGTTCCATCATTAAAAAAAAATCTGAAAAAAACATTTCTCCCATGAATATTATGAAAGGTTTCTTATTTAAACTTTCCATATACAGCTGTAGACGAAAAAGCACCGATTATTAAGTGATAATAAAAATAAACAGAAATTATATACGCGCTTTTCTAAAATAAACAACTTGCAACAAACCGCGGTTAAAACCAACGCGTTCAAGCGATTCGAGTAACTGACGTCACCATCCCGTGTGTCATCTTGAACCATATTATAACCGCGGTACATAATACGGAAATTTTGGTTATCCGCTTGGATTTGATTATTGATTATACATGTCATATGTCACATCACGAATTGCTGCTTCCTTGAAGTCAATGCAGTGAGGACGGTTTTTCTTTGGGGATTCAGGTACCTTACCAGCTTTGCATTGAGAAGATAACTTATTTACCGTTGACAAACTTATTTTCAATGCATCAGCGACGCGCTGTTTAGAAAATACGTAGATTAATAAATAAATACTATTTACTACCTAATACTTATCTTACGGACTGTAAAGGCAATAATGGAGCTTAATGATCTCGTACGTACTCAAAATTTTTCGTCAAAGAAATGACGAATTTTTTGCTTGTTGACCCAGAGATTTCGGCATTTTAGCAAAGTGCTTAGAAGGACACCTCAAAGTTTTGAAAAAATTGTTTTTATAAAATAAAACTAAGCAAATATTGAGACAAAAATAAACAACAGCCGTTGGCGTAATTACCTGACAAGCTTTGCGACAATGTCACAACACAGAAAACTGTCACGTACATAAATGTACCCCGGAAATTCAAACTATACGTACCAATTTAGGATCTATTTTGCATTAAGGTTGGCATTCAAATTTACTAAGTATGACGTAACTGCTTTGTTTCAGTGAAAGGACTATAAACACGAATCAAATTGATATTTTTTTATTAAGGTTTTCGTGCTGTTACCCTGATGTCCCTTTTCTGGCTCATAATACTGCCGAACTTTGCTCCACTCCCTATTCCTTTTCAGGTTGCCAAGATCATAACAATTAGAGCGAATTTGACTCACGTTGTAAATAGGTACACTTGATTTTTTTTTATTGGAGGACAGAATTTGATAATTGTTTATAATCTGAAGTTTCCATCCGAATGTGGGATGTCTGGCAACCCTGATGCATGGGCGGCAGTTCTACAGTCAGTGATGGCAGAAACCAGCGTTGCCAGTTGCCACTCAACGATCAACGAGTACGCGAAACGGGTACGGATACGGAAAACAGAGTAATCAAGGTAATCATTTCGTACTATGATTGATACTCGTTACTCCGAGTATAGTAACGAGTACTCGAATACCGAATAGTTACTTTTTCAGCACCTCTAGTTTGCTGTCAAAAGTGGCATTTGTCAAGTAACGTCAACAAACGCGACTGACGACGAATCAATCGACAAATACCTATACACCTACATAAAAAATTAAAACGAATTGTCCACCCGCACCCGCAAGTATACAATGAAAAATGGCAGAACCTGAATTGAACGTAGACAATTTAATCCAGAGGCTACTGGAAGTGCGAGGATGCCGCCCCGGAAAGTCTGTACACATGACCGAGGCGGAGGTAAGAGGTCTGTGCCTGAAATCTAGAGAGATTTTCCTACAACAGCCGATTCTGCTCGAGCTGGAGGCCCCTTTGAAGATCTGCGGCGACATCCACGGACAGTACACCGATCTGCTTAGGTTGTTTGAGTATGGGGGCTTTCCCCCTGAAGCAAACTATCTATTCTTAGGGGACTATGTGGATCGTGGAAAACAATCTCTCGAAACCATTTGCTTACTGCTTGCCTATAAAATTAAGTATCCCGAGAATTTCTTCCTTCTACGGGGCAACCACGAGTGTGCTTCAATAAATCGAATATATGGGTTTTATGATGAATGCAAAAGGAGGTTCAACATCAAATTGTGGAAGACCTTCACAGATTGCTTTAACTGCTTGCCTATAGCTGCTATTATCGACGAAAAGATATTCTGTTGCCATGGAGGACTCAGTCCTGATTTGCAAGGTATTTATAATTTATATGTTTAACATTCAAATCCATCAATATGCTGTTTGTGGTTTATTAAATTTTGTACCCTCTCAGTTTCTCATAATTACGGTGACCTTACAACCAGCATGGGTCTTGTAGTCTTAAAATATTCATAGTTACTATAAATAGAGTTTGAGAGTAAGTGTGAAGCAAGCATGGCTAACTAGGACAGTACAAAGCAGAGGTATTGGTACTTGAAATGGAATCTGTGAGCTTACATATTTTGGTCTGATAAGAGACAGATTGGGACTGCTTTTATTATTTGTTATTGACTTAGTTTCTAATCTATTGTGTAGATTTTCATGCATAAAAATAAATTATCTCAATTGGATTCATTTTAATACCATTTCTTCAATGAAAGTCTACTAATAATATTACATGAAAAATAATCTTACTTATGAGCTATATTAAATATTTTTATATGCAAGAACATTCTTTCCTAGTTATAATCTGGTACCAAAAAGGAAGAGTGCAGCACAACACATAGCATCCCACTGACACTGTGGATACTGTTTGAACACAGTGGGATTCATGCACTAACTTTGTCAATTCAGGTGCACATCTCACCAGTAGTAGCTTATGAGATGTCTTACTGCTCTCTTCCTTTTAGGTACCAGACTATAGTGTTCTACCAGGAAGATTTTATCAATGAAAAGTTTATAAGGAGCTTCAGATATCATTCATAATCTCTCCTCAAATAACAATGTATTTGCTCAGTTTGTAGGAATCTACTATCTACTACATCTACTTGTTGAAAAACTTCAACTGTTTTTGTTTATACTCTAGGTCAAAGTGCTGATACAAGTAGTAAATATTGAAGATTTTACAGCAATTGCCTGAAAACAGGAACTGATAAATTTGAATTACATAGGTCAAATTTCAAATGCTAGGCAATTTACCAAATATATATTTTGATTAGTGTATAATTTCATATCAAATCACACCACATAATGGTAATTGGCCTTGGTGAATACTACATGAAACTTGAATTGATAATTACAATAGAATTTCATAAAATATTGGTATTATAAACAAGAAATCTCATAGAGGTAACTATTCAGTAAACTATAGTGTAGCTTTTATCAAATTTGACATTAGTTGATTTTGCTTTTAACCTTGCTTAATTATTTGCAAGTCTAAATAATCTCTAAAAACCATTTAAGTGTTGCTTTGAAATTACAATTGATCCTTTATCAATCAGCTTGGCATTACTAAATGCTACAAACAAAATAATCTATTGAACATTGTGTGGTGTGTAATTTTCATGGAATGTTAAATACTTGGAACTGATAAACAGCAATAATAATCCATAAATAAACAACTGTTGTAGACATACAGTTTTAATGTTTGAGTGATTCACAAGATTAAATAAGTTTTGTAATGTATCAGAAGCATCATACATCTTAACCCATCATATTGGACTTATACCCATAAAATTGGTAAAACATAACTTCAAATTTCAAATTGAAATAAACTGGTGGTGCAACATGGAAAATTCTACCCAAATTCAAATCTTGATATTTTCAGAATGGAAAGAGATATTGAGTATTCTGGAGGTTCCTGACCAACTCTTAGAGAACACATACAGAGTTTGACCAGTATATATTTTTTTTATTTGTCCACTCATACAGGGTGAGCAAACCAAGTCAGGTGTAGGTAGTTGGGATGAAACTGGGGAAATGTCCTATTTGCATGGAGAGGGTAATTAAAAAAAAGAGGTCGAGCCGAAAGACGTTTATTGCGGAAAGTTGAAAATTCGGTAATTTGAGTTATAGAAAACTTTCGAAACATTTGAGATATCACCTTTTTTAGGATAGTCCAAAGTTCAAATAAATGCATAGAAAAATTTCCAAGATCAAAACTTGAGAATCTGACATAGCCCTAAACTACTAAAAAAACATGGCTCACCCTGTATAAGTGGATAAATAAAAGAAAGATACAGGTCGATCCGGGTACGTGTTTTCCGGAAATATTGAGTTTTGAAGTTGGGTAATATTTTCCATTTTGCAAAGCAACTGTCCACCAGTTTAGTTCTTATTATTTTTAATGTAATTTATGTCACTAGATTTTGCCTGTTACATTATAGAACAAAATAATATTAGATAATTACAGAATTTCTTTTGTATTTGTTGGATTTAATCATTTTTGCAAACCAAAACACCAGTAATTTGAGCTGCTATTATGTGTATAACTTTTCAAAATACGTTTTTTAGCATTCTTGAAAAAGTGATTTTGCGTTTTCTTATGCCATACATGTTGTTCAAAGCTATCTACTCTACTACTTTATTCGACCTAAGGAGACAGCATAATAATGCATTTTATAAACATATACTATTTAAAAATCATTCTGTTATGGCATAGCTTAAGCAATTGTATGAACAGTACACTAGGTGTTCAATAACTTTAGCTGTGTCCATCTGGCATTGCATGGTACTATTAGAATGAAGTGGAGCTGCTTGACCCATTGTGTAAAGGAAAGGACATCAACTGTTAACACAAGGTCTTAAACTTCCGTTTAGGTATGGAGCAGATAAGACGAATAATGCGTCCAACAGACGTCCCAGACACTGGCCTACTTTGTGACCTGCTGTGGTCTGATCCTGACAAAGACGTGCAAGGATGGGGCGAGAACGATCGTGGTGTTTCTTTCACTTTTGGTGCAGACGTCGTCAGCAAGTTTCTGAACAGACACGATCTTGATTTGATTTGCAGAGCTCATCAGGTACTTCACCTAAATTATTTATCATTGCATTATAAGTTTGATGAAATTGTAGATCAATAAGGTGTGTCTTACTTGAGGAGTTCATCAGAAAAGTTGTCACAATTCCTGCCTCCTTAATTATTTCATCCTTTTTCATATTGTCATTGCTGATAAGTGAGACATTACATGTTGAAGATATTGCATACATGTATGTCTTTCACAGTTTAGGTGAGGAGAGTTCGCATGTAACATGTGTCCACATTTGGATTTTTGTATATTATTTCCCACACTACTAGCGAGGGAGACGTTATCCGAACAATTTCGTTAATGTGATATATTTTTTGGATGTTATATGACTTGCACTTCAAGAAAAAACATGTTTCTTTTTTCCGAAGGTACTGCTACGATTTTAATAAAATTTTGACATAAGGTTACTACTATGTCAGCGATGAACAAGCTTTGTAGTTTTTTTAGTATCGGACCAATTTCGGCGAAGCTAGGGACAAAAAACGAAGCAAAATAATATCTCTATCTTCATTTTCTCCAGGGGCATCTGATCATTTTCAGAAACATTTTTGTAGGTGTTGGAAATTGGGGTTTGTGGGGGTAAGGGGTTGTAAATTTTGTATCTTTAGCATTAATAAAAGACGTTTTATTATTAAGACTTGTAATCCCGACATAATATCACTAATACTTCCTATAACATTTGTGCTTGTCACTAGCAATACTTCCCCTACTGTATTTAGGTGTGAAATAACGAATAGAAGCCTTCTACCAATATGGAGACATTTTAAAGAAAGAAGAATACATTCTCTTGCCTATTTTTAGTACCATTTTCCCAAGCAATCTTACAATATCACCTGTCACTTTTCAGATGTTTAAGTATTTTCATCATGTATACTCAGAGTCAATTGTTGCCAAAACATTTTAAATTAATGGTGATTTATCTCCAGATATATTCATTTTATTCCGTCACTAGCTGTAAGAGTTTCCATGGCTGGCCAATAGTAAAGATACCAGAATGTATGAGAGTTGACCTAGATATTATACATGAAAGTCTAGAGTTAGCCTGCATGACGTCATTTTTTATTAGTATGAAATTTATCCAATCAATCTAATCAGGTGGTGGAAGATGGCTACGAATTCTTCGCCAAACGGCAGTTGGTCACCTTGTTCTCTGCTCCAAACTATTGTGGCGAGTTCGACAACGCAGGAGGCATGATGAGTGTCGACGAGACTTTGATGTGCTCCTTCCAGATACTCAAGCCTTCAGAGAAAAAGGCCAAGTACCAGTATCAGGTCAGTACAGCAGAATGCAAATTAACTTTATACCTATAGCTTGAGTTTTTTTATCACATAGTTGAGATCTTTCATAGTGAGACTGGACAAAGTTAAAATAAAATATCTGTAATTTTGAGCTGTATTGTAAAACGTTCTTGGTTAGCACTTGTTGAGTAACATTTCTGATTGGTAGGGTCTGAACTCGGGCAGACCAGCTACACCCCAGCGAAATCCGATGAATAAAAAGAAATAGTACGAGCACTGAACGAATGGACCAAGAAGGAGTCGACAACGTAAAACGGTGGGCGGAGCTTTGCGACGAATCGGATGGCTATTCGTGGAACTCATTGGTGTCAAAGGCGATCCTTGAAAAGTTTCGGTAAACATTATTCGTTTGAATCGATTCAATAGTCATAACGCTTAAACATGAACCACATATTTGATATATTTACATATATGTGTTGCAACATTCTTCTTCAAAAGCTCATAGAATTTTCCAGTCACTAAGGGAACATGACATGACACATTCAGATGACTGTTATTTGACCCTTACTTCATTGGAATGTTTTTTTTTATTTTCAGCTTTGTTTACTAATCGAAATTATGCGGCATGTGAATAGAATTATGACGTATAATAAGAAGAGTTTTCAAGGATTGTCTTTTTGACAGATATATTGCTTCAGCTAGCAATTTTAATATCAGTAAGAATGTCCTATATTGTGATTGGATAGATCTGAAAATTAAGAGAAAATATTTTTGTAGTTGACATTTCTTGAGCATCATTTATTAAAATGCGTAACACGAGATATTTTCATTTTTTTTTTTGGATTCTGATAAGTAGTTTTTAATTGTCATTTTGCTGAAGCAATATTCTAAAATAATTTGAAAAAACTTGTGAGTAGTGGTTTGTTGCAGAATTTCGCCCAGGGTTTCATAACAATGCACTTTCACAAAATAGAACTAAGTCAAATCACTATCTTTTGACTACAATTATATTGACTAGTTATTTACAAAATTTATTTATTTATAGGTTGTTTGATTATCTCCACGTACTATTCTGTTATATTTTCAATTGTTAAAAACAATGTATGAGGAAATGTGACACTTGTAGGTAGTGAAGGAATTATTTGCAAACATGAAAGTGACACTTGTAGGTAGTGAAGGAATTATTTGCAAACATGAAAATGACCAAAGGACATTCCAAAACATGATTTTTGTGTGTGTGTGATTGGTTACAAAAATAGATGCACAAAGAAACTCATTCTGTGGTTTTTATGCTGATAGAACGCCATGTACTTTGAAAAAGACCATAGTGGTAGCCAAACAAACATGAAGCTCTATAGAAGCATGAACTTTCAGAAATGTGTTTGGCCCATTTTGCCTCTGATTTAAAATCTGCTAATGCTTTTATTATTTGTAAATTTTTGTGCATCTATTGTATTCACTGATCACATGATGGACATGTTCCATCAAGTGAGAGCATCTCCAGACTACACATTTCTTGGATTCGCAAATATTTCTTTCATGTGTTTTCACACTATGTTCTTAACTACTGCTTAATTGTCACAGTGAAATATACAAATTGTTAATTAAAGTTAGTTACATGGAAAACGTGATTTTTTTCAATGCGAATAACAGAAAGCTAGTTATTTCCTAGTACTTACTTCATTAAAAAAATCTATTAAATCTTGTTTTCTTTGGGATTGCTCAATAGTTGCTTCTCTTATGAAAAATCTTGCAAGTTTCCTAAATCCTTGTATTCGATCTTCAGATCATGTATAAAAATAAAATTGTATAGGCTTTATGTTTACAGAAGTGTTAAGCCACGTTGTCAAAGACTAAAAACGATATTCTAATGAATTGCAATTTCTACTGATCTCAATGTATCATTCTATTTTGTCAAAATGCTAAGTCAGATTGAATGTTCGGTGTCATTCTGGATATCATTTCCAGTCCACCGAACAAAATACATAACTTGTCACTTATGTTTTATGATAGTTGTTGATAAGAGATATTGCAGTTAACAGATATAGTTATTCATATAATTAAAAGGAATATATTTACATATCGAATTAAGTAAAGTTTTACTGACTGACTTTGTGCATATTATTACTCTCAACAATAATACTGCTACAAATTGACACCGATGTCAGAATAATGATGTCAAAAAAGAGTACGAATTTTTTATTTCAAGGCTTTCAAAAAATATCTTTGAGCCACTATATTATGCAGCGTGTAAAAAATATGTTAGGCCTAGTCCGCCCTTGACGATAAAACGAGTTAATCGTTTTCTAGGGGTATCTTTATGATGTGTGGCCCTAATTGTTCATAATTTTCTTGAATTCCTCAAAAGCTATTTAAGAAAAACCGATATCCAGTGTCAGCCTAAGAACTTTTTATATGAACTCACATTGTCTTTTTAGTGTTTTAAGTATTAACATATTGATCGCCGTTTCAGTCACTGGTGACTGACACTGAACTATTCCAATGGTGCAATGTCACACACCAGGAGTCTGTATACTTTCGTATTATTTAGTGCTGTCAGTCATGGGTTCTGTGATAGATTCTATTAGGTTTTCCTGACTACCAATGAATCGAAATAAATTAAATATTCATATCCTTGAGTTTCTTAATCTGGCGTTCAATGTGTTATATTTTTTCACACTCCTTATAATAGAGATGGATGTCTGGAAGTCATAGCATGTCCGTCAAAATTAGTGATGCGTCATAATAGGTACATTTGTTTCTTGTATATCTGATGTTGGTAACTGCAGTTTCTCTCCAATAAAATGCATTTCTGTTAGATTGTAACTGACGACCTAAAATAACGAAATCGAATTAATCCTACCTTGCACATTTATATTTTATGCAGCTTCACAGATAATAGTTATTAGTTTTTAACTATTCTAGCAGTTCAACTGGCGGTTGTAACATTTGTTTCAAGTCTAAAAACATTTGATTGAAAATCTATGGATATTATCTGGTCGATCTAGACAATTGAGTGATTACTTTCACCAGTTATTTCAGGAAATAATGTTTTGTCATAAATTATTTGCACTGACTGCCCTTTTGAAGTATACCGTACATTAATAATGACCATATTTAAAACATGACTAGTTGACCAAAGAATCGAGCTGTTCCGTGCGTTAACGCTGCTCTGTGCCAAGAGAGGGGGCAATACACTGCGCAGGAAATGAATTTCAGGTTCTGCGCACGTGACATCTCAATCTCATAACTAACTCTCTCCCTCTCCGTTGCTGAGCATCATGAAAGTAAACAACTCCATTTTTGACGGTTCAAACGAGTTACAAGCAAAAAATATAATAAAACAACGAAGTATGGCAAAACGTGAGTTGAAATGCCAAACCTTGGCAATCAGGATTTTGTGATGTGCGTGATATGTCGCTCTTTGTTTGCGTTAGTAACTAGATCAACAACTTGATTGACATAAAAATTGCGGCAGGTTATGATGACATTTTTCACGTGCATCTGTATAAATGCGCAGACGCTCTCCGCGCACTAGGTTTCCGAAAGCCATGCCCTCTTTATCGACAGTATTGGCTTCATACGAATACCTGTCTTTCCAGTTTCAACTCTCATTCTGCCCTTCGTGATTAGGGCCTACAGCAGCGCTAGTGACCACGAGGTAAACATGGACACAGCGCTGTGCGAATGTCTAATATAGCGCGCGGTGTAAACTGCCTGGTACTCGGACATGAGCTAATTCACGAAAGAACAAGACTCTGCGATTCGCTGCCCGTGATGTTAAAATCTTTGCTTAATACGTTGAAGTCTAGGAAAAGTATTTCTCTTTGTATTTAAACTTGGCCTAATAATCATGGGCGCCAGCAGGAGCGTGGGGGGGGGGTCGTGGCTACCCTTGAGAATTTTGTTGGACATTAAAATTTTGGGCATTTGTCCGCAGTAAGAAAATTTGCTAATATCCGCACATGAGAAAGTTTTTGGGGCAGCCTCACTTTCACAAAAAGTAATCTCTTGCCGATGATCGCTCTCCCCCTTGAGACAAATTCCTGTGGGTGCCAATCTTAACAATCGCCATTTGGCTAATAATCGTTTTCGTTGCGTGATGTTTTTGCAGTTTCTTATTTAATTTTGGTGTTTAGGTGACTACTTTTTTATATATGTTTGTACAATTTGATTTTGATTACAATAACGAAAAAAATAATAAAAAACAGTATTATTTTATTGCAATAAACAATAACTAAATGTGCTTTAATAATATTAGGCGTATCCTAAAACCCTCCTGGTTCCAATGATATTGGGAGATATTGTGAACAATTGTACAAGTATTGTATTAAAACATGATTTATAATGGTGTCATATTATAGTATTATGCTTGTATTTTACTACTACTTTAAAAATCTGTAATGTTTCAATCATTGCTTTATCATCTTCATTCATAAACTCATTGATTTTATTGTATTAAACCCATTTGTTTTTTGAAAGATACACATTAATATCCACCAGTATTTTTGGAACACACCCTAGGTGCCTCAGATTTTATGTGACAGAAGGGTATTGTAAATTAAGTGGTGACTAAAACATATGGATCTATTTTACTACAAATATATGTACTGTCACATTTTCTGAGGTACTTACAGGCTTGAATGACACATCAACTTTTTCAAAATGTATGTTACTATGTATTACTCATTATTGTAGAATAGAGGTGTAAATAAAATTATATTTGCCAAATTGCTTTTATTTTTCACGACGGTAACCAGAGATAAATAAATCCCAAGAAAGTGCTGAGCTGTTGAGAATTTATGTTCTCTGAGAAGTAAATAATTAGTAAATCTATGCTCAGGTAGGCGGTGGTAGCAGTTGAACAATAAATATAGCAAAAAACAATTTTACCGCTAGCCAAGGAAAAAGTACTATAATGTTATACTATATTATACTATAATATATGTTAAACTGCTTTGGAACGTCCAATACTATCATTGCCAGATATACATTATCTTCAAGTTTGGATTTCGGGAAGTCCTATTTTTTAAAGATTTGTAGAAAAGCCCCATTCATATTTTCCTGGAATGTCAGTGTCAATATGTGTAATCCTGGTTGCCTAGTTGTTCCAATGATAAGGCTTGCTGCATTGCCAAATTGTGCTTTGCGTAAATTTCTTATTTCATGTTATTTTAAAAATCATGATTTTGGCACAAAATCTGCATTCTCTGGCCAACGTTGTTCGTCAATAATGCTGATTTTGTTGGATACTGTTAACATTCGGATAAGACAAAGTATCAATACTCATCAACTGGGTGACAAAATCATCTCAAATGTATATAGCTAGCAACACTGTATCCTTGATTTGACAAAATTTCAAGTTCTTTCATTCTTTGTGTTGTTTTTTCTCAAAAACCGTGCAAACAAAAAGATATATCGTTATCGAGAAAGTAATTAAACTGTGTTTGTTCAAATATAGTATCCCGAGTTTGATATCGGGAACCGCATACATTTTGCATCAATATTTTCAATCGGTGACTCAAATCATTCCGTTCGTCTACCAATTTGTGTTTATTGTTGCTCTGAAATCCTTCAAATTCTTGTTTCCTGCATCACATTCGAGTAGAAAAATTCTTAAAATATGAACTGCATTTAGCATTAAAAGTGAGACAATACATGAGTTGAAAAGGAATCAAATAGATCTATAATATGGCTGGAATGTCGCCATCAGAAGTAAGTTTGATCATCTTTAATTGGTTTATTTGATTAAGCAATACGCAGATTTTATTGTTTACATGATGTAGAACTTACATTTTCTTTGTCTTTTTAGAGAAGGTTGCAAAAAGAACTTATGTCTCTAGTGAAAGAGCCTCCGCCAGGAGTTTCCGTAGATCCAGATATAGCAGAGAGGAACTTGCTACAGTAAGAATTTATCATGCAATTTATTCAATATCAGTGCATAACACACATAAAACACTTCATAAAAATGAATAAATAGGAACTTGGCATACCAAGAATCATTTATGTTTATATATTCCACAAATGGTAAATGTTCACAAATGAAAGGTGATCTTCCAATCTATTTTTCATATTCGTATTTCTAGGGCTCAGCAATGCATCAAATTTTTCCTGTATTTAGATTTTAATTTGTGTTTGCACTGAAATTAATCTATAAAGCACCAAGAAAAATGAAGAATTGTTTCAAGAAAAATAGGAAATAGTAGCCAATCTTAGCCATTCAACTGGATCCTAATTTTTGATTTTACTGATAACATGTATTTAAAAAATAAACTTTAGATTAGGTATACCTAGTAGCTTTTTTCCTTAGAGTGAAAAAGAGCTGAATAGAGTTATTTTTGTGTATCCTTTATATTAAAAATTGACAAAGCAACATACCAAGCAGTGCTGAACTGCCAGTTCAATCAATAAGAACACAACCAATGATTTTGCCATGTCTTCAGATAGATAAAGAATGATCTCAATTATTTCTGGATTCTTATAAGACAATTTTGAGCAATACAGATAAATCTGTTTGCTCATTGTAATCATATTAGGCATTAAACATGCTATTATCTACTAATACAAAATATATCCATTATATCCCATCAAATTGCCAGTGGTATGATTGTATGAGATTCTGTAATATTGATAAGAGTTTCAGTATGTTAAATAATATAAAATGTACTTGTAAATACTGGAATTATAGCCTTGAGTATTGCACTGTAAATTATAAAATCTGATGAAGGTGAATTGCATAAGCAAGAATAACTAACATACCAATTATGAATTTAAAACAAACTATCTAACAAAAATAATATTAACATTATGTATTGCTTAAAAATGAATTACATAAAGTGTGAAAAGAATAACTGCTGCCATCACATTATTGGTGCATATTCACAAAAGTATACAAGCTAATAATCATCAATAAAATTGATTTTAATATATCTTCTAGTTGGATCATTGACATCAGAGGAGCTGCTGGGACGTTATATGAAGGAGAAAGATTCCAGTTGCAGTTCAAATTTAGCAACAAGTATCCATTCGACTCTCCTGAGGTAGGACCACTTTTTGTAACCACACTAAATTAAAGTCTATAATAGGAATTACTACTTTATCACAGAAAACAAAAAATATGTTTGAGAACTTCAATCTTGTTTTATCTGTTTTTTATTCCAAATGTATTTATATTTAAATACAAATTTTAGGTGTTCAAAAATGTAAAACATGACAATTTATGTAAGTTTTCATCACTCATCAGAGTGATTTCTTTGTGTTCTATTGTTCCAGTTGGTTTTCAGAACCATTTAAGTTTCATTTAAGGTTTTTCACAATCTCATTTTTTCACACTGTCAAAAAACTCTCCAGTGTGCGCGTATTTTCTGTGTAGCTTCTTGTTATAATCACTAAATGCACTTGAATCTAGCTAACACTGGAATATGGTAGGAGAAGTTTTTCCATCCAACAGCATAGGCTGACAATTAAAATCCTCCATGATTTCATGAGCATCCATTGGCATGCTGTTGCATCCTATAGCTTATCTCAGAATATGTAGACTGACATGCTGAAAAATAGCAATGGTATTTGCAACATGCTGCAGTGTTCGCCATAATACTCTCATATTCTTAGCTACACTCCATCTCCTGAATGTTGGGACTTACTTTTTCAGAAACAACTATGTTTACCAAATAACAACACTAATGTGCGGTAAAAAACAGCAAAAACGTAGAAAAGAAATTTAACAGACGTACTCGCTATTCATTTGTTCGACAATTACATAAAAATAATGCCAAAGGTTTTGCTCATAATTACTGCTTGTAATTTGAGTCCAAAACACAAGGTTGTTTTCTTCCTAAATTTGCATTATTTGCACAATGTTAACAAGCCCACCCATCTCGGGACGGAAACATACAGGAAAACGAAATGAATACACTCGCGAAGGGACCATAAGCTAATATCAAACCAATGACTTCTGTATTGCTATAAGAATGTGCCAATGCCGTTGTTTTCAAATCAGATTATAAATGGCCAGATAGGCTAACCCTTACTCAGGGCAGCGCATGACTTGGACACTGACACACGTGGAACCTGTCGCGTAGGCCAGTCAAATTTCCGCGTTGCTATTGTCCAGTGTGCCATAAATGCTTGGGCAGGCAACGACATACGGCTAGAACCAGCGATCGGATGCTCATGTTTGTTTTGACGCGGAGTAAGTGAGGTTTGAATAGGTTATAGCTGAATTTGTTTTTTTTTTGAGCGACGCAATATAATACTCCCGCAGTATATATGGCAATAACTTGTATATAACAGTGTAATTGGTTCCAGGTAACCTTTGTGGGGCAGAACATCCCTGTCCATCCTCACGTGTACAGTAATGGTCACATCTGTTTGTCAATTTTGACCGACGACTGGTCGCCGGCGCTTTCTGTTCAGTCGGTCTGTCTGTCGATCATGTCCATGCTCAGTAGTTGCAAAGAAAAAGTAAGTGTGTTGAATGTATTCTTTCTAATCTGCGACCATGAAATAAGGAATATATCATAGCTTTTAAATGGATAAACCGGTTTAGTGAAAGGTAAAATTTATTTGTCCAGTCCTTTTAAATTTTGAATGTATACTTGTTAATTATACTTTATCAATCTTTTTGCAGCAACGACCGCCAGATAATGCTTTTTATGTCAAGACTTGTAACAAGAATCCCAAGAAGACAAAGTGGTGGTATCACGGTAAGCTATATATTTCCAACAATTTCCTAAATATCTTATTCTCTAATTTGAATTGCTTCAGTTTTGTTTATTTGGGTATCAATTATAATCAATTTTGTTGCACTATGAACAACATGAATTGGTATGTGAAACCAACAAACAAACACTTATGTGAGAGTTGATGTAGGAAGTATACTGACGTTTTTCAAAATATTTTTGGAGATACTTGATGCGCTATACAAATCCGCAACAATAACAAAATTTGTTAAAAATTAAATTGATTTCAATTTTTACTGCTTCAGAAATTGGTAGAATATTCTCTCTCTAGCACTGCATTTAGAAGAACGAATATTGTGTCTTTGATATTTGCATATTTTAAAGGAGTTGCTTTAATAACATTTTAAGTCATTTAATGATAAGCTATCATTAGATACTATGAACAGAAATAAATGTTCTACCAAAATATTTGTAACATGATTTTGTTATCTGTGCTTTCTATTCCATACACTGAATGTGAATATTTCTTTTTTTCAGACGATTCCGTTTGAGAAGTACGAGTATTTGTATAGAAGCAACTTAAATATTATGGTGATAATTTATAATTAAAAATTAAAATTGATCTTGTTATATGTGGTTTTATTTTTCTTGAAATTCAAAGCAAATCTTATTAGTCAGTCAATTTTTCTGTATAGTGCCTATTTCATGTTATTTTGATGAAATAAATATTTTAAGCTGTTAAAGTGCCGTGTTTTTTCATTTCTGTGTTGTAGCATACTAGTATCGTGTCATGAACGTAGCATAATTTTGCTGGTGGCGCTAGGCTCTGTCTGTGGTCTATGAGAAAACTCGGTATAACCGTGTAAGAACCACTATTTATTTTATTTTTCCGCTATGTTCAAGACTGGCTAAAAAGTAAATTTTCTCTGGTGACCCCCTACAGGTTCGAAAGTTGACTCTACAAATACCTCGAACAGGAGTAGACATCATCGAGGGATTTACGTATATTTACGGAGATATTATCTTTGCTACCACAAAGCGATGCGCCTGCCGCAAATAGAGGCATATCAAAACCAAAAAAATATATTTACCTGTGGTGCAGGGTAATAATGGGCAGCGATACTAAAATTGTCTCCTTCGAAAATATTGTGATGTTAGTTTGTTTTTAGTTAACAGCATGAAAAGGATCAAAATAAATATTAGTAAGAGTGATAAATAACCTGATTGGCGTAAACGAGAAAGGTGGATAGATTTGTTTATTGCTTTTATTTCGAGATAATGTGAATGTTGCTACAGTGATCATGTGCAAAAAATTGTATAATTGAATAGTGTCGCGTTTTAATACAGGGTCCGTCAGAAAAAACGCATGTTCTTTAAATGGCAAAATAAGTATGGGAAAAATATTTATTATGTCAAAATACTCAGAAATACATGCCATTTTTTCTGAGTGAAACAACATTTACGTTCTAAAAACTATGTCGGCCATATGGCGACTTGAGCCGAAATGAGCCCATTGCGTCGACCAGCATCCGTGCAGGAATTTGGGTTACTTCTCATTTCCTCCTTCAAATTCACGAGGGTCCGAGGCTTGCTTTGGTAAACTTTTGATTTCAGGTAGCCTCATAAAAAAAATAACACGTAGACAGGTCCGGGGAGCGAGGGGACCATGGAATATCGCCATCACGTCCTGGGAATTTTTGCCGAAGAAATTCCATCGAAGTGCGAGCTGTTGCCTCGTCTTGTTGGAACCACACTGTTCTGAGACGGACACGTCGACGTCGAAGTTCCGGGAAAAAAAGTTGTTCAGCATATGGATGTAACGCTCGGAATTCACAGTAGTTGTTTCTCCATCATCCTTAAAAAAATAAGGGCCAATAATCATGGTTGGGCCTACTGCGCACCAAACTGTATCTTTCGGGGTATGCAGGAGGTGCTCATGCAACTGTTGGTGGTTCACTGGAGACCAATATCGACAATTTTGTTTATTGACGTATCCATATCACTCATACAACAACGTCATGTCATTGTTAACCAACTGTTCAATCATGAGCTGTGCAAAATTAACACGTTGTGCATAATCCCCTGGCACCAGTTGTTGACAAACTTGTTTTTTTAAGAAAATCCTTTTTCAAGATGCGACGTACATAGGACGCGTGGATCCCTAGGGAACTGGCACGCAAACGGACGTAACGATTCGCGCTTTGCAGCCTGTCAACTCTCGCTCTGTCTACGGTTTCGGGGGTTCTAACAGTACGGTTTCGCCCTGGCGGTTTTTTCTTCATCACATTACCTGTTGTGTTGAATGCTTCCACCCATCTCAAAATGGTGTTACGGTCTGGTACTGTCCCACGACGTGGAACACGAAAGTGAACGCAAAACTCACGTTGCGATCGAACGACATTTTGAAAGTACCGACGTACAGTGAACACACAATGCTCAATGCTCTTGCCGACTGAAACGGCACTTCTCCCTCTATCCAACACGCCCTTCCCCACCGACACGGGACCAGCCCACTCGATGTAGTACCCATTCGAAAAACGAGTTATTTCTGACGAACCCTGTACAATCAACTGTATTGATATGTGGCAAAATGGATTGTGGAGTCGAAGGTATGTATAATTATTATGATTGTATTACTTGCCAATCGACACTATACAGGGTGACTTCGAAGTTGAGTCATTTATTTTAACAGTGAGTAGATCTGATCAAAAGAAATGTTTTTTTCCTTTACCATTTTTCTGGTAAAATTAAAGTAACAAAGTTATAGCCCTTTGGAAGTTTGAGTACCGCCCTGTCTCAATAATGATATTATGTTCTCGTGTTTGGCAACAACAGATATAATCCGCCTTATCCGTTCATCGCATCGGAAACAAAAAAGCGAAAGAATTTGGAACGATCTTTTTACAATTATTTTCTTCAGTTGTATACAGTCAGTATCAGTCGGTAGTCGGTAACGCGTAAGTGAATAATCGTGTCTGTTGCGAGGCTCAAATCAAAAATGGCACATGTTTACGAAAATGCTGAACTTGTGGACATGGTTCTTATTTACGGGGAGTCTTTACAAAATGCTGCCGCGGCATCACGGATCTATGCGGATCGGTTTCCCAATCGAGTGCAACCAACCCCTCGTGCCTTTGTTAATGTAGTGCAAAGAGCTCGTGAATCAGGTGACTTAAGACCTCACAGAGGAGATCATGCCGGTGCTCCAAGACCACACGATCAAATAGAACTAGAAGAACAAATTTTAGAATTAGTAAGTGATGATCCAACAGTAAGCACCCGACAAATTTCAACTCAATTGGCGATTAGTCAGTATAAAACTTGGAAAACTCTACGTGAAAATCAGTTCTATCCGTTTCACATACAAAAAGTGCAGGCCTTACAACCGGAAGATCATGAACAAAGGGTTGACTTTTGCAATTGGCTTTTAAATAAACATCAAAATGATGACAATTTTGTAAATCAAATTTTAGTGAGTGATGAAGCCCTCTTTACTAGAAACGGAATTATTAATTCACGTAATTCTCACGTTTGGGCTATTGAAAATCCCCATGAAATAAGGGAAACCAATTTTCAACAGCGATTTGAACCAATCAACCTGTGGGCGGGAATTGTTAATGGAATTTTAGTGGGGCCTTTTGAATTACCAAATCGCTTAACTGGTGAAAATTATTTTGATTTCTTGCAACACAATTTACAAGATGGGGCACCACCCCATTATGCAAGAAATGTGCGTGAATTTTTAAATAGACAATTTAATAATCGTTGGATCGGCCGTGGCGGTTTTGTACCTTGGCCGCCAAGGTCTCCGGACTTAAATCCTTTAGACTTTTGTTTGTGGGGTTGGCTAAAAACTCTAGTGTATAAAACACCGGTTAATACACGCGAAGAATTACGTGCTCGAATTGAGGAAATGAGTACAGTGATCAGAAATCAACCAGTGATTTTATTGCGTGCTTGTAAAGAGACATGGCTAAGACGCGCCCAGCTGTGCGTCGAGCAAAACGGAAATCATTTCGAACAGTTTTTGTGACATGCTTTTGGGCGCACAGGTCCGCACTGAAATACTTGTCGGGAGGATACTTTATAAAACAAGGTAACATTTTTTTTTATTTTTACACACATATTTTGGTTTATCTTCCTTCTACAATCATTATCTGAAAATTAATGACTCAACTTCAAAGTCACCCTGTATAACAATGCCTAATTGATATTGTTTCCGTAATTAGTGAATTAAAAAAAGTGTAAAAAGGTCCATTAGAGTAGAGTTAAGTAATATGTCAATTCTGGCAATTATGTGACATTATGCGATAATAATGGAAAAAACATACTTTGAAATCATATAAAACTGTAATTTGAGGGCAACCTGCATTGTTTTTCGGGAAGCAGTCGTCATACTGAATCATCCGTTAAGATTTTTTAACACGTTCGCGGATACTGGCGGCATATCACGTCAAGGAACTGTTTTCTGGAGGGGCAGAAAAATAATGTGCTCAAAATGTACCTTGATAAATTATTTCATATCAAATATGGAAAAAATCAAATAGCATTCAAACAGGAATTTTTCAAACATTTAGCTATAGTCATGCGTGATATGACGCCATTCTCGTATTCTGAATCAGTACAAGAGTCCGAGTCCTGTTGCATATATTCTGGATCAGCAATGGAGTGATCTGTACTATCGGTCGGTTACACCCTCAACAGAAAATGCCACAACCTCCTTAAAATTTAAGTTATAGGAATAATTCTGCTTTGTGAAACTAGCAGTATTTTCGACTATAGGAAATTTCCCAAATGGCAAATACCTTGAGTGGGAGTAGTCGAATATTAGCCCAATACATTTGTGAAGTTAATTTCACCACGCTGTATCAGTTAATCCACCCAACGACGAAAAAAAAATTGTCAATTTTTTCTAAATTTGATTGTCTACGTCGATTGTTGGAACGTCCATTAATTAATAGGGAAAGGAAATACTTCTTGGTCAATAAAACGCTTATATAATTATCTCATTTTTATTCGTACATTTTTATAAAGAAAAATATAACTTATGCAAAATAATATCTATCCTGTAATTAAAAAATGGAACATTGCTTTCAATAATATTTTTGTGCCTGGGGACCGCCGTACTAATATACGGCTTCTGTACAATATTCTAAATATTATTGAAAACAGCACATATTTTTGGTGAACCATCACTAAGGTTGAACACGCAGGGTGTCCTTGGGATTCCCGCAGGTTCATTCGGGAACAATGGTCGTTCCCGACAGGTCATGGTGGAGCATCGACGAATTTGCCAACTCTCCGAATGATTGTTCTAGGCAATGTTTCAGTTCAGCATAGGATACTACCAGTACACTTTGTTCGTCCCGAGATATCTGTAAATTTCAGAAATGGGAGTTTTATCAGTCCGCTTGGCACAGCTCAAGAAAGATGAGTCTTGCAGTTGCATTTTGGGAAGAACTTGCACATGGCTACAGAAATACAAGTATGCATTTTTGGCATATTTCACCAGAAGCCGTGCCTTCGCGAATCCGGGATTAAGTCAGTTCCATAGACCTTCCTAGTAGTCGAATCATATTAGACGAAAATACCTCTGGTTTTCGAAATAATTGTAAGTCTGGTTATATTTTTGCAAGTTGTTCAATGGGGTATTCAAAACATGGACGCATAAAACGGGTACACCAATTTTTGTGGAAAAACTTTTTATTCGACAACAAAGCTTGAGAAACGTGTTTTTTGGGATTCAATGGAAGCAGGAACGACAAAACTCTTCATATAAGATTTTTAGGTACTTATGAGACCTACAAAATGAGACCACGACTATTAGCAAAAAAGTTATGGCCGAAAACAGAGGCAAACTGCAGGTTTTGGCACTTGGTAATGCGACGATGGTTTCTCGCAGATATTTGAAATTCTTCAAATTCGTAGGATTCCTACTTCTAAATAACCACAATAAAATTGGATTAGATTGGTCAAGAAGCTTTTGAGAATCTCTGTTTATCCCAAAACACCTGTTTTCCGGCCATCGCTATTAGTTTATTGACCAATCTACAGTGCATTTTATAGCAAAATATACTAGTTTACCTTGCCGATATGAATCGCAAACCATTCCGGAAGATGAATGTTGTTTTTATGCAAAACATGATGGGTTACGTTTTTTCTTCTAACAAATTCAAACATTTCGTATTTGTGAGTAATTCGCAACAAAAGATGATAGACAAACCCGCTTTGTTTTAAATTGTGTATAGTAACGTATGTTTTTCGAATATCGTAGCGCATTTGTTAAATCTTGAACTGGTTTTTGTTTCATTCATTACGGGCTACCCTATATACAAAACCAGAATAAAGAAACTTACCAAACTGATCTTTTCTGGAGTTCCAACATCTAGCTTATTGAGGCATTGAACAACGTGCGCCATATCAAGCCAAGGGTTTCCATCCTCATTCACTTGATGAAAAACGTAATCTCTGAATAGTTTCAACATATACCTAAAAAAAAAAAAAATATTTGATGGAGTGAAAACACCTTATTATAGTCTATAGACTTTTCAAAATCCACATATGATATATTAAATATACCAGCAGTACTGACCTATCACCTGTCTCCGACCATGTGCTTTCCATGTTGAAATCCGGACGTTCGTTAATCATGCTAAGTTTGACCATCAGCCTGAATAGTCTGCCATTCTGCACTTCTTTAGATAGTTCGTCGTCCAAAGAGTCTGCATGTTGGTGTAAAAGATCTAATTGCGTATAGAAACGTGCTCCTATCATAGGCATTAGATCCGTAACGCTGCGACGCTGTTGTGAAGCCAACAGGTACCTGAGTACAACAAAAACCTTATGAAGCACATGAATGCAAAATTCCCGAATCATACTAAAAAATTCTTCCCCTTCCTTCCTTTCATCTTCTCCTTCTGTTTTGATAAATTTTTAGAAATACACGGTCAGTGAAATTTCTCAACTTCATGGAGTTATTGACTATTTCGGCAAAACAAACAACAGCACCTGGTGAAAAGGTCCCACCCCCATTTGTGACTCTCCCTTCCTACCGTGTTGTGATAAATATTGAGCAATGACTTATTCAATTGGAGAAAGGGTAGAAGGACCAAACGCATCATAAACTCATAATCCCGTATTATTTCCTGATGTCTATTTGACACTTACATAATGAGATTCCTAAGATCAGGTGTGTACGTTCTGCCGACCAGATCCAGTGCCGTGGACATGTTCTCCCTCTGCACCGCCACGGTGGATTTGCACGCCAATGCGAGCACCAGCTTTCCTAATGAAGTCAGATCTTCTTGTTGGTAGTGTTGGATGAGAGTAACGTGGTTGATAGTCGAGTTCGTTTCGTGCATCACGACATCCATGACGCCTAGACAGCTCAGTCGAAGCCTTTATAACAGGATTGTAGATTACCTTACTACACTTCTTTTTTGCACGTTTTTGGAAACAAAAGATCTTCTAGTACCCGAACCATTGGCGGTAAATTTGAAAGGTATTATCATGTTCAATAAGAAATATCATGGCGATTAAGGATGTTTATGTCGCTGCTACTGAGGTATTTAAAATTTCTACATCATTTCATGTTATTTCTATTTGATACTTGATTATACTAAAGTTATTTTTGGCATTTATTCAAACTTGAATAGTACATATTGAAGGCTGTCTCTAGCCATGTTGGGGCCCTTGGCATAAAGCATCTTGGGGCCTGCGGCTGAATGGTTCCCAGGGCACAGCCCAACTCATTGTTGGCAAAAATTGAAAAGCATGGTGACATTTTGTTAGAACTTGTTGACTTTTTAGGATATGGAAGAGAAACCTCAAGTCGAGGCCCTTATGCTTATAGGATAAAGATGAAATAAAAAATAATGCTATCATCCAGAGGGAGCAAGTGAATGTTAAACTATAACCCTGCTGTGAGAATAGGATGCTTTTGTTTTATTTTGTGTATTGGTCTCTTTTCAAACAAAAACTCCTTCTCAAAACCATATCTATTAATGCAATTCCCAAAGAAAAAGTTAATATTTTGTCAGAAAGCAATCATTCAAATTAATAGTGGCAACACATCAGTCGACTATACAGAACACAACAATAACAAACTTTCGCCAATATCGACTAGTTTTCGAGATATTTGTTGAACCATTTTGACGAGAATTTTGCATAGACGAAAATGAAAATTTCATATCAAAGCCTTTCCTTAAAAACGAATCATCAACATCCAGAATAATTTCAATTACTTTGGAAATATTTTCTTCCTTGGAAAGAGGGATAAAACACAATTGAACCAAAAAATACATTAAACAAGTTTGTATTGTTAGACCTCACATGTACATATACATAATATACACGGTGTTTCAGTTTATTGTTGCATAACCTTGAGATTCGATAGAACTTTTAAAATTAATGCATAAAGTCTATATAAACATGAGTCGAAAAATGCGTGGCTTCCGAAATACAGGGTGTTTAAATTTACTTTCTAAAATACTTTTTTTAAATATTTCGAACAATATTTGATGTATAACAGTGAAAATTGGTATACAAGGGTTTTTTGGTACGACAAAACGAACCATGGGCATAGTTTTACTGTAGCCGCTAGAGGGCGCTCTCTACTGTACCTGTAGTGTATTAAAATGACAGAAAATTTGCTTTTTGAATAAAAAAACTGATTCTGCGCACTTTTTAGCATAAAAAAGCTCTCCTGTGAGTTTTCGTTATAGTTAGCCGTTTTTGAGATATTTCGATTTTTAAGGTTTGATGCATTTTTAATTATTTATGATAAAATATCGTTAAAAAGTCAGTATCTCGATAATTTTTAGAAGTAGGCTGTGCCTGCAAATATTTTTGAAATTGAAAGCAGAATAAGGTTAAACGTCAATTAGTTGACAGTTAGTTTTGTTGTCTGTTGAAACCTGAAACGTTTTTTTGCAATTGTGAATGCACGAAATTTAGTTTCTTTTACCTGTTTTTTTTGTAAGTTTTATAAAAATGCCATTTTTATTCCTCAATCAAGAGTTAGCGGATATTCATTTTGTGTATGGCTTTGTAAATGGAAACGCAGCAGAAGCAGCCATAGAATACGCACGAAGATTTCCAAACAGACGACATCCAACTCGCTCAGTATTTGTAAGAGTGCATCGCCAAATAATTGAAAATGGTTTTGGAAATCTCCAAAGGGATCAAAACATAAATGTTCGTCAGCGCAGATTTACCCGTATGATTCTGCGTGAGTTTGATAGAGATCCGACCACAAGTGTTAGGAGAGTTTCTGGTGGCTTGGGATTTTCAGCAAGCCAGGTTCACCGTGTTCTTATAAATGACCATAGTCGTCCTTACCATTTGCAACCTGTGCAAGGACTACAGCCAGGGGACGGAGAACGAAGAATCACATTTTGTCAGTGGATGCTTGATAGAACTGATAATAGGGAGTTTTTAAGTAACGTTTTATGGACCGATGAGTCATGCTTCACTAGACGTGGAGTGGTAAATTTTCATAATCAACATATTTGGTCGCATGAAAATCCGCATGCAGTTCGGGAAAGAAATTTTCAGCATGAATTTAGTGTGAACGTGTGGATTGGTATCTACCGTAATCGACTATTTGGACCCTACCTTTTGCCTTCAAGGTTAAATGCTGCGACCTTCTTGGGATTTTTAAAGGCTGAACATGCAAATATGTGGGATGCTGATATGTTAGATTTAAGAAGATTGGCTTGGTTCCAGCTTGATGGTTGTCCAGCTCATTATTCGAGAATAGTTAGAAACTGGCTGGACGAAAATTATCCAGAAACTACTTTAGATTTTGTATGTTTGTCCTAACTATCCAATAGCATTTTAGTTGTAAATAATTAATTTAATTTGTTAAAAATAATATTGGAAAATTAAACAAATTAATATTCTGCTTTTTTGTGTTTATTTGGAGTTAGGAATTATTGCTGTGTTTAAAAACACAATCTAAACGATCATCTTAATTACTTGTAATGCCCAAATCGAAAATGTAAAAAAAAGTATTATTTTCCCATAAATAATTAAAAATGCATCGAACCTTAAAAATCGAAATATCTCAAAAACTTCTAACTATAACGAAAACTCACAGGAGAGCTTTTTTATGCAGAAAAGTGCGAAGAATCATTTTTTTTATTCGAAAAGCAAAAAATTGCACTAAGAAAAATTTTTCGGTCATTTTAATACACTACAGGTACAGTAGAGAGCGCCCTCTTGCGGCTACAGTAAAACTATGCCCATGGTTCGTGTTGTCGTATCAAAAAACCCTTGTATACCAATTTTCACTGTTATACATCAAATATTGTTCGAAATATTTAAAAAAAACTATTTTAAAAAGTAAATTTAAACACCTTGTATTTCGGAAGCCGCGCATTTTTCGACCCATGTTTATATAGACTTTATGCATTAATTTTAAAAGTTCTATCGAATCTTAAAGTTATGCAACAATAAACTGAAACACCCTGTATAATATGGTCAATAAATGGTATGGTATGGTATCGAAACGCGTTTCTGTATAATTTGTTTCACCAAACACGTGCTCTAATACATGCCTGGTTTCGGACTAAAAACACCAAAAAATTAAATACATTCTTCAGCATATATCTCGAAATAGATAAAGAATTCATACTTTTCAATTCAGCAAATCTTTGGAAGGACTTGTCCTATGGCATGTCACTTACTGCTATTGGTCCAAGTACAGAAATGCCTCCTTTCCGGCTATTTTTGGGGACAAATTGGTTAAGGCTTTCGCGGCCAGTTAATAAACTGCTGTTCGGGTCTAAAGGCCGTCGTCGGTTGGAATTTCTTCCCAACGTTTCGCTAGCACGAGTGGTAAGCTTCATCAGAGGTCCTTCCATTTCCGCAGTCTGCATCCAGCATCGGAAATGGAAGGACCTCTGAAGAAGCTTGCCACTTGTGCTAGCGAAACGTTAGGAAGAAATTCCAACCGACGACGGCCTTTAGACCCAAATCAAGACAGCAGTTTATTTTTGGGGAAACAGTAAGCATGATCTTTCTGAACAGCCAATTTTCAGATACCTCCAATTTTTTATATGTATCTAAAGGTTATGAACACTTTAGCAAGTCTCTGTTTTGAAGCACTTTTAAAGAACTTAGATCTACAAGCCTCATCTACCTTACCTGTTTCTGGAATTGATAATGATCTTAGTAGGATCGAGACTACGGCAAGCTAACGCTGATGAGTGTATGACTCTCAGCGCCGAAGTGAGTTGAATGATGTAGTTCCAGATGAGCGGTTCCGGCAATTTGTTGTTCTGTGTGTGCCTGAGCAGATTGTTTTTCTGGTAACTGTACGGCCTCGGGGTACTAGTGTCGTTGATGAACGGGTCGGAGTACCCGGATTGGTCAGGCGAGAAATGGCGGCTTAGTAGGGTCTCGCAACCCGGGTGGTAGTCGTAGACAAAGATCATCGAGTTGTCTCCGAACGCCTTGTTACAATTTAAAAATTCAATAATACACAATGATGGTATGAGTTGAACAGGAATATAAAGAAGCCCCTAACAGAACATTTCCTTATTGCAAAGATGTGTTATTTTCCTTGACGGTCGTGACAAGTCTTAAAATATCTTCCTTGCTGGAAAAAGAAGGCTTTGCTCTATTTATTGTTTTGAAAAGTCGTTAATTTCGAAGCTTCCATCAAGAAGCGCAGAGATCTATCCATTTGTCTACAGGGTGACAGGTAAATAGGTGTAAAACATTTTAGAAGGTGATATTATATGCTATCAAAATTAGTATATTATTCAAAGGTTAAAAAGTTATGGAAGATTTAATTTAAATGTTAAATGAAAATTTTTATTTTCAACTTTCACATTAAGAAGTCTTTTTTTTTCAAAAAAATCATAATAAAGAAAATGTACAAATAATTGCAAAAACTTCCTCGTTTCATTAGGTTTCTAAAATGGTATAATAACATATCAGTAAGTAAACCATTTAACAAAACAATATTACTTTGCTAGAAAGGACCGCTAAGCACATTTCATTGTACTGAGCACGTAAACCGAGCCTTTCATGGTTCGACCCTTTTTGTTATTTTTTGTGCCCTGTGCCGTTATTCGGGTTTAAGTATTCGGAATCTGTCGTCGCTCCTCGGAAGCAAGCTCTGCGCGTGTTATGAATTGACACAGCTAACGGATCAAGGAAAGGGAACTAACGCTTAGGTTAGTTAGTAGAATATCAACCTTTAACGCGGTAGGACGTACTTTTACTTTTTTGATCAGTTTTAATAATGGCGAGTTACCGTAACGAAGAATACGCTGATATTCTGTTTTGTTATGGTTTAAGTGATGGAAATTCCGTTGAAGCCAGTCGAGAATACGAAAACCGTTTTCCGAATCGGCGAATACCGAGTCATCGAGTATTTGCTTCTGTGTACCAACGCGCCAAGGAAAGTGGACAGGTTCATGAGAGACGTCATGATGCTGGTAGACCTCGGTTGTTTGACGACGAAGATCGAGAGGCAATACTGGAATGCTACGGCAGAGACTCGACGACGTCTACACGAGTTATAGCAAAGCAGCTTGGTTTAACTCAGTGGAAAGTTTGGTTCGTTTTGCATTCGGCGAGACTTTACCCTTTCCATTACACACCGGTTCAAGTATTAGAAGAAGGAGATCCCGCAAGAAGAATTGATTTTTGTTGATACATGCTTCATCGGGATCAAGAAGAAAACGACTATATTTAACTAAAATATTGTGGACCGACGAGTCTAAGTTTGACAGAGAGGGGACAACAAATTATCACAACTTACATTATTGGGCCCCAAGAGAGGCAAATCCCCACATGGCAAAGCCAAGAGCCCATCAAAGAAGATTGTCGGCAAACGTGTGGATGGGAATCATTCATAGGTATCTAATTGGACCAGTTTTTTTGCCTGACAACCTGAATGGCGAATCCTATGAAAACTTTTTGAGATCCGAACTCTGGGAGTATCTCGAAGACCTGCCTCTGAATATCAGGATGCAGATGATCTACCAACACGATGGCTGTCCCGCTCACTTCCGTCTGGGTGTTAGACAGTGGCTGGACGAGAAATATCCTTGTCGCTGGATTGGCCGAGGTGGACCGACACCGTGGCCAGCGAGGAGCCCAAATTTAACACCGTGTGACTATTTTTTATGGGGGCACATGAAGTCACTGGTGTACGCTGAGCCCATAGACACTCTTGTACAGTTGAAAGAAATAATTATTGCTGCTGCTGACACTATCAGAGGACAACTAATTGGCAGCATCACGCGTACCAACATGAGAAAAAGACTACGGGCTTGCATAAGAAACGGCGGGCGTCAGTTCGAACAACAATTACAATGAATTTTACTTTCATTTCATTATTGTATTTTACTTACCAATTGTAGTAACTTTTAGTCAGTTTTTATTATTCTGTAGTACAATTACAACTGTGTAAATAATCTAATCGTGTAACTTAACCGTAGTTTAAAATAATAACTATCCCATAGCTTACAGTTACATTATTTTCACAAAAACGCTTTCTTATCAATCAGAGAGTTGTGAAAATAGGAGACAAGCCATTGGTAAATTTACTCCCTATTGTTGTATTACAATACATTGTTTAGTTTCACACAGTTTTTGTGCACTTATCATACCAATTTAGATTCCTTATGAAACAAGGATATTATTTAAATTGTTTGTACGTTTTTTTGTATACTGATTTTTTTGTAAAACACCTTACTTACTGTAAAACGTTATTTGTTTTTCTTAGTTAAACATTTTTGAATGAAAATAAATACGTTGTTTGGTATTGTTTTCGAATCTTTTTTAATTTATAATAGTTAATTATTGAAATAATAACCCAAAACCACAAAAAAATAATGTTTAATCGCCAACTTTTTTCTCGACTTTTTTACTCTGAAATATGGATTGTTTTTAAAAAAATCTTAAATCTTCAATAACTTTTCAACCTTTGAATATAGGGTATGGTATTACTAATTTCGATAGCAAAGGGGCTGTACTATCACCTCCTTAAATGTTTTACACCTATTTACCTGTCACCCTGTATAAAGATCACATCCTGCATCAAACAACGTATTAATTATCAATAGCTAGAGATAAGAAGGCCTCAGATTGAAGCTCGACAACTGCCCTGTTACCGCAAAGTCACAAGCAAGATAGATTTAAAGTATTGAGAAGACACCTTAAGGAGTAATGTTATCTGCAAGATTTCTTATTAAGATACTGGAGTCCAATAGGATTTAAACAGTGTCAAGTGAGAGCTTTGATGGATTCATATGGGTTAAAAATGGTGTTACTTCTATCTGGACTAATGTTTGAACAATGATCTAATCTAAATGGATGAGCTCTTACCTTTGTAGTAAACACCTCCTTAAGTTGTACAATGTTGGAATGACTTAGTTTCTTCCACAGCTCTACAAATGCCATGCATTTGGTATTGGATAGCCTGAAACCATGTATCCTTCGAAGACAGTAGTGGATGCCTGTCTTGATGTGTGTTGCCTTGAATAAAGAACATATAACTAGCAGACCTAAGAACGGGTTTATTTCTAACTTGATAATATTACCTTTGAAACAGACAAACATTTAAGGGGCAACACCACACCCATTCTTGGTGTGGAATGGTAATGAAATAACACTGGAGGAAGTAATTGAGCATATATTTAAGTAACAAAAAAGACAGTAATCATAAAAAATATTTAAAAATCGCGACACCCTATCGTTTTTCTCGATACGACACGCAGGATCACTCGAACGATTGTCATTCTCTTCATTCGATTTTTTTGAATACCCTTAAAATAACATTTGGGAGATAAATACGTAAGGGATTTTCGATAAGTGAATTTAACAATTATTTATTGATAAATGATCATCTTCTTTTGCCGAAAAGTGAACGTTTTAATTCAAATAATCGCTAGCCACACAAAAAACATTATTTTTAAAATCCCCTGCACATTTCTTTAGCTATAAACATTCACAATATGTTGTTTTTTCTTTTACTTCCCATGCCTACTGACGGGTAAATATTGTAATCGCGAAAATTTTCGAAAATTCTATGAGGTACATCATGAAAAAACTATGTCACTCATGTCCGTCTGTCTGTCGTCCGCTAATCATATGATCACCTACAACCTGAGAAGAACCGCTCTGATGTTGATGATATTTTTATACAATGTTACTACTATGCCAAGGACGAAAACACTTTGTAGTTTTTGAAAATCGGTTCTGTCGCATAGGAGAAAAAGGCTAAAAACGGAAGGAATAAAAAGCGCACAATTTTTTTTCTGATAATTAAGGAAAAGTCATTCAATTTGGAGTGGGAGTTATAGGGGGTATATCTAATTTTTTTTATGTTAGTATATGTATACCTTTCCAACTTTAGTAATTCTACACACCTATTAGACATATTTCACACATCATAGATTTGCCCTTTCATTAGCCCTTGAAATCCGGCGGCGTGCCGGTCCTGGTAAATGTTCTGGTACTACCGCCGCGCCATAACATAATGTTTCCTATACTGTGGCCGCGGTGCCACGTCTGACCGAGTCAGCTATCAAAGAAGGCAATGTTGGCAGATGGACTACATGTAGGTCAGCCAAAGAATGTCTGTGGACTAATTGTATGGAACAGTTTGACTGACTTTTTTCTCACACGGTCAAGTTTGTGCTGAAAATAATCCTTTATGAACCGATAACGGTGATGCAGTCAACCTACTTGACCCCATTTTTTCCAGATCTAATTTGCAGCAGCTACAGTACTTGTTCCTTAACTAATATATGCTCAATAACTTCCTCCAATATTATTATTTTATTACCTTTTCTTCCACAAATAAAGAATGACAAATGACCCACTTCTTTGGCTGTTACCCCTTAATCCAATAAACATATCCCATTGTCTGGTTTAGAGTTTCTACTTCTAACTTTAAGGCACTTTTTTCTAGAGAAGCTTTGATTATATAATTAATTCCTATGATACAAAAGAAGACTACCACTATAGTCAAAGTTCTTCATTCTCCAAAATTCATCACATACTTTGTACATAGATGCCTGATAGCCCATATGGGGTTTGTGTAGACCACCTGCACTGGGCATTGCTTCCACAGGAAACAACTCATGGTAGCTGTCTACTTCTGCTGGTAGGTCAGGAAACTGTGTTGGATCTGCTTGCAGCAGTGTCAACATGTTCCTGTTGAGGATGTCATTGCGTAGGTCTGATGACAGGAAGTATGAAGGCTCGGATTTTCCTGTATGAATAAAAATTTTGATAAGGGTGCTTCAGTGCTTTGAGTAGCTAAATATTCCTTTGTATATTTGTTCACATCCAAGAAATAACATTTAGAGAAAATTACTAAACAATTTGTCCTCCTAAAATCAATATTTTACCAAGTTACTTCATAGTATATGTAAATGACTGTCTAAAATTTCGAAATAAGATCGGACTGACGAAAGCACCACGTTTAGTTTGTCTAAAATATGTTTCCAATCCATAGTTAATGGAGTTTAATTAATTTTTCATTATCTACCTGCCAATACATAGCATATTATGTTAAACATCCATTGTTTCAAAGTAACCTTTTGTTGTATACTTTGGCAGTAATATAATCTTCATCATTTTTTAGGTCAGATTAATGCAATGATAGGATATATTACAGATTCTGAATTTATAACACCTCAAATCAACCCATATTAGAATATAATAGATATTTAAAAATGCAAGGATACATAGTGCATGGTGTACAAGTAACCTTTAATGCTATGCATTTGAAAAAAAGTAATACATTATGGAGATCATTAAAAGTATATCCCAAAAAGATATGCTGATGAATATATGTTCAATGGCGAGTAGGCTGGGATTTGCAGGGATCAGTAATGGTAATAGATGTGATATCTTATTTCAATATGATATTTAGGTTTACAGTGTCAACTGCAAAACACAGCTTATTTTGTTTTCACATTCATTATGTTGCAAGACTATGTGATGTGTGTTATATATTTGATAGGGTCAGATAATATTTTGATGTTGACAGCTTTTAAAGGTATCAAAGTAGTATGAAAAAGTTACTTTGATAAATATCATTAGCTAAATATTTACAATATTTTTTTATAAGAAATAACAAGTATTCAGCTCTCACGTTTTCGAAACAAAATAATCATAGAGATCCGAAAGTATGACCACATAAGTGACAAATTTATGGATTTTGGTTGGCTTACTACGATTAACATAAGAAATCTTCTCACAACAGTATACAATATTGTAACTAGTAGTACACCCAGTTATTTTCACAATAAACTTACCAGGCTGTCTGATAATAAAGTTACTCACAATAAACATCTTTTGGTTATTCCTAAACATTCCACAGCTCTGTTTAAGTAAAACTGTATAACAGCTTGGTAGTAGAACTCAAAAATCGGAACCTCTACAATTTTAAAACAAGACTGAAAGCTGATATCCTTCATGAACAGGGGCCTAAGATATAACCAAGCCTAGCTACCTTTTGAAGGATAATTTCTCAGTATGTTTCTTTTTAAGTCGTCTTGTTCTTTTTTGCATGAGTTGTGCTCTGATAAAAACAGCATTGGCGATGTTCTCGTATGTTCTATTTTGTATTGTATATTATATTTTTTTATATATATTTTGTATGAGTGTTAGTTTTTGTGGGTTTAGTTGACAAGCAGCTTAGGCTGAACTACACCTTTCATCATTTTATTTGAATTGAATTTTCTTTCCTCAAGTTATTTATAATGATGAATAAAGACCGTTTATTATTATTATTATGGAGAGACACACAGACCCTCAAGGTATGGAAGCTAGAAATTTTTGTGACAGCGGTCACAGCTGTTGCTTTCTTATTTATAGTGTTTATCAACAGGAAACGACAAAAAGTAGCGGGCAGGAAAAAAGAGAAGAAAAACATTTGAGATGGAAACTGCCAGAGAAGTGACGCCAGGGTAGTGACAAAAATGTTCATGTGCTTGAAAAAAATTAATGTTTATTAAATATTATATTATTGTATGTAATTCATGACTCTTGTATTCAAGAATCATGAAGGGATAAACACTGGAACCACTGGCAAAAAAGAATCTGCCAAAACTACAGGAGCAACTCCTTTTTTACACTAGGCAAAATCCTGATGGTTTCAAATTATCATTTTCTAATTTATTGGTCATGGTCAAATCACGGAATTGTCATAATTACATGAAAATATGCAATTTGATTTGCGCTAGGTGAGGGTGACACAATTTTCAGGAACTATAACTAAAAACGTATTCTTCATGAGTTTATACAAATGTTTAATGTCTCTTTCATGAAAATATGATCTAATATGTACCTAGCAATACAAAGAGTATCTATACCAGTTACATACGTACATATTTTTAGTGATAGTCAGGAATGGAGCATTCTAGGGGATTATACATTTTGTTAATTTTTTCTCCATACTGTGCCTAAATCTTGATGGTTACATTTTCATGATATGTTCCAAATAAAATATTTACACACATTTAGTTAGTTCCATTTTCACAATTTGTAGATTTTTTCTGGTGAACCATTTAATTTTCAAATACCAGATACTCATCCATGGACAATGGACACATTTGGCTTTTTGAAAATGTTTTTAATGTGTATAGACCTGTTTGACTTACTTGATCCATTCAATTTCTGTTGTAACTGACCTTTTTCTCAGAGGATCTAAAATGCACTGAACTCAACCCTTTATGAACTGATGACAGCGTCACGTAAGAAGTGCAGAGTCATGCTACTTACTGAATGCCATTTTTTCTATTGTCTTAGTAAAGAGTTAATTATGAAATACAAAAGGTACATCTCTATGATCAGATATGAGGTATGTAATGCTACTTTTACTACCATTCTCGCTATCTTCTATGCTAAACCTGTATCAAATTCAACATTATCAAGATATTGTTAATGAAAAGGTATAAATAAACATTCTGGCATACTGAATAAAGTAAATATATAGTATAAATAATTCTTCTTCAATCGACAAATTAGATAATATCTAGTTTGAAGCACTTTCCCAATATAGCATTAGTTAAATATAAACCTGAGCTACAACAACATTTTTAGCTCTGCCAAAAAGTAATAAAAATATTTTGATGTTACAAAATATATTGCCTGGATTTAAGTTTTATACACAGTTCAATTTTGACAAGCGATTGGTAAGTCTGGAAAATATTCCAATATATTTGGTGATAACCAAAGAAATTTAGCTCTTGGTATAAGTGGGATTGAAATACAATCTTAAACATAACTATGCTCTATGATGTGAGAAATTAGGTCTGTTATTATAACTACAATTTATTGCTATTATCAAGTAAGCACATAGGTAGCAAGTTTTATATTGGGGAAAATATTATATCCTCAATTATTATATATATACCATTTTTTTACTTGCTTATAAAGGCATAAATGTCCAGTATCAAAATTCTCTAGCCTATTTCATGCATTGTAGATAGATGTAGATTAAGAATTTGTTTCAAAATTGAAAAAATCTCCAAAATTAGTAGAAAAGCAATTGAAATAAGCTCCTGCTTAATTGGAATCTCACAGAAAAATAAATGAATCATAGTTGCACACCACATGTCATTCTAAAATGACATATACTGAGTAAATTCTATCTACTGTTTAAACACAAGACTTCAACCAAGAGCAAAGGTCCTACGGACCACTCTGACAGACAATGACGAATAGTATAGTATACACAAGAGAATGTATTAGTAGTAGAAAGGTTATAAAATAATATTTAAAATAGGTAATGAAAGTATCTGTCATGATACTTTCCACTATCAAAATCTAGATGTAAAAATTAGTATTTCTCAATGAAAGATCAGAAGTTTATGTTAATTTACTTAATTTACTTACATTATTCTTTAAAACCACCACATGCAATTTCAGCAATTTTGGAAACCTTACCTGTGAAAACATTGTACTCTGAGGAAATACTTGTACTTGGAGACGGTGTAGGTGCAACTGCTTCAGGTGGTGGGACATTCTCTGTGGGGTACTGGTAGAAGTATGTTGTGCCCCCAACATTCTCGTGGTAAGCAGGTAATGTAGGAGTGGTATTCAACTTATCATGTAATATGGGTGAACTGTTGATGAGAGGTGAGCTGTTAATCAGTGGTGGCGAAGTGGATTCTGGGGTGACGTGGCTTGATATGTCTGCATCTTCGAGTTTCTTTGTTATAGGGTGCAGGGGGGCACCCGAAATTGGGGGGTAGCTTAGAAAATTCGGCGAGACAGATGCGCTGGAGCTTAGTACTCTTGGTACAAATTCGGTGGCATGGGCTGAAAATAAAGGGTGTTAGATGGTATCTTATTGGATTTTCTTGTTTCATTACTTGCTCTGTTGAGATCTAGACGAGACGAAAGAGAACGGTTGGTAGGCATCCAATCCATCAGGTTTTTGTGTGATATTTATTTTTTAAACGCTAAATTGTATCTCTTTGAACTTTTTCAGTTACACATGCGTGTATTTTATTTTCGCTAAATACGTTTAACTAAAAACTTTCTCGACAGATCACAAAGAACAAGCATATTGCACTCCATTTCAGCTTTTGTCAAAAAATTACTGAAATTTGCATTTTGGGGGTTTTCTATTTTTTACTGGCCTGTCTTTGTCAAGTGACATAGGCTTTTCATTATTTTGTGTTGGTCACCCTGTATCCACAAGTGCCAAAAACGGAAGCAAATGTCAACTCATTTGTTCTTATCAAAATATAAATTCAATACATTCCATATAGAAAATACCGCGTGTTTCCAAAAATTCTATACGACTTAATTTTTGATAAAATTAAAGTAATGCGTGAAAGGCATCTTTTAAATTTGCAAACCACCCGAAAATCTTTATTTTTGACATCACTTTCCTATATTTTGATGTTTTGTGTGTTTTTAAATATTTTTTTGAAAAGTCCGTCGTGTTTAACGGTGTGACAATCACATAGAACATCAGCTGACAGATGACATAAACGTCAGTGGGCCAGTCTAGTTTTGTCCGTGACCGAGTTGGTTTGGTTTGGTGCTGTGGTGCTTAGAGGGGGTAATTTTGGAAGCACGTGCTTTATGATGTTGAATATCTTCTGAAGATACCCTAGAAGATTATAACATATACTGCGTTCAGTTTCAGATTACTGTAGGATTTATTGTGTATTTTTTTAACACTACATAATTGTCCATAATGGCACTTGGTGCATCGTCCGACGAAGTAAAGTGCCAGTCAGAAGTGAACAATTCAGGGTGTGAAAATCAGAAAGCAAATAAAAGTGAAAATGCGGAAGAAAAACCGGCAGGTGAGCGTTGGGAGTACTTAATTTTAGAATGTTTAAATTATTTGTTGTAAAATTTGGGACCTCGTTACGTAACGTGGGTAATTATACAATATCGGGACGTTTTTTTTCATTGCAGAACGGCATTCGAGGTGTAAAAACGGCGGTCTCCACATTTAAAACCTATGCGTTAGATGCAGTGCATCGTGTTATCTGGTACTGAGCTAACATATAAATTGATTAAATATTGAACCTTGTCACTCATTCTTTTAGAAATTGATAGCGCGCCGCGGATAGCCGGCGATACGAATACGGTCCAGGAAAAAGTTGGATTAATTTGTTTATTCACTTGCTTGCGTCCGTTTCTTTAATTAGATATATTGCTGCAACTAACATGTAGGAAAATAATAGGACTGGACATACAAAAAAAGTTCTAAAGAAACCAAAATCTCTTAATTTTGATTCACAAACTGCATAGAACCTAGCTATTTTCTTCATGAAAATTTTTAACAATGTATTTAACATAGTATTTTGTCATGATCATTTGAACATGTTCATTCACACAAATGCATTGTAATCAAATACTTCATTAAAAGAACCATCAGTTTTTTGACTAATTTGAGTTATGTACCTGTTTAAAGCATAACTTGAATTTGTGCATCATCCAATAGGGAAATGGTAGTAAACAAATCTGCTATGCTCTAGAACACCCAATATAGGCCAATAATATACCACAAGCAATATTCTCATCGATCCTGTTAAAGAGTAATCACAAGCAGTCTTTCTTCCCTCTTGAAAAAATCATTTAATGGACAAGGCTGGTCCAGTCTAGTTTTTTAACTTGAGTTAGGTTCATTATTTCACTTTTGAGCTATATAACCCCGAATCCAACATGTAAAGTTCAAATGTAGATTGTAGCTTTATAGCCTTGATGAGATTTATTGGATAGGTAGTCTGATAAAAAAAAACAATGGAAAGTTAAGTTTTTATTCCTATTATTTTGTATTAGAAAGTGAAAGGGTTACAAGTAATTGCTTGAGCCAAAAAAATAGTTTACTCAAATACTTCATTTGCCTAGTCTATATGCATTTGTATTTATCAAAGTTAATTCAGTGGAATCAATTACATGTTTGTTTATAGCAGGATTGATGTTTGCATGTTTTAATCAGGACTTAAAATTGAAAAGTGTAATTGCAATATGTATCATAAATATCTAAATTTTTATGGCTAGTTATCATTTTACCTTGCCATTAAACCATTCTTTTATGCTTATTACTGCAGAGTAGCCACATAAAATCATGACCTTTAGGAGAATTATTATGCACTGAGGTTATAGTTTTATCTGAAGAAGTCAAAATAAATAATTGGGAGATTTATTTTAAACTGCAGTATATTTCTTAAGTACATAATACTATCATTTGGTAAGGTAAGATATTTATACTCTCTTATCAGAACATTTGACTATAAACATCCAAACATGCACTCTGAGCAAATTTAATTTCACTGAATTTTATTTGCTTGTATCTCTACAGTTTCTTCCATATTGTTGTCCACATCCATTTGAAGAAAGGTTGTTAACATTTTTTTTTGAAGTTGTATGCAGTTAAAAAAGCATTACTTTACTCAGAACAGAGGGATGATTTTGGCAAAAATTGTATATTTTAATTATGAATATTTTAGAAAAATAGAAATTCACAGTCCTATTTTTTCCTAAATATTTTCAGTGTATCACCATTTACCAATTAAACTCTGTCTAATGGCGTATATCTCTATACTAAAAATTTTTCCAATAATTCTTCGATGCACTAAATATTTTATTCAAAACTACTTTTGGTTTTTACTGAAATTTATGTATAGAGGCTTAATAAAAATATTCATCTAAAAATATGTATCTTAATAAGCTTCAATAAGACTCAATTTTTCATGTGTTTTCTATGATATAATGAAGTCATTTTCAGGATCAGCAGAAATATCAAATGATGTTGCTTTAAATGAACATGACCAACAAACAGGTGAAATGCAACTAAATTGACAAATTTCAACACATATTACGTTTTTTCTTTGTTATAGATAATAAGGCAGCCAAAGATGAAGAGGAAAAAGAAAAAGATGAGGCAGAAGATGGTAAAAATAAAGATGAAGTAGTGTTTATTCAGGATATTGGATTTTCTGTGAAAATCGTCAGTCCTGGTGCAGAGCCATTTGATATCCAAGTTTCTAGTATGGAGTTGGTTCAGGTAAAAGGATCTATCAAAATTCAGTCAAATTAGAATTTTCAATAGTTTTGGCCATTGTTTCAAAATACGCCAGTATCATTACTTAAAATCCTTGGAAGCCAGGGGCAGATCTAGAGAATGTTTTGCGGGAGGGTCCATTTCATGAACCAGCAATTCAATTTGGAAGAGCGGGGCTATCGGCGATTGAAAATTGAAGAGCGGGGGTCAGGACCCGCCAGTACACCCCCTTGGATCCGCCCAGTGATGCTGTGAAATCTGGTTGAGTTTCCTTTTATTTCCTCAGGAAATCCACCAACTTCTAATGGACCGGGAAGACACCTGCCATCGCACATGTTTTTCACTCCAGTTGGATGGAAACACATTGGACAACTTTGCAGAACTGAAGAACATTGAAGGACTGAAAGAAGGCAGTGTTATAAAGGTGGTAGAGGAACCATACACGATGCGCGAGGCCCGCATACATGTCAGACATGTTAGGGATCTGCTTAAGTCCTTGGATCCTGCTGATGCATATAATGGTGTTGAATGCAATTCACTCAGCTTCCTCAATACCTTCACTATGGGAGATCTTGTTGGTAAATAATTTTCATTTTCATAGACAACTGACAGCTTTTGAGATCACTATTTGTCTTGACTATGCTCATTCCTTTTAAATTCATGTTTCTCATTACCACAACATTCACTAGTAAAGAATTTTCACCTTCAGGAAAACCTCAACTAACCCTGCGCCTAAATGCAGCTAATATGAAGCTATGTATCAAACAGTTATAAAAGATGAAGTTTGGTTTGGTTACTATAAAAAGGCTATGCTTTCATCATTACAGAGAAAAAGAAAATGCGCCCAGAAAGCGTGGATTGTACCCCACCTGATTACATAATGCCAGACAGTAAAGATCGTCCATTGACAGCACTACAACCCCAATCTAAAGATCAGAAAGTACCACAGTGTGTCAAGGTGATAAAATATACTTGAGGAAATTTTGGAATTTGCTATAATATCGGAAATCTTGTAGGTTTTAACTACTTCTGCATGGAATCCTCCACCAGGATACAGAAAAATCCACGGTGATCTGATGTATTTGTATGTTGTTACCTTAGAAGATAAACATTATCACATATCAGCATGCTCCAGAGGATTTTATATTAACCAGTAAGTTTTCGATTTTTTTTATATATCAATAAATAAATCAATAAACGTACTAGAAATGCTTGAAATATCGTATGACATTTACCAATATTAGGTGGAATTCTGTAAAACTATTTTTTTTTCTTTCTCCAGGTCCACGGCAGAGGAGTTTAACCCCAAACCAGCAACTCCCAGCCATCTGTGTCACTCTTTGATAGAACTGTTGAACCAAATATCGCCGCAGTTCAAGCGTAACTTTGCAACATTGCAAAAGAAGAGAGGGCAGAGGCATCCCTTTGAAAGAGTCGCCACTCCATATCAAGTCTATGCTTGGACTGCCCCTATGATCGAACATACATTGGATGCTATCAGAGCAGAGGACAGTAAGCATTCTTGAAAAATATTTTTGTTATAAACAAGACATTTCTATTCATGAAAAAATGGCGTCATGCAGGTTGACACTACTACTCACGCATGCTGCCATGAAGCTCTTCTGAGCAAAAAGTCAGCTACAAACATGTATCGCACAGAATTGAATGGATCGAGTCTGTCAAACACGCTCATACAATTAAAATTTGGGTATTTAGCATGCTGTTTTGGGGCTTTTTAGAATTTACTACTGGATCAACATCCTAAAGCTAAAAGCTTTTTCGTCCTTGGCATGGTAGTAACCTTGTGTAAAAATTTCACACAAATCCAAGCAGTACTTTCCAAGTTATAGATGGGCAAAGGACTTGCGGCCAGACCAACAGAAATGAGTGAAATCAAGAGTTCGCCAATGTTGTCCTGAAAAACAAGGTTGCTGTCGGTTTAAAAAAAATGAACTAATCTCAAACTACTCTTGAAGGCCTTATAAAGCAAGGTTTTAACTTCAATTTAGATACTCACTGACATTTGAAACTACGATTTTTAATCGAGTTTTTGAGCCATGAGCCGGTACTACAAATCAAATTTGTGTAAAATTTTTATTTAAATGTAACACAATTTTTTGGTTTGAATAGTTTTTGGATATAATGTGAAAGCCCTAAAAATTGGTGCATTTAATCCTTAAAAACTCAGTTAAAAGTTATAATTTTAGAGATCGACAAGTATCTAAATTAAAGTGTAAACCTGGCTTTGTGAGAGTTTTTTAGATTAGTTTATTTTAAAGCGATATTTAACCTAGTCTGAATTGTGACCTTTTGATTTTCGCAGACTGTACATGACATGTAACACTAAAAAACATATCTCGTTTTCGAAATCTTTCGCAATTACAATACTTCTTTGCCAGTAAGAGTGGGAAGTAAAAATAATAATGGGTATACTGTTTTCACTGAGCTTATCAAAAATAAGGAAACCCGTAATTATAATTAATGTTTTTTCCAGCATTCTCATCCAAATTGGGCTATGAAGAACATATACCTGGTCAAACTAGAGACTGGAATGAAGAGCTTCAAACTACGAGAGAGCTGCCTAGAAAAACACTTCCAGAAAGATTGTTACGGGAACGAGCGATCTTCAAAGTAAGTTGAAATATCAGTAACTGAAAACCTGTTTAGGTAATAAGGATAAAATATCCCCAAATACATTGACTTAATTTTTAACAACAGTGAATTTGAAATATCGTAAATTTTCAGGTACACAGTGACTTCGTAGCAGCCGCGACCCGTGGAGCAATGGCCGTTATCGACGGCAACGTGATGGCCATCAATCCTGGCGAAGAGGCCAAGATGCAGATGTTCATCTGGAATAACATTTTCTTCTCCCTAGGCTTTGATGTCCGTGACCACTACAAAGAGCTGGGAGGAGACGCAGCGGCCTTCGTGGCACCTCGAAATGATTTACAGGTAGAGATGCGATCTTATATTGTACGTCACCTGAAGTGGTAATACTAACGTCAAGAAGTAAGCTAGAAGCTGGAAAATGTATCGCAGCGAACAGACACATGTAATGTCCACAACACGCACAAACAGAATGGTCAAAGGTCCAAATAATTTTTTTGAAAACATAAAACTCAGAATTTAGCTCTATTAGAACATTTTTGCATATTCATCTGCCATATTGGATCCCCCATTTTGATTTTGGAGAATCGATATTTAAATTCGATATCAGCGACCCTTGAAACATTTTCACACAAATTCGAGAGAAAAATATTCACTATTTGTAAAAAAGTCCGTCATAATTCATCCGTCATTTTAATTTCGAATAAATCCTATATCTAGTTCGTTATCAGCGACAACAAAAACATACAAAACTCGAATTTCAACGTAATCCAATCATTTTGACAAATGGGAATCATTATCACCGAACTCGAAAACAGGAATAAAGTTTTTTGGTGAAATTTAGTGAATCTCTCTAGTTTTGGACACGTTTTAGGTCTTTTGAACCACTGTGACTCTTGTTAGAAGGCAACGCTGCACGCTTCGATTATTACCGTGCACGTATCACAGTAAACAAATAATTATATATATATTATAATAAGAGCACAATAAAAGGTAATTGGACGAACTATTGATGGTAGCTACCTAACGTACAAAATACGGAAGACTAAAATCTTGAAGTATAAAAATCGCTCTTAATATATCAATGTTTCCTACTTGCAGGGCGTGCGCGTATACAGTGCCGTCGATCTACCTGGGCTTTACACGCTGGGGACAGTAGTGATCGACTACCGAGGGTACAGAGTGACGGCACAGTCTATCATCCCTGGAATCTTAGAAAGGGAACAGGAACAATCTGTAGTGTATGGTAGCATCGATTTTGGGAAGACTGTTCTATCGCATCCGAAGTATTTGGACTTGGTGAGTTTTGTGGATTTTTTTGATTGTTTAAAATATTGATCACTACTTTTTGAAACCCTTAGATATAGGTATACTTTTTAAAGTATTTCCTTCTCAATGTCCTAAAGTAGGCCTAATTATTCCAGTATGCTATTGCCAATGAAGCTTGTGCTCTGTACATAGCATGGGCCAACATTGTGAAGAGGAAGTGTTACACTTTGGTCTTTAGCTGACTAAGATGAACTTGTAATACATTAAAGTAGGGTTGGTAAAAACCCATTTTTTTAAAAAACTCCAAATAAAACAGGCTTTTTGGTTTAAACCAGATTTATTTGGTTTAAGCAATTTGCGTTTAAATATTGACTGAAACAAATAGAAATTGAAAAAACATATAATTGTATAATTGCTTTTTGACGTAATTGATTTCGGGCATCCCTCAAAAAACAGATTTTCACTTATAAAACAATATAGGAAGTAGCATTATTTGATAGGTGGAAAGTGCCAAAAAAGATTATGTCTAAAGGCAACCAAACATATATTTACATAAAAACATAAATATAGTTTACAACTTTCTTATTTGTATTCATATGTGATACTGAGATAAGAATAAACACGAAATACCAAATCTTAAACTAAAACTTAACATAAAATCTAATAGAAAAATCAGTAATATATTTTAATCATATAATTTCACTTTCTGTCATCCTGATAATTTGAAAATTTACTATGTATTTTTAATTAAAAAACTAATTTCCAGGCCTTTTCAGCACCCAGTCTATTATGTAGCTTACTTTGTATTAATCCAAAAGAACAAAAAATTCTTTTCGCAACCTGCTGAAGATGCTTGTGTGGTGTGGAGATATTGATATTGATAATTTTATCAGTTTTTCTTTATCAATATAATTTTTGTGGCTTCTCCATCACTCAATTGTCGTCACTTTCGACCGTACGCTGCTTGCAAAAGATTTTTTTTTTAAATTGAACACTGATTGAAATTTTAAGATTAATGGCAATATGTCATATCAAAATGCCCCTAAATCTGGTGAAAAGGGTGCATTTAAGGTGCTTTAATAGTGAGGTGTATTTGACAACAGTTGATTAAACTAAACAAAATATTTATATTTGACTAATTATAAAGAAAGTTGGAGAAAATTTACAGGTTACAAAAAACCTGGCTACTTTCTTGAAAAAAGAAAACAGTTGGTTTAAACCATAGTGCCAACCCTGCATCAAATGTCTTTTTTGTTGGTTTTTTTCAGTTAATACATTGTCGTCAGCATGTTTATTGTTTTAGTTGAATAAAGCCGGTCAGCAGCTGAAAATAATGCCACATCATGTTCTAAATGATAAAGATGAACCAGTAGAATTATGTTCAAGTGTTGAATGCAAGGGAATCATCGGAAATGATGGCAGGCACTACATTTTAGATCTGTTGCGAACTTTCCCACCAGATGTCAATTTTCTACCTCTGGAAGGCGAGGAACTAAGCAGGTAAAAAAAGCATACTTAGGGTGCGGCAGAGAGGACGGACGAGAGACGAGAGAGGTGGGGAGGGTGCCGTTAGACTCGTGAGATGCTAGCATTATTTTACCAGTTGTCGTTATGGAGCCTTGGACGGTGGAACACCGCGTTTTCGCCTAAGATTGTTTAGTCCGAAATAATGAGTCAGTCATCGTCGTACAGCGTGAGTTTCGTCGCCACTTCAACATTCATCGAAAGACCATCCTTCGTTGGGTTGAATCACTTAGCAGGCGTGGTGAACTGATCAACAGAAGACCAAGAGGAGCGCCGCGAACAGTTCGAACTCTTGAAAATGTTGCACGCGTTCGACAGGTCTTTCTTCGCAGTCCGACTCGATCTGCCCGGAAACATGCTGCTGCACTTCGCCTTAGTGATTGTTCGGTAAGGCGAATTTTGCATATGAATATCCGCTTTCACCCCTACAAATTGGCCATTGTGCAACAGTTACAGCCCGGAGATTATGCACAACGAATGAACTTCGCACGTGAGATGGAAGGACTCATCGATCAAAATGAGAACCTCATTTTGTTTATGAGTGACGAAGCCCACTTTCACCTAACAGCATGGTTAATCAGCAGAATTGTCGTTATTGGGCTAATGAAAATCCGCAACAGTTACACGAAAGACCGCTGCACAGCCCAAAAGTAACGGTTTGGTGCGCTGTATCGCAAACTTGCATCATTGGCCCTTACTTCTTCGAAGACGGTAATGGTCGTGATGTTACCGTGAACTCGGAGCGCTACGTCGACATGATCACCAACTTCTTTCTCCCTGAATTTCGACGGCGACGTGTTCCAATCCGACGTGTGTGGTTCCAGCAGGTTGGGGCGACCGCCCACACAGCCCGAGCATCCATGGACGTTATTCGCCCTCTCTTCCCTGGTCGCCTTATTTCCAGGTTTGGCGATGTTCATTGGCCTCCTCGGTCCCCAGATTTATCCATATGCGATTTTTTCTTATGGGGACACCTCAAGGCTAGAGGATACGCGAACAAGCCCCGAACAGTGGACGAATTGAAGGGCGAAATTCGCGTGGAAGTCGCCCAAGTTGAGAGAGCGATGTTGGAGAGCGTCTACGCGAACTTCCAAGACCGCCTCCAGCACTGCATCAACGATTTCGGCCACCACATGCCTGATGTGATTTTCCACACTTGAGTGTCTCAAATGCTATTTCCTTGTGAACCTGATTCCATCAATAAATTTGTTTTCGAGTAAAAATTAACTATTTTATGATTTTTTTAAAACCGTCCATCCTCTCTGCCGCACCCTGTATAAACTTGTTTTTATAGATGGATATGAGTAATCCTAGAAATGGATAGGAAAAGTCCAGGTTGAGGTGTTCTCAAATCTCGCATGTGACACTGGAATTTTATTTTTGTGATTTTTGTCATTGTTCTCCACTGCGCTCTCCCTTTTGTAAATTTGTTTGATTTTAAAACGGGCGTTGGAGGAAAGTAGCCAATAACGAGAAAAAGTATTTTCAAGCAAGTCTCTCTCTCCTACTTTGTCATTTGCCGTATTGCCGAATGGTGAAAAAATCTCTAACGCGTCATTCATTGTCTTTTGGTCTGGCGATTTTGTCGAATGAAAAATGTCGATTGCGATATTGAAGAAATCATAACTGACATTTAAACACAACAAGAACGGTCGGCATTTAAGTTCTTAATGTGCTCCAGAGTAACTAACACTTTCGACGTTTGATAGAGAAGTAAAACTGCTGGGTTTCCCAATCGAGCACAAGCACAAACTGTGCTGCCTGCGTCAAGAGCTGATCGACAGCTTCGTGGACTCCCGCTACATGATGTTCATCAAGTACGCGGCGTACCATCTTCAACAGCTTAATCTGCGCAAGACCGAAGAGAAGATGAAGCAACAGGCAGTCGATGCGGCCGCTGCTGAAGACAATAAGACGGAGGAAGAAAAAGAGAAGAAGGCTGAGGAGGACAAGGATGAGGAGAACAGCAAGGATAAGGAGAGCGAGAAGGAGGTATCCAAGAGTCAGATGGAGGATGCTGAGGCGAAGAAGATTGTTGAGAGTATAACGGACGGCAGCAAGTTGGAATGTAAGTAGCAATACATCGTTATTTTTTGTGTTTCTTTAGCGGGTTAGCACAAGAACGTTTGAAACATGTAATAAGCGTTATTATATATCCTATTATGCAAATTTTTTTGACGTGACTTAGAAGAGAGAGCCACAGGGTATAACAATATCTGTAGAGTCATAAATAAAACAAAATGTCTGTATGGGCGGAGGAAAAACAAAACATGAAACAACCTCATTTGTCTTTTGTCTCTAATCACTTTTGGGCACATCCAAAACAATCTTACTTTGAGTTTTTTCAACACCTAAGGGTTTTAAGGCATAATAGTGATAAAATTTTATTTGTTAATACTTGTAAGCTTGAAGTTATAGAAATCCAGTATTTCGTGAATCCAGCTATTTTTAGCAAAAGAGTTCAACAAACGTCAAACCATCCATAATCTTCGTCATATTTAAATTGAAAAAACTCATTTTTTATTGTTGGATAAATTCATAATAAACGTTGATTTTAGTGGAAGAAAGTACAAAGAACATAGTGAAAACGGCAGCCATGGCAGTGGGTTCTCTGAAGGATACAGAGTTTGACATTAGGTTCAATCCAGATGTGTACTCTCCTGGAATTAAACACTCCGAGAACTTGGATCCTTCTATATCAAAACAAAGACAGCTGGTGAAAGATGCAGCCGAATTTTTGTTGACAATACAGATACCTACATTCGTAAGTAGTTTTTTTGTAATGTTATTTTTTTCTGAAGTCTCAGCTAAAAAATCCCGTGCGGGAGTATCATAATGGTATACCGTTTACGTCTTTTGGAAGGTTTGTCCTAGAATTTGAGAGTGCAAATTAAGAAGTATGGTTTTCGTATTTGGTATCGGGCTGTTTCTTTATTTCAGATTCGAGACTGCTTAGACCATTCAGCCGCGCCGATGGACGGTAGCACTTTATCTGAAGCTTTGCACAATCGTGGTATCAATATAAGGTACCTGGGCAAAGTAACGAATCTCTTGGTCAAAGTGAAGAAACTCGAATATTTACACAGCATCGCTGTTAGCGAGCTTATACTCAGGGCAGCTAAACACATATTTATTACATACTTACAGGTAAGCTATTTAGACATTAAGGAGAGATAAAGTCGCAGTTCTATTGGCAGAACAATTTGTTATTTGAAAGGCGCAAGTGTCATTTTACTGTTGGTATTAAGAAAACCAAAGGTGAATTGGCTTACAACAGCAGTTTTTTTTCCACTCCAACTTGGTTAATTTCCAGGACTTTGTATAGGAATTTAATGTATCTAAACAATATTTGAAAAATACACGAAAGCAATTTAATTCCATAATAAATCTTTTCAGGGTGTCGATATGATGAACTTGTCAGTGGCCATAGCACATTTCTTGAACTGTTTCCTGTACTCTGGTACTGTGTCGAATCCTCTTCAAGGCCAAGATGAGGTAAGTTTTCGAATGCTACATCTAGCCAATCGAGATCGATTTTAATTATTTTTATGCACATTACAAAATATATGTTTCTATAGTTTCAGAGTAGAAACAACAAAAAGAAAAACAAACGACGTGGTAGAGTAAACCCTTTAGCGTGCAGTGACAATAACGAATGGGCGAATCTCACACCAAAAAGTCTTTGGAATCAGTTGAAATGTGAATTAAAGTCCTACTTCGATTATGATTTGCAGGCGAATGATATAGAATCTGCGATAGACACGTATGGGTTGCAAAAGATATCTTTGTTGAGGTCTTTCTGCATAAAAACAGGTACACAACTAATATAAAAAACAGAGTACATTTAATATATATATAAAACAGATAACAGTGTTTGTCATTAAGCAACAATTACTTCTGTGATATCCAGCATATTCAAGAAAAATATCAACTTTGTTCTTTTTTCAGGTATACAAATTCTACTTAGGGACTATAACCTAGAATCCAAAAATAAACTTATCTTCTATGAAGAAGACATACTGAATATCTTCCCCGTGGTGAAGCACATTAATCCGCGTGCCACAGATGCCTATAACTTCTATACTACTGGACAGAATAAAATTCAACAGGTACGACTTTAAAAATATCATTTTCCTTGGACATACTACGCCTTTTTTATAAAATAACATTTTCTGGCAGAGCATTATCTAGGAACTCGGCTCTTGATTAGTCGAATGGCATTAAAAAAATTGTTGAAATCAGATAGACTTACTAAAATCAACTGCAGCCTTATGGTAAATTTTTCGATGTGCTATTGACAAAATCATGTATTTTTTTTGCAGGGGTATCTGAAGGATGGATATGAGTTGATAACAGAAGCACTGAACTTGCTAAACAATGTTTATGGAGCTATGCATCCAGAAATAGCTCAATGCCTGCGAATGATAGCTAGATTGAACTACATTATGGGAGAACATGGCGATGCTCTGGCCTACCAACAGAAAGCTGTCCTCATGTCTGAGAGAGTCAATGGAATTGATCATCCTTACACCATCGTAGAATACGTAAGTACACTTCTTTCAATCTGTAAGTTTTTAGGTCCATTTACCTAAACCCTTTTTATACCGTCTCATATGGAAAAAGCACTAATTTCAATTTTTTTACAGGCTCATTTAGCACTATACTGCTTCGCAAACAGTCAAGTCAGTACAGCTTTGAAGTTGCTGTACAGAGCTCGATATTTGGCTGTTCTTAACTGTGGAGAAAACCATCCAGAAGTAGCCTTATTAGATGTAAGTATACTCTTTGCTTGTACCGCAGACATTTATAATTCTCTTGAAAAAAGTATCCACCTATTTTGGCTTCCGGGATGTTTGGGATAATGGTTAACTAAAGCTAATCTATTATCAGTCCAGGGCAAAGGAATGAGGGCGTGAAATAGCGATTTTGTCGGATATTGTGTATTAAAGGGGAACCAATGATCTACGCCACATATACGTATACAGGGTATTTCAGAACTATTGGATCAAACTTGTAGGGGTTATTCAGTGTAACAGTAGAAAACATTTGAGTATAGGGACCCATATCCGGCGCTTGTGTGTTGGTATCTTTAAATACGATGACAGAAATTGTTTTTTGTAGCTGCATTCCATATCGCCTTAGTCGTGCTATCGTATTTGTGAAGTTTGCAAGAATTTAACAAAAAATAATTGTTGCTAATGGAAAACTTTACAAATCAAGAATTGGCGGATATGCATTTGGCATACGGAACAACAAGCTGCAATGCATGAGCAGCAGCGCGGTTGTATCAAGAACGTTATCCCGAACGACAGCATCCGGGATACAAAAAGTTTATTGCTATTCATCGACGGCTATCCGAGACAGGCATGTTTAAAACTAACATGCTTGATACTGGTGTTGCTCGAACCGTAAGATCGGTCGAATTTGAAGAAGAGGTCCTTCAGCGAGTTGCCGACGAACCACACCTCACATTGCTGAATACGAGTAACGCTTCCGTCTGGCGGGTGGTGCACGAGCAACAAATTTATCGTTACCACTTCCAGACAGTTCAAGGATTGACTGCAGCCGATTATCATCCTAGAGTTCAATTTTGTCAATGGCTTCATCAAATCGCTGCACAATCAAATTTTTTGCGCTATGTTTTATGGACCGATGAAGCCTCTTTCATAAGAGACGGTATTTTTAATAGTAGGAATATCCACGTTTAGGACAAAGAAAATCCCCATGCAATTTTTCCTAGAAAACATCAGCAACGTTGGTCTGTCAACGTATGGGTAGGCATTGTTGATGATTATTTGATTGGGCCATACCTTCTACCGGAACGGTTAACAGGACCTATTTACCGGCGTTTCTTGAAGGAAGTTCTTCCAGGACTTCTCGAAAATGTTCCATTGAACGTTCGACAGCAAATGTGGTTTCAGCATGATGGAGCGCCGGCTCATTTTGCCGTACAAGTACGTGAGTATTTGGCTCAGCGGTTTGGGCACTGTTGGATTGTCAGAGGTGGAGCAGTTTCTTGGCTTCCTAGGTCACCCGATTTAACGTCGCTAGATTTTTTCCTGTGGGGACATGTAAAGTCTTTGGCTCACGAAACTCCAGTAGAAACACAGCAAAACTTAACTAGACGAATTACAGCAGCATTTGAAATCATTCAAAACGAGTATCAAATCAGTCAAGTCCGCCGAAATCATGTGCGACGTTTAAATCGGTGTATTCAGGTTGGAGGAAGACATTTTGAACAATTGTTGTGATGATATCATGTAGAAAAGGCAAAAATTAAATGCATTAAATCCTATTTAGGCAATTCATCGTATTTCTAAATTTTAACGCGTCTTAGGGCCGTAGTGACACTTTTCCAGATATGGGTCCCTATACTCAAATGTTTTCTAGTGTTACACTGAATAACCCCTAGAAGTTTGATCCCTTAGTTCTGAAACACCCTGTATATATTTTTATCGGTTAAAGCGATATCTATAAACTATTGAAGTATTCTAAAGTCACAAACATGCTTAAAGTTTCAATAGTGTTCAAGCTGGCTCGTGTGACAATACTGAAGACGATACCTGAATGGTAAATGCTGATTGAAGAGCTGTTAGTTGGTGGCTTTTCTTGGTAATAAATATATCACAGGAGCAAATCGTCATCAACTCAAGGGAAGGACCTGACAGAGATGATAGTTACGCAATTGATACCGACACATCTGCAGGTCTGCGGCACCTCTCTTAATCAAAAGATATCTTGCATTTTGATCACATCGAAAAAAAGCCTAGCTTCTCCTGCAGTTCACTGAATCCATCTTTCTTTTTTTAGAGTAACATAAGTCTGATTCTACACGCGGTTGGCGAATACGAACTGTCACTGCGCTTCCTCGAGAAGGCGTTAGCGTTGAATATCAAATATTTCGGAGCGAAATCTTTGAAAGTGGCTGTCAGTTACCATTTGGTTGCAAGGACGCAGAGCTGCATGGGCAACTTCAGATCTGCCCTGAACAACGAGAAGGAAGCTTACGCCATTTACAAACAACAGGTGTGTATTCCTTGAGCCTGTACCGTACTGGCAGGGGACCTCGAAAAAAATATGCTCAAACAGCACTTTGAGTACTTTACAGTTTAAACAACAGGAACTCACATCAAGAATTGCGATTGACATATAAAATTTTTTCATTTTAGTTGGGAGAGAATCACGAAAAGACGAAAGAATCATCAGAGTGCCTGAAACACTTGACGCAACAGGCGGTGGTGCTTCAGAAAAAGATGAACGAGATCTACACTGGCAAGAATGGTGCCTCATTACCGCCTATTCAGATTCAACCGCCTTCTATGGGTTCTGTGCTCGATATGTTGAACGTTATCAACGGCATCCTGTTTGTACAGATTAGGTAAGAATTTTATTCCATGTCTTCTACTTTATTTTATTACATGCTGAAATGTTATTTCCACTACCGCGCGAAAAAGTTTTCGCTCTGAATGCAGAAATATTATCTCTTTATAAAGATTATACACGGTGGCCGATATGCAACTGACTGGTTTGTATCTTGAATATTTGTGAAATGAAATTCAATACGTCCATTTTTTCATCTTAATCTTTTATTGAAACTTAGAAATTATGTATGAAAAATAAGATCAGACAAATATTCGGCTTTAGAAACTGCGCAAACCTGAGCCCTCCTGATTATATTTTCCATCACTTTTTGTAGGTTTCGGGAGGAATATTTTCAATCGCTTCCGTAATATTGTTCTTCAGCTGCTCTACAGTATTTGGTTTGTTTATTATTGTTTATTTTATTTTTATAAAATCTAATTGTAAAACCCAGTCGCCAACGTTTTATTTTCTGGCCAAAGTTTGATTAACTTGTACTTCCCAATTTCAGTCAAGAAGACATTGAACACTTCAAGGCTGAAATCGAAAAAAGGCAAATTGAGGAATCATCTGAGGAGCAGACAAAGAAAGAGATCAAAGCCCAATAGTTTATATCTTTCTATTTTCCCCTATCAAGTTCAAATCCTGACTGAAACGAGGAGCTAACGGAAATGTCAAATAAGAATTTAGCTGAAATTTGAAGGCATATAAAAAGTGTTACCAGAGGTAACTGTCGACTCAAATCATCACACATGTTAGTTTAGTTGATATTATACTTGCAGGATGTTTTATTTGAAACAAGTAATTGGGATAATGTTGAATAATACACGGCCGAGACCCACTCCGTTAATATGTTTGATTTACTTTTTTATCTTATCTCCTGAGGGTTGACTCTTTGTAGTGCTGCCTATTATTGCCTGGATAGGCGGAACGTTGAAGTTCAAGGGTAAACTCACATCGTTTTTAGGTTTATAAAACCAATCAAGCAATGAAATCTGAAGTTACCAGTAGAAAAATAGTGTAGGGGAGAGTAGGAGAAAGCTTTAAGTGCATTCTTTATTACAAGATGTAGGAAAGATAGAACATAGTTTAATATGTTGAATGTTGCGGCGGCTTGCATATTTTTCTAGTCAGTCCGTACTAAACTGGTTTTTTGTTCATCAGAGCCAAAGATACCAAACTTACAGGGAGTGTACTAATATAGCCTTGATTGTTGCAATATGTTATTTTAGGAAAAAACATGCAAGCTGCCATAAAATCAGAGTTACTAGTTGTTTTATATTCATTTTGCCTCATTGTTTTTTATGTAGATATTTTTTGTAATCAAAAATTTATTAAAGTTGATTACGACTTTTGAATCATGTTTTTTCTTTATTATCCTCTGGATTGGGCCGGCGACAGGGGGAACAATTACTTATATATCCTTATATACATACATGTTAATAGTACAAAATTGATGTTTAATTTTTTTGAGGATGAATAAACTGATTATTAGGAAAAACAACATGGTGTAGTATGGATCAGCTTCACAACTTTTTTTCAGTTACCTTTGTGACAGTAAACTACCAATATTCGATCCTCAATTCTGAACTCTAATAAAAATTAACTAGACATTGTTCAAGCAATAGTTCTTTATTTTTCTATCGATTGATTTAACAATCCTCATTCCCCATCTCTATGTGATACAGTCAACTGCCGGATGAGAGTTAACCATGATATTTTGAAACCACTCCTATGGATGTTGAAGGGTAAAAAACGCAATTGCTGTTTCTATATTCAGATTTATTAAACATATTTCACATTAACGGATAGGTTAATTATTATTTTGTAATGACAAGGACCTTATCATAGAATAACATAAGAACCGGACTGGAATTGAAGTATGGATAGGAGCTTCCAAATACTGAAACAAAAAAAAACCATATAGTCTTGAGCATTATTTAAAATCTTGACCAATATGACCTATTATAATTTCCAGCTAGTGAATAATATATATAAAACTGCAGTTACCTTTTTGATCGACTTATGTCCCATATCTTTCTCAAACATAAGTTTATCAACATCTGAAGACTTCGTCATACTGATCCGAGAGTGTGGTTGCATTTTACTAAAGAATCCGTCCGATGTAACTTCCTCGTTTTCAGCGATCTCGTCCATGCATTCCGTTTCTCCTAAACAAAACAATTCCTGAAACATGAAACATATGACTTCAATCCATACATGTGATAACATGAAGACTTTTCAAAAAGTACATAAATTCTATTTTTCTACATATTTTCGAGTTAAATACGAAATCTTCCTAGAACAAGAATGTTTACAAAACCTCAATCGTCTATTGAGATACACTCACGTTTGATGAAGTGACAAAAAATAGTGGTGTCCTCTGGTACCACTGCAATCGAATGTCACTACTAAATTTACTAGGCACAAAGGTCGCAGCTACAATGTTGTCATACTCCTTCAGAAGATCCTGGCTATTGTAGATCAGTTTTGGTGAGGCTGGCGAAAATATGTAAACTGAAAAAAATCAACTCATGTTTGAATATTTCACTCACTACAATACGCTGTCAAAGCACGTGTAGAAATAAAACCAGTTTATGCAGAATACCCTTCAAGCGGCTTTTTGCAGCACCTTTATTTCTTACGCTTACTACGATCGCGAAACATTTAGAAAATGAGATATTTTTGGATGTTGTGACAAGTACATCATGAAAAACGATGTCATTTATTTCTGTCGGTCTGCCTGTCCCCTGCTCCTTGGTCCATCTATAACTTGGAAAGGACGGCTCGGATTTGGATGAAATCTGTTCACAAAGTTACTACTATACCAAGGACGAAACAGCTTTGTAGTTTTTGAAAATTGCTCCAGCGACGACAGGGAAAAAGACAAAATTCGCCCAAACTTCGTTTTTTGGGGGTAAAGAATTAGGAGCTATAATTTTAGGAGTTTGGGGAAAAGTATATCTGTTTTTTGATTATAGTATAATTATACGTTCCCAGCTTCGGTAATTGTACGCATCTGTTAGACATATTTCATACATCGTAGATTTCCCCGTACATTTACCCTTAAAAATGACAGAGAAATGCTTTCTAAGGTAAGGTGTGCTTGGTGTTAGCGCCGCGTCTGACTAGCTTAGGTATCGGAGAGAGGCGATGTTGTCAGAAAGACTACAGGTAGAGCAAGGACAGGATTCCTATTATATCCATCTTTTTCTCAGGGGGGCTAACTTGTGCTGAAGATAACCCTTTATCAACTGATGACAGCGATGCGTGGAAAGTGCAGTATTATCCTACTTGACGCCATTCCTGGCTAGGAATGGCAGCTGCCTGAAGCACAGGTGTCTAATCCTATCAAAAACTGTTCAGTATCTTTAATACAGTACTGACATTAGACCAGTGGCGTAGCGTGCATTGGCGGGGCCCCGTATAAAAAATTGTTTGGGGGCCCTTATATTCTTTGGGGGTAAAGATTTTTCACAAAAGAAAAAAAATATTGTGAAAAGAAATATTTATTTATCATAACATAATTTAACCATTTTACAAATAAAAATCAAATTTTAAACATTCATTCTCCTTGCCTTTTTTTCGGCAAACTGATTTATTAAATCATTTATGGCTGATGATGATTTTAGTTTTTCTAAAGTTTCTACCTCTATGGACAATAGTGAGAGGTCTGACAGCCGTTCTTGTCCCATCGAAGTTCTTAAGTAATTTTTTATCAGTTTTAATTTTGAAAAACTTCTTTCAGCAGTTGCGGTTGTAACTGGAAGGGTCAAGAATAAAAAGCATGCTGTGATTACCTCGGGAAAACTAGATGCAAGACTATTGAATTTTACTAGCAATAATTCAATGAGTTCTTTAATGGAATAAATTTTTTGAATTTCAGATTTTAAACATGTTTTTAGAGCCTTTAATTGGTCACAAAGATTAACTGAGATGTCTTTACTGTATTTAACGGACAGTTTTCCGGAAGCGATTAATATCTCTTCGTTTGAAGAAGATAGGAGTTTCTCCGGTTGTAATATTTCGAACATACTACTCAGATCGCAAAGGCTCTGAAATCTTTCTTTAGTTTGAGAAATTAATATATCTAAACAGCAATAGTATACATTGACTTTGAAATAGGATTCCGGGTCGGAAATTCTCTCATCTTGTGATAACTCATCAAAAAAACGCTTCGTTATCTTTCGCCTACTGTTTTTAAAAACAGTTGTTACCCCCCACTCTTTTGCTAAATCTTTGGACTCATTTAGCAAACTATTAAATGAAATCTGATTTCTTAATTGGCACAGTCTATTTAAAAGATTACTTAATAAAATACTAGATTTCTGTAAGTCATTATTTTCATGCTGTAGAGCTTTAGAAATAGGATTAATAATTTCAAATAGTGAAGAAAAAAATGTAACGAGCACTAAGAAATCATAACTCTCTAAAATATTAATTATATTTTTACATTCTTCACGTTCATCTTTTTTATTTGAAATTAAATTTAGTTGGTACAAAGTTTTCATGATTAGTAAAAAATTTTTCTTTACCGCTAATAAAGCGTCGTTCCTAGAAGACCATCTGGTTGGACATACCTTTTTAAGGGTAATCAAATATTTTTCAGACGGATCGTCACTTAGCATAGCCCAGCGTTTTATACTATTGCCAAAAAAAGTATATACTTTTTCTAAATTATCGAAAAAAGTCGATATTTCACGAACGTGTCTCGCAGCATCGTTTAAAACTAAGTTTAAAGCGTGCGCAGCACAATGAACATAATCGGCATTTGGAGCATGCTCTTTTATTAGGGTTTGTAATCCTCCATAAATACCCGACATAACATTTGCTCCATCGTAACCCTGTCCTCTACATTTAGTCAAATCAATTCCATATTCTTTAGTCAAATTTAAAAAGGCAGTTTTCAGACCTGCAGCACTGCAATCGGTTACTGCTATAAATCCTAAAAAGGACTCACAGATTTTTATTTCTTTAGGCACATTATCATCATTTTCTGTAACCGAGATATATCGAAAAACTACAGAAAGTTGGTCAATTTTTGACAAGTCTTGTGTTGTATCCAGAATTATTGTCAGAAATGGAGCTTTTTTAATTTCTGTGATAATATTGTTCCTAACGGTGGTACCAAGCAAACTAATAATTTCGTTTTGAATCGTAGGGCTTAAATAATTTATTTCGCCTTTCGGTTTTAGAAGAAGTTCTTTTAAAGTTGCATCATAGTTAGATAGCAAACGTAAAATTGCCATAAAATTTCCAGAATCAGAATCATGCCCTCTCAAAGATAGATTACAAGATGCTAAAGTAATTATAACATTAATTATACGATGCAGTACATCTCTCCAGAATGTAATTTTAATATTGATTTCACTTTGCAATAGAGTATCGATGGTATTTCCTTGCAACCAATTATTATAAGAGAGTGAGGCATTCATATGCTGCTGTGACTTTTCATGGTCAAGTATAGTTTGCGTAAAATTGCTTCTAACCGAAACACCGTTAACCCAAGCAGAGGAGTACGATTTGTTTTGACGATCTGCTAATAATCAACAGAAGTGACAGTACGGTTTGTTTAAAACGTTAGAATAACATAACCATGGTCTTACAAGTTTTATGCCTGCCTGATTGAAATATGAATAATAATAGGCTGAAAAAGGTCGGTTACTTTCTGAATCTTTTGGAAATGGTCCTTGTGGTTTAAATGGACCCAATTTAAAAATTATTTTTCGTTCGCATTCAGATAAATTGTCACCAAAATTTCCTCTATCTGATGAAATTATATTACAATCTTCAAATATATCAGAATCGTTGACTTGGTGTTCTTCAATTTCTGGATGGACATCCGATGAAGTATGTGCTTGGCTTTCTTCTATTTCCGAATGGATATTTGACGAAGAACGTGCTTCAGAAGAATCTAAAAATAAACGAGTATTTGTTAAAAAATAAATACGAATGCTTTGATACTAAACTAAAAAGAGTTATATATAAATAAATAACTTTACTAAGGGTCACAGTTAGAGAGTGTTCAGTTCAGACGCACACAGACTCTACGCGGATTGTGCTCGTATTAGTAGATACAAAATCACCTGCAGCCCGTCCGTGCGTTACATTACACCTGCGTGCTATTTGAACGCAGCGCGTAGTGTAGTGGCCATACAAAACGAGAACAACCCGAAAGCGAGTCTGCACATCTGAAGTTCTCAACACGCAATTTACGATACGATACAGACTGATAGACAAACAACAAAACAAATTGATCTTATAGATAAGTTAGAGTTTTGGTTTTTTTTTGTTTCGAGGCACGGAACCCTAAAAACAAAATTCACCCTTCGCTACAGGTAAATAATAAACCAACCACGCGTATCTAACCACGCAGATCCACATTAGCGTCGTGTAAAATAGTACTTGTGTAAATTAGTAAGTACTTCGGTTTTTCGAAGAAGTAATTTTACAAATTGTCATTTATTTTTAAACCTTATCCGTTTTAAGATTTTTGCCAAACCAATTTCATGTAAAAGTTTAATTAGTAAGGAGTCTCCAATATCTTTTTTAGATTTTTGGACCAGTAGTTGTGAAAATCGAAGGGGGGGAGACCACTTTTTGTGACGGACAGATTGACAGGCCGAAATTAAAAGATTTCCTTGTTTATCACTACGGACCCCGAATAAATGGGTTGGGTAGTACTTACCTTTCCAATCTAAATCACTCACAGTATCTTGTCTATGAAAAAATGAAGAAATTTTGGGCACTTTTTTTATAACCTCTTCCCTTTTCCGTTTACTTTTTCTTTTCTCAGCACCGCTGGGATAATCTCTTTTCCTTTCACTCATTTCTTTTACAAATCGCTACTAATATTGTTAAACCACCAGAACAATATTGTTTGTACTGAATTACAATGTAATGCACAATTACATAAAACGCGTAAATAAACACTGCACTGCACTCCGTGGCTTAACATCCAATATAGAGTATGTACGTACACGTTCGCGATATCGATTTTATTATTGAGGGATTCCCCGCTGAGTTGCAGATGAAGTAAGTAAAACGGGGAAGTCCCACAGCCCGCCATAACGATGTACAGTGTTGCCAACTTTTGAACGCACGCTTAAGGCGGTATAAAAAGTAATTGCTTTATAGAATTTTGTCATTTGTAAAATAAAATAAATTAGGAAGTTTTTATTTCTTTTTCCTTACACACTTTGGGGGCCCCCGTGGCCCGGGGGCCCCGTATAATTGATACGGCAGATACGGCGGTAGCTACGCCCCTGCATTAGACGCGCACAATGAGAGATTTTTGTTGATTATTGATAGTAGCTTTAGGTTGCTTTAGGCTTTACCGACTATTTATTGATGTATAAAGAGTGCGGAAAAGCAATCTATTAGATCTGCAGGCTAAGAAAGCACATTCAGGGTCTGTCCGGAAAGTATTTTCTTCTGCCATGACTGTACTTCGGAGCTTGCGCGCACCGACTGGATTCGGTAGAGAGCGTTCCTAGCTAACGAATGAGCGGCTGGTCAGTTGTCTCCGAGCACTTGGAGAGCTGGACAGGCATTTTCGTGCGACGTGTTTCTGTGAGTGGTGCAAGCCGAAAATGCAGCGTTCGTTAGAGCAGAGGTACGCGATTAAATTCTGTGTGAACTCGGTAAATCTGCGACAGAGACGTTTGATATGATCAAGCAGGCTTACCCAGGTGTTGCTTTAGCAAGAAGTAGTGTGTTTCGGTGGCACCAGGCCTTTTTGGAGGGCCATGAAGAGGTCGCTGATGAAGACCGTGCTGGAAGACCTTCGACTTCGATAAACACCGATAATGTGTCTCGTGTGCGAAAAGTTTTGAACTCAGACCGTCGAATAAGTATTCGTTTAATTGCCCGGATGTTGAATTTACCAAAATCTATGGTTCACGACATTGTGACACAGCATTTGAACATGCGCAAGGTGTGCGCGAAGATGGTCCCAAAAGTGCTCACTGACGACCAGAAATTGCGGTGAGTGGAAGTGTGCCAAGAAAATTTGAACATGTGTGAAAGTGACCCCCAATTTTTGAATAACGTAATCACAGGTGACGAGTCGTGGATCTTTGAGTATGATCCCGAGACAAAGAGGCAATCTTCCGAGTGGCATACGACGGCGTCTCCTCGCCCAAAAAAGGGAAGAATGAGCAAATCCAAAGTGAAAACGATGCTCGTTGTCTTTTACGTGGAAGTGCTCAGGAGACTCAAACGAAGGGTCGGTCGGGTTCCACCACGACAACGTCCCGGCTCACACCGCCTTTCTTGTGACAAGCTACCTGACCAAAGCCGGCATCCCAACGCTTCCGCAGCCGCCCTACAGCCCAGATGTGCCCCCCCGCACTTTTTTTGTTTCCTCGCCTGAAAAGGCCGAAGAAAGGCAAGCATTTTGAGACGACAGAGGGGATCCAAGCAGCATGCACCGCGGCTCTCAAGGCTATTCCGGAGAATGCCTTCCGAGACGCCTTCAATGCTTGGAAATCACGCTGGCAGCGCTGCATTGACGCAGAAGGAGCCTATTTTGAAAGTTTTTAAAGAAATTTAACGATTGGCTCAATAATTTTTTTTAAATCGACTCAGACCTATTACTTTCCGGGCAAACCCTGTAAAGTACTAATGATACTAATAAAATGTAAATTCTACCTTTATTATCAGGAGTAATTGCAGCCATATGCTCACTCAAGCTATCAGTTATAAGTAATGACACTGGCAAACATACAGTCCATGTCATAGTGAGGGTCAAAACATTCCATGCACTGACTTGGTTGGAACTCGCTGCTACCACAAGATGACAGTTTAGGCCGGTTCCAAAGCATATGTGATTCACAGGCTCCTGAAAAACAAACATTAAATCATATAAATTCCTTTCAACAGATGAGAATCTAAAAACGATTAATCGTAAATGTTAGTCGTGGAATACTGTCAACAAAGTAAGGGATTGATCAATTTATAATTAGGTGCAGAGTTGCTATTAGTTTAGTTGTTCAGTACTCACAATGTGTAATGGATGTGACAAGGAGCATTTCAGTTCACATGTATCAGGAGTCCATATTGTCAGCAGTTTGCCAAAACCAGTTGCTAGAAGAGAACCATCTGCAGAGAAAGACAAAGATTTGCATGGAAGATCTCTGTGGAACCCTATGCCCAGACATAACCACATAATATCCTTTTCTGGAATAACAAATTTATATTAATGTAATTTAATTCAGTCTATATAAGACCAACAGAATGTTTTACTTACTGTACACTGTTGATGCATCCGACAGTCCCCAAACTTTAAACTTTTTATCATCTCCAACAGTTATACATACTACATTGTTCTTCAAAACTGGTTGAAATGCTAGGCTGTTTATTGATTTTTCATGGGGATATTCAATAGATGTATTGAGTTCAAACCTTGAAACGATTATAAAGACAAACATGTTAAAAGTTGAAAAATATAAAAATCATAAACATACTTCTGATTTGTCAGATCAAATTTCCAAAATTTCAGTCTTATTTCATTACTGTACAGTTCATCAATTCTCTCCTCAACTGTAGCTAGCCACAATCCACATTTGCTAATTGCTATTTTTGTGATTTCAGTGTTTTTCATCACACAGTCCCTTTCATTGGTTATTTTATTTTGTACAACAATATCCACCTGGAAAGCAAACAATCAAGGTTAAGACCAGTGGAAAAGTACAAAAAACTTTGCTGGTAAAAGATAATGCCATTGATATGTAAAGCAGATACTTACATTATATAATAGAGACATATGCTCTGTGGAGTAAAATTGTACTTGACCTTGATTTCCATTCATAATTAGTGCCTTTGTCCTGTGATCATATGTAAGACCACAATCATAATGCTTCCCAAGCACCAGCTACAATATCCCAGATAGTATTAAAAAAATATTAGAATATCAACTATGAATACTAGAAAAAACGGCAATATGACCCAGTACCCCTCATATTAGATTCATTTTTATCAAAAACTATTAAATAGTTTTGCATCTATGAAGAATCGTACAGTAGATATGCATTTTCAATCACTTTTACAGTGAATAACATGCCACTAGTATGGGAGAGACTATTAGGAAGATTATAAAAGATTTTTACCTGTTGAATAAGGGTGATTTGATTCAAGGTTGAATCCAAAATTCTTATAGCATTATCTCTTGTTGCTACTGCTACATAAAAATTATTATTTGACACTGCTATATGGTTGATTTCAGCAGCAATTCTTGGGACAAAGCTCCTAAAAAAAAGATAAAGTACACACCCAAACTAAGCCAGTGACTGTTGTTCAGCAATCTCTAGTTATGCTAACTCTGGGAAAGGATAAGGAGTACCCTATCCTATCTATGTTAAGTTTGAGTTCTAGAGTACTGATTAAAACTCGCTATGAGACTATCTTGCAATTAATCTGTAGACCTGTAACATGTAATTTCCTAGCTATTCACTTTTAGGTATAGATAACTGAAATAGAATATCTAAGGGTCACTCTTACCTATCATTAGCATTTTCAATCTGCCATTTCACTAAAACACATTCATCTGCACCACTGTAGAAATAAGTACCTGTAGTGGAAAAGCAGACTGTCCTTACAGGTAGAGTGTGCCAATGGAATATTGTTTGAACTTTTTTTTTGCCAAATATGTTTTGCCAAGACCTTACCCTCCCCAAACTATCACCCGTCAAAACCATTTCTTCTGTTGGATGTGTTGCTATGCAGGTAAATGTGAGGCTGTCATCAATAAATGCTCTGAAAAATAAATTATATGTAACAATGACAAACTCTGAAGCTGGTTCCACATATGTATTCAAAATTGGAACATTATGAAAACTACAGATTTAGAATAGTCTTGGTTATTTTTAAGCCTAATAAGTCTATTGTCTACAGATATAATAAATTAAATACCTTGACAACTGTTTTGTACTCCCAAGTGTGACAAAATCTAACCTGTTTCCGCAAGCAACAGTAAAATATGTATTTCCAACACTTAAATGATAATCTTGCTTGCCATTCTCTATAGTAAATAGAGTGCTTTTTTTATAAGAATCTGCACATAGGGTGACTACTTTAAAGAAAGCCCGGCTTCCATCATCATATGAAATCAATGCCTTAAATTCGCCTTCTGATGGAATCACATGAAAGGTTTTCAGGCATTTATTAAATTTCTTTGTTGTAATTTTCTAAAAAAAAGCTCATATTGTTTATATAAATATCAAATATTTATATCACCTTTGATGATACACAAATGTTTTATAAATAGAAAATATAATACCTTCTGAAACATCCTAAAATGAGTGAGAGCTTGCCATAAAGTTATATCTCCTTTTTCTGAACATGCTGCTATGCAGTCATATGAATTGTAACTGCAATGGCCAAAACCTATAATTTTATCTTGTACTCCTTTATACTCGTGAAGTAGTTTTCCAGTTTTTACACTATACTCTACCACCAGATCCTTCCAACATACAAATATACTTCTGAAATTCCAAACACAAATGTAATACATTGTAAAAATAATGTTAATCGTGATATACTAACTCTCCATCGCCGGAAAATACAGGAGGAAGATTCACGAATGACCCTCCACCCTTAAAATTAACAGGAACTTCCATTCTATATTTTCTTTAAAGATTCAAAATTTTTCATAAACAGCACACGTTAGTGTTTTGAGGTTATACTGGGGAAAATTGTGGTTAGAATTTGTCAGATGATTGTTGTCATTTAAACGTCAGATGTGTCACGTGTCAAGTCTTGTGATGACAACAGTCGATATTTAGGCCAAATTTCCAAAAATATCCAAAAAACACCCAAAAGGTACTGTGATGGCAGCTGTTTAGTGCTTTTTTTAATATTTACCAGTAAAGTAAGTGAAGGTTGTAACATTCATTTCTCATGAAAAGCTTTTGCTCATTAATTTAAGTTACAATTATTTGGATAAATAATAATGGGAGCAAACAGTAGCAAGAAATTAGCAGCAAAATGCTCGTTTTTATCCAAAGACGAGCAATTAATTGTAAGCAACTCATTTAAATTGGCTAGCAGAAATTCTGAGAAAATCAAAGAAGAGGAACTATCTGTAAGTTAACCTATATCTTTCCCAAAACCCCTTTGTTAGTTTTGTCTTTATTTTTAGAAACTATGGGGAACCCAGGTAGACCAACGACTACTACAGTACTTGAACAATTACTTGTTTGGTACTGGAGAACATCGACAAAATACAGTAGATTTAGAAAGGTTTGCAGAGCTCTTTGTGTTTTCAACAAGAGGGACAGTAGATGATAAAATCAAAGTATTGTTGACATCTTTGGGGAAATCAGAAAATGAGTGCAATGAGGTTACCACTGCTTTAGTGAAAGAGGTAAGTGGAGAATCTGTCTCCTTTGTTGTGTTCCAATGTTTTCTTCAATGCCATTTTATAAAGCCTTTATTGGATTCTAGTATTCTTGGGCTTTTTCAAACTAGTTTGGTGTTCACATTCCACTTTAAACAAATATTTACTCATTTCTGTCTGTCGGTCTGTTTGTCCACAAATCCTTGGAAAGTTATGCTTTGCTTTGGACAAAACTTGGCACTAGGATACTACCATGCCCATAAACAACAAAGCTTTGTAGCTTTTGAAGATTGGTCCAGTGGAAAACGAAAAAAAAAGCTGTTCAAATTTCTTATTTTGATGTTTGAATTTTAGGCAAATATTAGAATATTTCACACATCATATATTCCCCCATTCAATCGCCCTTAAAATAGAATGACAGAGAAAAGTTTTCGATAAGCGTTTCTACTTCTGCTCTCTGGGTTTACCGGTGGGCGTACCGGCATCGATAAATGTCCTACCATTACTGGCGCGGTGCCGCATCTGGCGCGTGGTGTTGTCAAGTATCAGGGAGGGCCGACGTTGCCAGATAGACGGTGCTACCGGTAGGCCAGAGAAAGAATGTCTATGGACTAATTATGTGCCCTTGTTTGCCTGACTTGATCCGTTTAATTTCTCTGCGGTACATGTTCGTTAACTAATTATTTTCACTCAGAGGGCATAACTTGTTCTGAACATAATCCTATAGGAGCTGACGTAGGCGTTGCGTGGAATTTGCTGAGTCAACCTACTTGACGCCCGTTTTTGTACTTAGGGTGCTATAAAGTATCTGGCCAAACTCCTATAAGTGATTCCTTGGGGGCTCCTAATAAACAGTTTTTACATCTATTCATAGGTCCACAAATGCATTGTTTTCAAGTTGGAAGTTGCTAACCATAATTTGAGAATTTGATTTTTAAACTGTAATAATCTTCTAGTCATTATTGTTTTGTTCATATTTAGAAAGTAATAAAGACGTATTGACAGGGATTTATCTATAATCAATTAAAAAAGGCTAATTAAAACCATAAATAGATTCAAATTGATTCAGATTTTATTGACGCGTTTTTCTTATTCGGACTACTTTAGATTTTGAGTACTCCAAATTTCAGCAAGTTTCAAAAAAATATGCTGTGAAGTTATTTTTATTGTTATGAAAAATCGGTATTTCCAAAAACGTTTGATACTATAGTATCATTGAATTTATATTTATATCATTAATTCGAATTAGACAATGAATCATTTCTTGAGGCGTAACTAGCTACTTCATTAACTCCCTGTATTAATAATTAAAATCTCATTTGATATGTCTGCGCAGTATGTGGAGAGCATAGTTGCCTCATACATGAAAATCCAGAAGCACAGCAATATGAAGCAATTCAAGAGCTGGTACTCTCGTGGGTGCTTCACAGCAGCTCAAAACATCCAACGATTGGCTGAAAGTTTGACACACGAGCTGACTATTCATGAACCACTGAGTAGGAGAGCATTGGAAGTGTGGTTACAGGAGTCTACACTCTTGGGACAGTTGTTGATGTTTGTATCCATGCATCTTTATAATATCTCTCACAAAGAAAAAGGGGGTGTTGCCAGTGACAAGTCAGGTAAGGGTTTGTGACATTGTGGTTTGTTCACATTTGTGCACTTTGCCTTTCTTTTTAGTCTTAAACTTGAGTTTCCTCTTCAAGTTCTAATAATTTTTCCAAATTCTGTCAATGGTACACGAAATGTGAGTGTTAGTGAAGCCGAATTTTCCCGAAAGTACTGAATATTGTAATTTTCAACAGTGTACTTGAAAGTGGCTGAAGACACGTTAATCGAATCATTTATATATTGGAACATATTGTTAGATAGTAATTTAAAATTTGAAGGGCACTATGGATATATCATTTCAAAAATATCCAAAAAGATGAACTACTTTTATAGAATTTCGCATAGAAGCATTTATTCTAGAAAAATTGTGTACAACACACATATCATTCTTCTTCATTTGTCATATTGTTCAACTATTTTGTTCACGCGGACGAAACTGTATTTTCAAAATTACAAATATTACAAGCTAAAGCTATGAGAATCATCGTAAATAAAAGTAAATGTACTAGAATACATTTTAAGATGAAAGAATGAACTACAATGTGTAACATTGATATTGTAGCATTAATACTAAATCAATCTACAAAAAACAATCAAAGAGGAAAAGCTTTCTTCTTATTATGTTAATATCTCCATTCGTTCTCAGTGAACAGCATCATTTGCCGTGACCTTTGGATTATGCTACTCGTATAATATCTATATTTTTTCCTGTTATTACTTTTACTAATCTTGTGAGGTTTTGTTCCAGGTTCTAATATTGCTGTCGACAATGTAGCATTAACAGAAAAAGAAAGGGATAGAAGTTTGATTCCTTATTGCAAAGGTCTTGATCTCATACCATCCTACCCTAGTATATTGGACTTCAATCAGATAACGTATATCAATGCACATTTGCCGCAACAGTATCAAATAGAATGGAGGTTTTTGTTCAGTTCTGAGATACATGGGGAATCTTTTTCTACTTTAATAGGTATGTTTCTTAACCAGTACTGAACACTTTTAAAGTAATCATGTATGGTCTCAAATCAGCGAAAAAATGTTTTACACAATTTTTGTTTTTCAGGCAGGATAGTCAATCAAGGGCCATCAGTGATAGTTCTAGAAGACAGCCATGGTTACATATTTGGAGGTTTTGCTCCAGCTAACTGGGAGTTGGCTCCAAAATTCTATGGAGATGATAGTAGCTTTTTGTTCACATTGGTACCCAAAATGAGGGTATTTCCTTCTACAGGATACAATCAGCATTTCCAGTATCTTAACTTGCATCAACAAACTTTGCCTAACGGCTTGGTAAGTACATGATTGTGTTGACTTTACGATTCATACACACTGTTTGATTCACATTTTATTACATATACATGGCGGCAGATAAACCCAGTTGTTTGTTTATAAATCAGATTTGAAAAGAAGACGAAAATGACACATTCCTGCAGTAATAAGGACTTATCGATTTGATGTTGCAAATTGTGCAGCTAATAATTTTGTTCCTACTTTTCCGTTGCTGTCTTATCACAGTATAAGCTTTGTTATCTTAAAAATAGCTGTTCCTGCAAAGGAAAGTCTCAACTTGTAGTATACTTTTTCTGCCGACAGAGTGGCAAAATTTCTACATCTATTTATATTTCCGATTATTTTAGGCAATGGGAGGTCAGCATGGCTATTGGGGTCTATGGTTGGACTCCGAATACGGTAAAGGCATGACCAGCCCGACATGTACGACTTTCTCGGGCTATACGCAAATGTCGCATTCGAAAGAGTTCACTTTCAGGCATTTGGAAGTGTGGGGATTGGGACAACCGCCTCCCACTCCTCAAGAGAAAGGGGAGAGAGATCCAGGGGGTGCAAGCATATTGGACGGGAACGCGGAGAGTAAAGCGATGCTGAAAATGGCGGGAAAAACTATGCATAGCGAAGGGCTCAGGGAGCCGTCGCCTAACTAGACGTTTTTGCGTACGTGATGGTTCAATTTGAAGAGCATTTTATGGAGAAGAGGCTGCATTTTGACATGGAGGTGCATAGTATACTTACTGTCACTCCTATCCGACTTGAGATATCAGTCGCTTGGGGATCTTACTTGCTACAAAGAACAGAAAAATTATTGTTTATTCAAATCTCATTTGCGATCTGTTAACACAAACACCAGCGCGCGGCGTTCAAATGCCCGCTTTTTTATTAACCAAAATGCCTGGGCAGGTAGCGACAGGCGAATAAGAGCAGCGATCTTGTGTTCATGTTTGTTTTGACGCACAGAAAATTAGGTTTGCGTAGGTTATAGTTTGTAGACTTCGTAAATTGTAAAGCATGGACACATTCTATTTTATGTGGAATTGGCAATAGTGTAATTGGCGTGGCTTGTAATATTTTAAAAATGGGGCTTCGCATAACGGTCTGAAAGCTAGTACATACAGTGGGGATTTTTGCGCACTTTCAGGTAAAAATGCAGCATTTTTCCCCAAAAAGGTCTCTTTAGTTGGGTGATAACTTGCAGATGCATTAGAGTTGTGCATTATTACTTGAGGGTTGCTGACACTACCGCAGTTTACGATTTGCCACGAAACTTCGTAGCAATTTGTTTATTCGCGACTCCCATATTTGACAAGGCCGAGAAAGAAGAGATATAACTTTTAATTTGCTTCCCAGAATTTAAATTCAATAATTAATGTTACAACTCTACTGCAGATAAAAAACGCATTTCGAACGTGTGCGATATGATTTTCATAGCTTTCCAAATGGTTAAATAAGCATATTTTCGTTGCTTCAATACTGTTTCTGTTAATCTTGACTTTTTACTATATTTCGCTAACTGTTGATATCATTTTAAATGTTATCAAAATTATCATATTTCTGAGAAATGTTACTTATATCATAAATGTGTTCCTAGTATATTATTTTACGAGACAACTAAATATTTTAACATTCGTTGATACTTTTGCAGTTTGCTTTCCAATAGGGGGATGTTCAACAATGGTTATTTTGTCATTATTTCCATCATCATTTCATCATTGCAAATTATTTAACATTTGTGGGATGTGAGATTTTTTTTCTATTACAATCATATTTATGGAGACCTTATAAGATCTGAACTGAATTTTTATAGCTGGTTTCCATAACACAAGTAATCTATAGTCTCTGGAAAACGCTGAATGGCATTTCGTGTCTCCTAAATTTATTTTACCGCTATACGTTCCAGATCAGAACATTTAATTTTAGGTTTGAATCCCAGTCTTGAACACAATTTCAAGATTGACATTTGTAGTAAAATAATACGCTGGCGCTAGTCTATTGTGACATCTGAGCATTATGTGTTTTAAGAGATTGTTTTATGTGGAATTAAGTTTTTCGATGGTATAAATTTGACTTTTCATCGTATGAGATCACTATATTTTGAAGTGATGGCTTCCCATAAATTTACACAAATCACGAACTGATATGGATGTTCCGTAAATACATTTTTATATATGCATTTATCTATCGTGAGATAACCAACGTTTTTCAGTTCAATAGATTCTACACTCATGTTGTAGATTTAGAGGAATTTATATTATACACCCATTGTGTTTATTTGAGAGTGAATAACGTATTTCGTATCTTTGAACCATTCGTCTTGCTCATCTACAATTTGACTTGGCTAATGCACGACATTTTTTGTAGTTAATTTGGGTACAATGATGATTAATTTTAGCCATCAGTATTTCGCGACAAAATTCTGTCGTGAATTAACTAAAGCGTTTACATTGTACTGCAGGAAAAAATGAGATAAAGATGTGACGGGGATAACAACGGTTTTTTTCTGAATTGATCAGCATCCATTTTTAATTGTGCTGTTATTCAGTTTTTTAACAATTTCAACATCATTAATCATTTTCTTGGATCTTGTTTAAAATCATGGTAACTGAAAAAAATATTTGCTGCATAATTAGCATACTGATTTTTTTTTGTATTGAACTGTAGATCCGCTTAAAGTCCGACGCCAAGCAAGAGCCGATTCCTTATTTGAAGATATGTAAATGTAAAGTAAAAAATATATCTTTAAATAATGTCCTGACTGCGCATGTCTTATTTTTTCCTAGTGGTTCATATTATCATAACCTGTTTGAGGTCACTTTCTAGTCATGTATAGGAAAATCCCTATAAGAATAAGATAAATATTTTATTCTGTAAATACAGACTATTTATGTATTGTGTGGAGATGAAAGATTTGTCATAAATAATTATATATCTATTACGCCATTTTGAAAAAAAACATTTGTATACTGTTTTTAATCATCTTTTGCATATCATTCAACTACCGAAGAGCACAATATTTACAAAGAATGCATCAAAGACCAACGTGCCAAAATACATTAACATAACATTCATTTGAAATGGCAAATTAGATTATAATCTATTGAATACACTTCCTCATAATAGCTTCTTGATGAATCTGAAGTACCAGCATAATCTGAGAAGTAAAATTAAAACACCGACTCACATCGCGTAACACTTTGATTACTCCAAAAATCACAAATGCTTTAAATGCAAGTTTAAAGTTTATAGTAAAATTGTTTGAGTGAAATGTTATACGTACGCCAAAAAGGCGTATTTTGATGTTATACGGACGCTAAATGCGCGGCGCTCACGATGTGTGATCAGGGCGGTTGCTATGGATTCTACGACTAGGTAACGAATACAATGACGTTGCAGCTCAACACTATAGCCGCCGCATTAAGCTTTCTATTCACAATCGTTCCATCATATCATAAAAAATTGAAATGAAATGAATTTAAATGATTGAATCATTCGAAATAATTAGTGTAAGTTTCCAGGTTCCCAGGGCTGCCAGGTACTAATTTTCTAAATGAACTGATGCATTAAATACCGTTCATATGTACTTTTAATGCCTGCGAACCTGCTAAGTCGAGTAATGGGACGATTTACTGGTGCTAGGTGGGAAAGGTTTTTTGATGGCTGATTTTTATATATGCCAGACGCTTTATAAATTGACGCCGCTCTTAATTTTTTGTTTGAGCGTTTAGAAAAAAATGTACAATACAAAAGTTGAATCTGATATGAACTTTTTCATGCAATGTCTTTTTTGTATACAGGATGTCAGTGCTATCGATTAAAGTGGCCCTGGCTTTATTTGGCAGGACTTCTCTGAAGCATCGTGTATAAAAAAATCTAGCATGAAAATCTTATTAGACTCTATAATTTTTGTTCGAAACTTATTTCTAAACCGTCTACAAAACAAGTTAGCTAGAGGTCAATCTGTAATGGCACACCTTGTTTAAAGTGGTTATGGCTGGTGTATACAAAAAAAACCTTTTGAGTAAAGGGATGATTTACCTGGTGGGAAAGGTTTAGTAAAAATAAGATTAACTTAAACTAAATTTTGATGGCTGATTTTTATACATGATCCTTAAAACGTTAACACAAAGTAAGATTCAGCACAGTCAGTCACTTCCCACTGGTCATAACTTCCGCCAGACGCGTTATAAATTGACGTTATACATTAACGTCCCTCTTAATTTTTTGTTTGGGCGTCTAGAAAAAAAATGTACAATACAAAAGTTGGGTCTGTTAAGAACTTTTTCATGTAGTGTCTTTTTGTATACAGGATGTCAGTGCTATCGATTAAAGTGGCAGGTTAAAAAAACAGCTTTATTTGATAAGACTTCTCTGAAACATCGTGTATACAAAAAAAAATCTAGCATGAAAATCTTATTAGACTCTATAATTTTTGTACGAAACTTGTTTCTAAACCGTCTACAAAACAAGTTAGCTAGAGGTCAATTTATAATGGCACACCTTGTTTAAAGTGGTTATGACTCTATAATTTTTATACGAAACTTGTTTTTCTAAACCGCCAGTATATGTTTTACAAAGTACATATAAAAATCAGATATCATAATTTGAGTCAAGCCGGTCTTATTTTTACTTAACCGGCCCTCTAACCAACTTAGCAGGGACGCAGACGTTGAAACTACATACAAACGCTATTAAATGAGTTTTGTCTTTATCATGTTTGGCAGCCTTACTGTGAATGTAGTATGTCTGGCTAAATATTCTTTAGCTCCAAAATTGGCTGCGCTTCTCCATTCAGAGCCGTTGGGATGCTTCTAGATAAATGTAGCACTCGAAGAACGGAATGACGTGATATAAAGCTTTTTGGAGTGATAGTGAATAATGTCGGCCTTCACAACGCGCTTAACGTCTGGCCAACGCATATGCGTTTACCTGTTTACCGTTCGTATAATTTGCACTACTCGTGCCATTTACTTGATAGATTGATGTTATTTTGACGCAGTAGCGTATTTTAAAATAAAGGAACGAAAAAAGCAAAAATTCGGGTTGAGCCGGCTCGGTCCATGGCCCTTTTGGCCCTAGGGTCGCGTTAAAGTTGTCGCATGTGACAAAATATCAAATTTGTCAAACCAAGAAGCTATTATGTGAAATGTATTGTAAACGTAGCTATCTATAAATTATCACTAAAGATGCCTATCAGATATGTATTCTTATACACGTAAAACATCACTATCTTAATAACTGCACCTGTGTGCAATGTAATTTTGTTTGTCATTTCTATTTGTGATTTAATTATAGCACTTTTTGACTTCTTTATGTGATTCTATTCTGTGTTAATGGATATAAATTTTAAAATAAATATATTATGTGAAACAGCCCTGTTTTATTGTAAATTCTGATTCGTGCCATGGTATTTAATACATCTTAATACGATTTTCACGAATTCTTCTTCAGAAATCTATTTTTTATAGGTCGCCAGTTCATTTATTGTATCATTAAATATTATAGCATTTTCTAACGTGACCCACTTCATTTCACTTTGCATATTTTACCTAAATTCAGATGCTTAAAATTACACATTGTCCAGAAAAATGACGGATACCGAAATGAGTTATATTAAAAATATGTGAGCCATGAATAAGGGCAAAGGGTGGTATAATTGATAAAGACCAGCACGAAATAAAAGTGAGGCACAATAGCAGTCGTGAGCTTCTGGACCACCTCGAACGTCACGGCTTGATCAGCCTCGGGCAGTATGGTTTCCGTGTCGAAGTTCGTATATTCAGAACTGGCCGATACAACCGCTCCTTTGTACCGAGGGCGCCGTGATTGTGAAACAATCTACAAGAGGAAGCTTTTTCCAGATCTATTAACCTTAGGCGGTTCAAAAATCGGATTAACAAAATTTCTGTGGAATCCTCACAGCAGCTGCGGTGTCCTGGCATTTAGGCTTTTGCCTGAGGGATTGATTCGGTGTAAAAAAACGTTTCTTTATCTTATCACTATCATTAGTTGTGCGTGATGCGTGATCCCAGAAAAGTTGATAAGATCTCAAGAAAATCGACTGGTTTCGTTATCGCACTATCTTTAAGCTTCCAGATGTTATCTGATAGGTACAATATATTAAAAAATATCTATGGAACATTTGATAAACATACCTGGTAGTTGCAATAGTTTATTTTTATAGAGAATTTATTGATCGATTTTAATGCGAATATCAATTTAATTTATACGAATTAGCAATTAGTATTTTTTTTGTCAACCAGACACTTTTTCATAAATTATTTTACAAATAATAACATTATTGAACACGATTTGTTATCAACTAAATTATTGGACGCCAAAATTTAGTAAACAATTACGCTTATATTGATATTGGATCAAATGTCAAAAGCGTCGAGTAATAGATAACACCGATTAAGTTCTTTTAATCATGAACGTATTTTAGCTGTGTAAAATTACACTTTTTGTGATTAACCACACAGGATACATAAATAAATGCATTATTAAATAAAATATAAATATAAAAATATTATTAAATAAAAACTAATTTTAAAAATTAAAATAATTTTGTTAAAGAAATTTCGAGAAGTAAAAACATCTATGGTGGCACATATTCATGAGATTTTTCATTGGTAATTTCCCGTTTGGCGATTGAAGCCGTACGTATAGGTCTAGGAGAGCACTGCAAAATACAAACATGAGCGGGTATCTCAAAAATTGAGGACCACTTGAGGTTCTTTCATTTTATAGGATATATTCATTTAACTCCCATTGAAGTAAATAGTACTTGCTAACTTTAATCCAGGAGCTGAGTTTACTTACCCCCACGCTGGTAATCTGAATATATTGAACTTTTAAGTATGTCAGGCTGAGGCAAAATTCTTCATTATTCTGTATATATTTTAGAAATTGCTTGAGTAAATTCTTCCCTGTTTCATACTTTTCTTGTACCGAAACTACTGGTCCTTATTAAAATTTCCTACTAAAGGTTTAGAATGGCTTTACATTTTTGTTTATGGTTTTGGTAACTGAATTTGACACATTTTTATTTTTCAAGTTAGATAGATAACACTGTGGTAGTCCTTTTTGTAACAAATATACATATAAAATGGAAAGGGGTTTTTGATTAACTTGGTATGATATCCACCTGCTCAGTGCGCAAATCTAGAAAAACATTACGCCACTGACTACCATCATAGACGGATCGTAGACTAGAGTGGACCGCTCTAATTAGCATGTTTATTGTGAATCCCCTCAAATGATACATCGTACCATTCCATTCAACACTAATTAATCGTGTACGAGGCGTGTAAAACATCTTTGCGTCATAAATCTACAACTTGCGAATAATAAAATTTCCAAAGACATAAAATAGGGGGCAGAGGGCTCTCGTAGTTTTTAGAGGCCTCATGCCCAAAAAGTACCTTTGTGGTGTCAAACTTACTATTTGCCGTTTTAAAAAAAAGGGCGTCAAATTGGACTCTACACTTTCCACGCAACGCTGCGATTAGTACATAAAAGATTATGTACAATGAAAATTGAATGGATCGAGTCAGTCAAACAGGCCCATTTAATTAGTCCATTGTCTCTATTTGACAACGTTGCACTCTAGAAATTTCTCTACTGTTTAACCGACAGAACCGACCATCGATGTTTGTTTATTGTTCATTATCTTGCGTGCGACGCATCCTAGGCTTTAAGGGCAAATGACCGAGGAAACCTATAATGTGTGAAATATCATTAATAGGGGTTGGAAGCTGACAAATATACTGGCGCCTGAAAGCTGAGATATAACCATCCCTAGCCACCGCGACTTTTCACTTTTCATTTTTTCCCCTTAAAAAACCTAACATCTTATTTTCTAAATTTTTTTAAAGCTGAAGAGCGAAAGGGGGGGAGGGTGGTGGTGTCTTTCTCTAAATCCCCGCTTGTCCGCAACTAAATGAAAGTAATGCGCTTAATACATTTGCTAAGATCTAAAATTTGATCGCCAGCGCTCTACACGATCAGAGAGATGTATAAGCGGTGACCTTTTGGAAAATCTTTTTCTGTCTGTGGAAACGGTCATCGAGTATATTAGAAACAATAAAATATGACGATGCCCAAGCAAACATTTCTTTTACTTCCCACACCTACTATTGTAATCGCAAACATTATCGAAAACGAGATATGTTTTTTGCACATCACGAAAAAACATGTCACTGATTTCCGTCTATCCGTCGCTCTGTCTGTCGGTCGGTCTGTTTGTCCGTGGATCTGTCTCTCCGTCTCTCTGTCTGTTCGCTAATCCTAAAACCGTATATATCTTGAGAAGTAATGCTCAGATTTTGATGAAATTTTTACACAATGTTACTACCCTGCCAAGGTCGAAAAATCTTTGTGGTTTCTGAAAATCGGTCAGGAGCGGCGGAGAAAAAAGCCAAACACGAAAAGAACTGCTGAACAATATCCTTTATGAACCAATAACGGCGTTGTGCAGAGTGCAGAGTCAGCCTACTTGACGTCATTTTTGGTGGCTCTGAACACTTTTACACCAATCATACCAATATCACATAGTGGCAAAAAGCTATAGACGATATATGAACAGGTCGTCCAACAGGCAGACCTTTTTTTATGCATTTTAGGCGTACATAGCATCAACCTTGTTGACATCTTAATTCTAAGCATCTAATTGAATTATTGAAAATATACGTCAGCAGTTTCTGGGGTTTTATCTTGAAATTTTTATCGATATAGTCAACAACAATTCCAGTTTTGCAAACCAGCGAAATTACAAATAGTCGATATTCATTATGTTTGCTTACAAAAATCAGAGGTCAAAGGTTCTTGAATGAGTAATCAACAATTGCTATAGATTCGTATCCTATAACCCTGGTATATAGTAATTTACGAGATATATCGCGAATTGCGGTAAAGAACCACCAATATCGTTTATATCAGTGCGAGTTTCAACTCCGTATATCAGTTAAGTATTGCTTGTCACAATCTATAGTATCGCTATAGTCATGGTGATTCCCGCTGAAAGTACGTCAACCGAAAAAGCTAAAAAACACGTGGGAAATAATCTTCAAATCCACTTGAGCCACAACGACAAATCGCTACAAGTGACTGGAAATAACAGCAAAGTGAAAATTGAAGAAAATTCTGGTACTGTGAGAATTATTGGTGATAATTGTGAACTAACAGTGATGCAAGGTAAAGGCAGAATTCAGTACATAGGAAATTGTGGAAAGATCTATTTAGGAAGAAATGGTTTGTTGAAAAAACTGAGTTATATTGGAAACAACGGGAAAATCCTTAGATTGGAGAATGGAGATGAGGAAAAAGGACCACCAGAGAGAGATCAAAAACAACACAGTGATGGAAGCGAAAGAGAAACACAGAAGAGTCAACAGAGGAAAATTAAAGTTGGTAGATACTATACAAGAATCTCAAGTCCCAGTAAAAGTGAGTGTAAAAAGTCACCTTCACCAAAGGAAGTGACGAGTTTGAGTGATAGTGAATGCGAAAAGATATCTTCAATGAAAAAAGTTACGACTTCGAGTGATAGTGGGAGAAAGAAGCTAGAAGCTGCATCTACAAAGCATTCTGGTAGAAGAAGAATGAACTTTTCTGTTGGATGTCATGACAACTTTATCAGTTTATGTGGAAGAAATGTTGAAATTTCTGGAATGAAAATTGTTAGTAGGAGTATGAGCGGTTAGGATAATGTTCATAGGATATTGCGTCAGCACTATTACGTGTTATACAAACTGATTTATTGATGTTCCTGTTTCATTCTGAATTTTTGTCTTATTTATTTTAATTTATTGCGTAAAAGACAATATAAATTATTGAAAAGCTGCTATCTCATTTTACAACCAGTGTCGATATGGAAAGAATACCTATAGGGTACTTAAAGAGCTAGTAGATACCACTAAAAAAATACAAAGCTCCTAAGGGCGTAAACAGCGCAAAACGGAAGGCACCTTCAACAAAAAAAAATGTTTGAAGGAAGATCAGCAAGTCATATCTATACTAAGTGACATATAAATCCGAACACCCAGTTAAAATGGTTTTATTTTAATAAAAGTTGGTGAATGTATTTATCTTACTGTAAATAACAAGTGAAAAAATTTTCAGCCTTATCAGTTGGACATTCCGGTTTTTATACTGCTTTTTTTAATTCACTAACGCTCTAAAAATGAATATTTCAGCCGCAGTAAAGAATCAACGTTGGCGGATTTTGGTTCTTGACATCCTTTACGATCGGTTACGATGCCTAGAGTACGGAGACCTGTACGATTCCGTCAACTTAGTGAGTTTGATAGGGGCCGTATAGTGGGACTTCGGAAAGCTGGACTTTCTTTTCGGGCAATTGCAGTTAGAGTGCAAAGAAGTGTAGACACTGTGGTTAGGTGTTGTCAAGCATGGCTTCGAGAAGGCCGTACGCAAAGAGCAACTGGCACTGGACGCCGCCGTAGAACAACAGACCGTGAAGATCGCCGCCTAAGATTATTGGCCTTAAGGGACCGTTTCTCCACTACCAGGTCCATTGCAAATGAATGGTTTGCAGAACACGGAAGACCTATTGGCATGCGAAGTGTTTACCGACGAATGAGAAGTTTTGGCTTGTTTTCATACCGGCCACACTGGGTCCTCCCTTTAACTCGAGAACACCGACGTAATCGCCTTGAGTGGTGCAGACAACGGTCACTCTGGGATCAGGAATGGAACAGTATTGTCTTTAGTGACGAGTCTCGATTTTGTTTAGGCATGCACGATGGTCGTGCCAGGGTTAGAAGGCGACGTGGTGAAAGGAGGAATCCACAGTTTTTTGTTGAAAGACATCTTCATCACAGTGTTGGAGTTATGGTTTGGGGTGCTATAGCTTATGGTTCCAGGTCACCTTTAATCTTCATCAGAGGTAACATGAACGCGCAGCGTTATATCCACGAAGTTCTAGAACCCCATCTTTTACCCTATCTTGATACCCTGGCAGATCCAACTTTCCAACAAGATAATGCTTGACCACATGTTGCAAGAGTCACAATAGACTTCTTTCAACATAATGATGTCACATTGTTACCATGGCCACCAAGATCTCCCGACTTATCCCCAATTGAGCACGTGTGGGATATGATGGGTAGGAGATTGCTCAATTTGCAACGTCCTCCTCAGACTCTAGAAGCACTTCGAGAGGAGTTGGTGGTTGCCAGGAATGAGATACCACAGGAGGACATTGACCACCTGATCAGAAGCATGCCTAAGCGCGTTGGAGAATGCGTAGCACATCAGGGTGCATCCACACATTATTAAAGGTCAAAGGGCTTTAAAGCAGTGCAATCATTTTGAAATTTTTATCATTTACTTATTATGCTTCATTAAGTACTTATACAACATTTTATTAAAATAAAACCATTTAAACTGGGTGTTCGGATTTATATGTCACTTAGTATACTAAACTATCTTTGATATTTTCTTGACCATGTGACGATTTGACAATTAATATGAATACAGAAAACTACTGGGATTACTTTTTTAAGTAATAATTTAGTCGTTTTCAATGCTTGAAAGTAAGTTAGTAAATATTATGACAAATGTTAGCTATACTGTAAATGTTATATACTTGTTTTTTGGGCGTACATATCCCTCTAAATTCAGTCAAAACAACAGGAGACAAGTACAATACAACTTCAAATGCGAGAATACTTTTCAGATATAACATAAGATACATATTATGTGGCGTTCATCAGGTAATCTTTTGCTCTATATAACAGACAGAAACATATTTATAATTTTTGTTATTCGGTCTTGTTGCGATACAGTAACCGTTAAAAAGGTAATTTAATCATTGGTCGTTTTATAACTTGAAAAGTTTCACTGGATTCTGAAAAACTTTTGAAAATCTTGTCTAATCTTACCAGTGTTGTGACCAAAAAATTTATGACGCCCCCAAACTAGACTGATTTCTTTTGTACGCAAACAAACATTTCTTAAGAGGAGCCAAAATTATTTAAGGCGTAATTATGAGTTTATTTGAAGGATTCAAAGATTATAAATATGAAATAGTAGACAAAAGTTAAAGCCTTTGTATTGATTAACATCAAAAAAATCTTAAAAAATGCTCAAGCTGTCCAGCGACGTAACTGCTGCAACAAGTTCGACATGGGTGAGTTTTTAGAATCACCAATATCTAGATTACTATACAACATAATCAAAGATCTTATTTACAAGAATTGTGGACTATACGCTTCCTACTTGGAATATCCCGCTCCTTATAGGGTGACCGTGTAGCCTGGATGTCAGTAATTGATGCATAATGTTACGAAGAAATCCACTGATGTACGGTCCACGGTAATTACTGATCGTGTGACATTCGCTTTACCGTTTCCGAGATCCCAAAAGCGCTTTTAGTAAAATTAAGTTTATATCTAACATAGGCTTAGCTGTTCCTAGTAATTTTTCATCTAATAGATATTGATTCAGCTTGTGGAGAACCATGTACACAAATAATTTATTTTTCTAAAAAATGTTCTCTCCATTTAATTTTTGACGATCTAGGGAAAAGAGGGGGGAGGTGCTGAGTGAATTTACCTGTGGTGTATGTACATACAATTTTACTAAAACATAAATTGTCTCCAAAAATATCGAATCTGCATCAACCCTGCATTTTCTCTCACCTTGGATAACTAAATGTGACAGTCGCGTAGGCATAATCACAATAAATCCTATCTTCTAAGCATATGCTACTTCATCATCAGACATCGCAATAATACAAATTTATGTATATGTATGCAAAGACAAAGGTGTAAATTCAAAATGCAGAGAATTCCAATAATGATGACTTTTACTTTCGACAAGTGGCGCTGAAAATAAGAAATCGACGTTGCCAACAGTATACGTACAAATTTCTTTTATTTTATCCATTTTATATGATGTAACATCGGATTTATTCAATTCTCTGGATTTCTTTTACTGTTGGAATGGGAAAAGTTCTCAGTTTAGTAGGTATTTATAAGACTAACGTTAAGACACATTTCAAAAGATTTTTCCACAGAAACACGGAAGTAGCTATTTGGCGATAATAAAATAGTGGAAAGTAATCATGGATTGATTTTTTCGATTTTCCTCAACCCTCTCTTATACCGATATGTCAATAGACTTTGCTTCTCCTTGATATTTCCCGAGTGACTTAGTTCATATTTCGACCAAATGCAGTTCATGATTTTGAGTTGAAATATTCAGTCAGACCAGATGCGTGGAATTGTTGGCCACTAAGCAATTATATAATGCGACAGTATACACTACGTTCAAATTAATGATACGAGGAAGCAGCTGAACTCTCATTTTAAGCAACAAAAGCCTCAGCATGTTGAGAGTGATGATTTTTGAAGCATTATAACATCTGGTCCGAGCATTTTCATATAAAGAACTTGGGTTCGGGTAGGAGGGGTTAATATTAACAAGCCCGACATTCATAGACCTGATGGCACAAAAAAGGTGCTACTCCATAAACTGGTGATTGAGGCCCAATATCCCAAAATATGGAAATCAAATGAAGGACCGATTCACCTTAACCTCAACAGGAAAATGACTGACAGTCAGTTTTGATGTTCTAGAAATCGTAAATGGACAACATAACGTAAAAAATAATTAAACCTTCGATTACCAATTTAACAACGTTTTAGATACAATATTTCGGCTTTATTTTCACGAGCTCCAGTTCAAAAACATTGTAAGGAATGCCATTTTGCCCCTTAAAACTGACAACTAGCTTTATCGTGTTATTCCAAGGGAATTTACATAGTTTTATATTTTCAACTTTGATGGAGCTTTTTAGGGCAAAAATGTTGTTTACCCCTTAATAAGCTTGGAAATAATGTTTTGCGTAAAGTTTTGTTCTTGCAAAGGGAAAATTAATTTCCTGTATTCTGTTAGTGTCACTAAAGCGACGTGATAAAAATAAACCTGTATCTCATTAGAAAAATCCTCATAGACTTATTTTCCTGTTTCCAAGAGGCAAAGAAACGTTTCTTTCTATTTATGGAAGAAATTACTTTTAACGTTTAAAAAAATAAATTTGTAATATTTGAGGCCATCATCTACGATTTTAATAGAATCACAAAATTTGACACACTTCGGTCTTTATTCGCAAAAACAGAAAAAAAGAAAGAAAGAAAAAGAACAAAAAAAAGATAAAACTGACATTTCTGGCACTGTAGCGAGAATCAATGTTTTGGCAAGAAGACAAAGGCAATATGCATTATTGCAATTAGTCATATGTGCTTTATATTCATCTCAAAAAAACGTTCATGAAGCTCTACATTTCCCAAAAATCGCTTCGTTTCGAATACATAGAGTAAGTAAAATTTATTGAAACAATGTCTTTATTCAATTCAAACGATTTACTTATTCTTCAAATACAGGTCAAAATATGTAACTTGACTATGGCTGCTAGTGAGCTCCCGATAGAAACAGACGGAAATAGTTGGATAAGCTGAGGAAGATCTGACTTGTGGTCTCCTCGATCTCCGGACTTGACCCCCCTAAGTTATTCCATAGTTCACACAACTCCAGGTAAAAACCTATCTATGGCCGCTAGTGAGACAGAAACAGACGGAAATAGTTGGTTACTCCGAGAACAGGCCTTGTAGCCTCTTCGATCTTCGGACTTGAGGCCGCTAGGTTATTCCGTAGTTTATAGAACTCCAGGTCAAAACTTAGCTATGCTCGCTCGTGAGTTCTCAACAGAAACAGACTGAAATAGTTGGATAGGCAGAGGAGGACCTGGTCGCTCATGAGTTCTCGAAAGAAACACACGGAAATAGATATATAGGCCAAGGAGGACATGCCTTGTGGCCTCTTAGATTTCCGGACTTGAACCCCCTAGGTTATTCCGTTGTTTACACAACTCCAGGTCAAAACTTAACTATGGTTGCTCGTGAGTTCTCAACAGACACAGACGGAAATAGTTGAATAGGAGAATCTGACCTGTCGCCTCGTGGTCGCCCGTGATTTCTCAACAGAAACAGACGAAAATAGTTGTACAGGAGCATTTGACCTGTGGTCTCTTACAGATCCGGAATTGAGCCCCCTAGTACTTCACACAACTCCAGGTGAAAATCAGATAATTGCTAGATGTAACTCGCTAAGAAACAGTACTGGTGTAATTGAATGATACCAGAAGTCTATGAGCGAAAGATGGGAGACATGGATTCTTCCTGGGGGTTCAATTCGGCTTGAAAACCTTTTGTAAATTAAGAAGCTTGATATACGACTTTTGATGATAAAAATTGTTATTATCCCTATATTCTCTAAGCGAAATGGATTTTGGATATTGTCAAAGGACAAAATATGTTCATCCCCTGGATGTTTACCCAATTTATAGGAAGCACCCTGTATGTCATATCAATAAATAATTATACGTATGATAATATACGCATACCTTGTCCAATGAAAATTTAGATGCTCCATCTCGATCATACCTGTGAAATACGATTTCTACTTCCGCGATCACAGAGATAACAAAAATGTTATATAGCGATCGAGTACGTCAAGGTAATCAATAAGGTGGAGGTCACAACCTCAAGAGCTTTTACTGAAACTGAAATCATATGGATATGACACGCCTCGCTGAATCATTAATGATTCTGCGAGTTCTTGTTACCTTCGGGTGGTATCAATGGAAGAGGGTTCTCCGAATCTTCTCGCCGTTAAAATGTTACTGGGGCATCAATTTGCATTTTTTACTGAACCATTTTAGATAAAGATATTTTTAGTCGTGCATGGCGTGTTATCTTCGGAAGATCGTAGATATTGCATGCGGAGATGTGGCCATTCTATCTTGAAATTATGACATGAATAATTTAAACTTATATAGTTTATACTGCTTCTCATATTTTGTAAAAAAAATATGACAGTGTTCGAATCGCCGCCCGAACTGTATGTATGAAAAATGGTGGATGCGGTGGAAACTAGAGATGGCGGATATCGTTATTTTTTAATATCTGCGATATCTGAAATAGTTACTTTTTGATGTCAGTGATTTAAAACCGTGACGTGTTCACAACTTTCAATGAAACGGCATAGAACCAACTACCAAAGCCTATAAGGCACTATGTCGCTTGCTGGTCATCGTAGTCTTACGGTGGTAAACGATTCAAATGTTATCGCCGTGACCCCATGATGCCATTCGTCGACACCGTGAATCACCTAGTTCCTGAAGTCCTGAACACGTCGTTTTTTTTCACGGTATTTGGTAACAGTAGAGTTGCGTGATTTAAAAATATCGGTTACCAAATCTCAGGTCGTGCAATATCTGCCACCACTAGTAGAAACCATAGACCTGGTGCAGAAGTTTTTATTATACTCAGCTGTTGATAATATAACGCCCACGTAACGGGGATCTTGAATGACGAAAATATACTCTCGCAAAATAACACAACCAGAGTTACTCCATCATGTACCGTAGCTTGCGAAGGTTCGATTGCGATTGCGTTCACATGCGTGAGTGCTTGCGGCGCTATCCAGAAGGAATCGAGTTTCTGCTAGAAAATGCTGAAGTGCATCGGGAACCGTCGAATTATGACATAAATATCCGAACAGATGGCGGATGCAATCAGTCACAGTCGAGGTAGTTAAACAACACGGAATGCCGTAGTCCAGTCAACGGGGTTATAAGTTGTTATAAATTAGTACAAGTGTTATAAATTGGTCAAAAAGTAATAAATTAGACTTTGGACAGTGGTTCCTACATGATGGGGCTCCACCATATTTTAGACGAGAAGTTGATGAACAACATTTAACCTGATAATGATTTTTTTTAATAAGGTAAACTAACCCTTTTATTATGCAACTTTTATATAGATGATTTTTGGTATACCAATTTCATTTGACGAGTTCTACAGGCTGTTAAAATAAATAACTCAACTTTAGAAAGTGCGAAATATGCAATTTTTGATCCCCCAAAACCATATGAATAAACGAGAACTCTGCAGTTGCCAAAGACCTGAATATTCTTCAAACACCCATTAACAAAATGCTTAACCATTTTAGTTGGTATTTTTTATTCTAGATTTTTGTTTTTTATTGTTTATCAAGCACTAGATGCAGCATAAGTGCGGCAGCCAGCTGCAACTCTCGCGTACTCCCTAAAATACATTAGGATTCTATTAATATATATTTGAAGAGAATTTAGGGACCTTGTTGACATTGAAATTTTTGTTTTTTATATTGTCTTCCGGTGTCGAAAATGACATATTTTGCACGTTCCCAAATATTTAATCGATAATATCTCGAAAACATATTAACTTTAGAGAAAAGCTCATGAGAACATTTCTCGTTCAGAATGATCAAAAAAGGTTAAAAAAACCTAGTTCGGAGTGAACAAAATAAAACAATTTCAGGGATTTGGCTGAAAAAAAATGTTTAAACTGGTTTTGATGCAATTTTGGGCGGGGCACCATTCAGATAAGTTGAGAAGATTATGTAAAGGAACAGAAACAGAATATATTTTTGAGCAGTCGCTAAGAAAATTCCTGGACTAATATAGGGATAATATCGGTCTTCGCATAGTTCCTCTTACATTCCAACCACTTTCCTTCCTGTACGATCAACCCCATCACAACTTTCGTCATGTTGTTGATAGTTATACTTAAAAGTTTCCCCTAATCTCCCAAAAAAGTTCCTCTATCATTTCCGACGGACTATGAACCACCCTGTAGTCTGGGATATAGCCATTTTTCTAACAATCCGACAACAGGTCGCCGGTACCGTCCTGGGCTCCGTCGTCTCGGGGGTCGGCGATCTAGGCCGCGTATAAAAGCGAGTGGTACCTTCGCGACCGAGCCTTGTCTGTCCGCCGATTCGCGCTTGCTACGCTCCGTACCACTCGCATCAAACGCCGTACCACTTCGCGATCTTTTTTTCTTTTGTCACATTACGTAAGTTAGAGAGAGATAGTGCGGTCGAGGATCATTCGCGCGGCGGTTTCCAAACGAGAGAGAGAGAGCGAAGATGCGCTCTTGCGGCGTGGCGTTGGCGGCGATCGTCCTGCTGGCTGCTGGGAACGGTAAGTACACCCGTGTCATCACCGAACCACCTTGGTACCACTTGCGGGAGAGGAGGAGTGACGGTGTTGCCACGTCTCCTGGGAATGGTGGAAGGGGGTGTGACGTATCGCCGTACGGGGTGGGCAATCATTATGTGAAAGCCTATGTTCTTTCATCGTTGAGAAATTCCACAGCTATTCCCACTACATACTTCTTCAGTACCTCAGCTACTTGCAAAAGCAATGTCAACCTCTCTAGATTTTTTTCCTTCATCCAGATAGACTCGTAGATCAATCGTTTGTGGATCCCTTGCACTGTTTGAAGGCATTCCAATAAAAAATCATCTCTAGTACTTCTACTAAATACTATTCCCACATAAAAGAAACTTATTTTGTAAAGAATACTCACCTTAGTGACCACGCTGTTTTTAATTCTATTCCACGGCATTATGCCCATATCAAACTATACTGATAATACGAAGCAGTCATCTACTTGCAAGAAAAAGGCCGGCTTGCCCTTTTGAAAATTTATAGGAGGGCCAAGACTGAATGGATTTAATGCATGCTAGGTCATACTTGCTTCACTGTTGGGGATAAACAAAACAAACTTTATAAATTTAGTGCGACCATGACTGGTTATTGCTGTACAGCGGTATTAAAAATGAGATGCTGCACATATGGTTTCATACATTGTAACTTGGGCTTTTACTCCCATGGTAAAACTTCTTAATTGCTTTATTCTGTTCAATATCTGATGCTAGGTACTGCGAGGTATTGGGTTAATTCATCTGTTTCTGCAGCATTTCCAGGGGACATATTATTTGCAATACCTAACATTGTATAACAAGTTTCCAATAAAAATATTTACACAGTGTTTTCGTCACATACTACAATGGCCTACAATGGAAAACGTCGTCTAGGTCCATGATGTCAAAGTCAGGTTATCCGAAATATACTCAGTCCCAGTGAAATTAGACGATGTCTTGCATCGGTAAGGCAAGTAGATTTATGTTAAAAAGGCTAAAAAAGTATGAGTAATATGCACAAGTCTGTCCTTTTCGAGCATGAATTCTATAAGCCCCTCAAAAAGATTAATCGAATCCACGGAGGAGAGTACATGAGTATGCTCCTAGTCATTGTTCGCGTACTGTCTCTTGCCTAGCCTTTTTAGCTAGCTGTCAAGATAACCATGTCCTGTTAGGAAGTTTATACCTGCACCGCTCCCCTGTCAATCCAGGTTTTAATATCTAAAATCAGCCTTCTAGTCTGCACTATGACCAGTTGTATTCGTCGACATCTGAGCAACAGCTGTCTATATTTCTTTTTCCTCAGGACCAAGGTCGACAACAAGTGTCGAAAGGGTCATCGTACAGCAAAATCGAGTTTGCCACCCCTGCCAAGATTCTACTCATCTCACTACTGAGGCATTCATCAGATGAAATCAGCCGTATCCGGGATGCACGTCATTATTTGCCTTACCAGTGGTGCGCATTAAGAGTGTAGTCATTTTATGATCTTTGTTGAGCCTCACTCCCAGTTATTCAATCTCATTTTGGCTTTTTACCTCGGCTTTCTTCTTATTTGAATCCACTTCCTTCTATTCATATGGTAATCTTCGTGATTCCACAAGCCAAAGCCTCAGGTCGTCCTCATACACTGCTAGGTATCGTAGAACGCTTCCCAAAGCAACGTCCCCTGAACGGAGCCATGCGGCACGTCCATGGTTGCCTTCATTGTCTTTTGACATACCATAAGCGTCTTCTCATTAAAATAAGAATTGACAATGGCGTAACGGTAGAAACAAAGCCGATCCGACCATGTGAAGGAAGCTTGAGGCCATCTAGTGAGCTTTGGCTTTTAAGCAGACTCTTTCCTTTAAACCACGTCAAGCATAGAGAATGTAGATGTGCCGCTCCCTTGGAATGTGAGCAGTATCTTGGTCCTGCTCTTATATGGATATGGTAAAAAATGGGAAGATTAAAGCATGGAAGTATTAGTAAACAGATTAAATAGTTAGCATGTCTCAGCAGCTTCTGTAATTGACAAAATGAGTTCATGCTGAATCATGGCCTACAATAACAGGCTAAGGCCCGTATCGTCAGTCGTCCCTACAATTGTAGGGCGCCTTTATGGCCTCCTTGATTGTCATAGTTTTCTACTTCTCCGTGTCAGCGCTCTATTTTGAGGTTATGTCACAAACATCTATTTGCATCAAATTGTGCTTGCTTTTGAGTTATATCATGTTTTATCAGCCTGAAATTTCCTACAATTTAAAAAGTAAACATATCTTCACAATAGGAGAGCGCTGACGCTCACACAGTGTAATCTAGAAATTTTTGAATGAGAGAAAGGAGTATGACAATCAAGGCGGCCATAAACGCGCCCTACAATTGTAGGGACGACTGACGATACGGGCCTAAGTACCGCAGTTCTGGTCAGATTGGGAATTTCGGATGACTAGATCCATGCTCCAAGAATGATTGTTTGGTATCTCGACTCAATGGACAATATGTACTTTCGGTCACTGTTTTATGTCACCCATCCATTGGATGCTTTCTCGCCAGGAAGCACGCGAGAAGTTTGCAAGTCCTGGAGAGCAAGACATGTCTGTAATTAAACCATTCACAGAGACCTCAACATCGCTTACCTAGGGGACTACAATCAAGCGGAATCGCATAGCAATCCTCTGGAATTCAATTATAGCACTGAAACAAAAAATAAACGCGAGCTTAGGACATTAACACTTGAAATATTCCGACAGCACCTGTACCAAAAGCTTTTAGATCATAACAAATTTGACAATTCATTTTAATAATGCTTAATCGCCTTATCCCCTCGAGTCTCTCCTCCATGGTTGCTTTCTAATTCATACTTTATTTCCCTATTTCCTTCTCACTCTGCCAATGTCTGTTCTTTGGGTTATCAGTCCTGACGGGTTTAAAAAATAATATTACCTTATAGCTGTGGTCCTACGGGCCACTTTGATAACAAATGTCATGGCTTGATTTGAAGTGGACAATACTGGCTGCTACCTCAAAGAATTTTGAAATCTCCGTAAGCAAAGATAGAATAAAACCGCATGGAATAGCCTGGAATTATAGCCAACCAAGGCGAAGCAAGTATCGAGAACTTTCCAGGTCATAATCAAGCACATGTTCTAGACGAAAGAGAAGAATCATCGACAAATAAGGGACTTTATAGTTGCATTGTTTCTACACGAAATCTCAGATACGATCATCTCATTTCACTTAGTTCAGTTTAAATGAGATCAACCTCAGCTGTGTAAGATATGTCACAACTGCAGCTTTTAGGTTGAGTTTATTTTATTTGCAAAATCTACCGAATTCAAATCGTGAGATTTTTTACTTTCCTTACAATTATATTCTTCCTGCGATCCATGCCAGACAACTAGTCTTGGGTGTAGGCTTCGTGATAAAATACAAAAATTCATTTCTCAGGTTATGTTCTGATGAAGTGAGCTGTTCTTTTTCAACTTTAAAGTGAGTTAGGCATCCACTGATTTGACAGCCTCATCCCTATTTGAACTGTTTCACTTCTCTCTCAAACTGAGCCTACCCCTGACCATGCATTAAACGACGATTTTATATTATAGTTGACCGATACTCATTTCTAGCGAAATACACTATATATGATTGGACATTTATGTGCATTACTTGTCACCGAATTCGCCTAATGTGTTTAGTTATTTATATTTACATGTATCATGATTGTTAAACATATAGAAAGTTGTTTATTATACCTTTTTGGTTCTATATGCAAATACGTGTACGTTGAAATCACTTTCTATGCATGTGAATAACCTTAATCTCAAATAAGGTTCACATACTGCTTCTGTTTGTTAATGCTATTTTTATCTGCATTGTTTCGTTTGAAAGTGAAAATTGCATTCATTCATTCAGTATTGTTGAGATCATCTTGCATAGCCACAGCTCTCTACTTTTCACTGTCAAGCCACAAAGTCAAAGCATCAGCCTCATACTAAACTGTTATGAATACCTAGCTTGGAACTGATGATCGTCTAGGATCATATTTTTACCAGAAAAGCTATGTATTCTGGTAGAGGAGGGATAACTTCACGAGTCCATCTAGCAGGCTAGACCAGTAGCAGCTCTCCAAACATGCACTCGATATTATAAATATAATCCAGATATAGCACTTCAAATGCGAAATCGTGATTCCAATAGTTTCAATTCCCACAAGTTTGAATGAATCACTTATTGATAAAACAAACCCAACAACAACTCATGTTTGTTGTGAAAATTAACTAACGTTCTAGCCACCTCGTCAACCTTTTTTTGAAGAGCAAGTTAAAGTATTAACAAACAGTTGTAAATGACACTGAATTGTACTTTGAAAAAGGCCACAGAAGAGGCCGAAACGTTAGTAAATTGTCACTTCACCATTTAAAAAATCAGCTTACAGAATAATTTCAATAATCGTTAACACATTTTGTTTGATGGACAAGGGTGGGGGTAGGAAAAAATTGAACTTAAAAATGCAAAAATATCGAGACTAATCTTTTATATCTCAGTTTATCACAAAGACATGCTCTAATACATGCATATTGAACTAAAAATGTACAAATTAATGCTTTCTACAACATTTATCTCAAAACGGACAAGAATTTGCAGTTCACCTCAATTATTCTTGTTCGAACTCCAAAAAATGACTAATTCTGATAGATATAACCAATAGATTCCCCACTATGTAGAAGGTTTTGTTGGCTTGATAATAGGCAGAGCGTCTATAAAATAACTAACAGAGAAATTCCATTTTTTCTTTATAAAAAGCTTTTGCACAAAACACAAGACGAGTTGGGTGAGTGGATCCTTTCACAAATCCATCGGTTGTTAATAAGTATAAATAGGAATGATGAGAGTGGATTTTTAATATCAAAATGCTATAGGAATGTTTAGATGAAAACCTTGACATTTTCTCGCAGAATCTCCTTGTTCAAAAGTACCACTGAGAAAGGATTAGATGAAAAAATCATATCTTAA